GTTCCCCGTGCCCGGACAACAAGGCAGAGCCCTTCTAACTAACCCTACGTACTAGAGGGGCCTTAAAAAATTACCTATACTGTTTTTGGGGCTCCTTATTAGAATTATATGATAATACAATATACCCCAAAACCCTATTCGAATTATTAAGGCCCCTATAGTACCAAGTTCCACTAGCCGTACGCACACCTCCGGCCCTGGCTTTACAACAGGGAATCGAAGGCAAAAATAACCGTGCGCTTATGCCGAGGCATAGGAATGTCAAACAGCTCGAGGCAACACTATGGTCACTATAGCAACAAGAATGAGAAGAAGGCCAGCACGGAAGACAAGAACGCCGTCGTTAACATAGAGACAGAACTACGCATCACAGAGGCCTAGCTGGTTCGACTAGGGACCAGGATTTGGGGGTTGTCGTCGTTGTTGTACAGTAGCAGTAGACGAAAACACGACGGCGAAAAACACACTGTCAACTCGGAGCTCAAATTTTTAACCTTGCTCTGCGCGCGTCTCGCAGGCTGCCCAGGTTCTCGAGCCTGCCAAGTGCCGACAGGGGAGTACAAGCGTCAGGGCCTTCAGCGCATTAAGTTCGAGGTTTTCCCGCGAATGATCGCTACTGGCTTCGTGTGTGTGTGTGTGTGTGTGTGTGTGTGTGTGTGTGTGTGTGTGAAAACCGAGCAATGCAGGGCCGATTCGACGACATGGTCAGGGCGTGAATGAAACCGAGGGTTTGGTGAGTTTAGAGCAGGCAGACTCTCAAGACGACATTCCACGAACTCTCCGAAACATGCGCTTACTCTTCGCCCAAGCATCCACTTAGGAACGAACAACGGCGGAAAACCAGCCCTTCCTTGGCAGCCTTGTTGAAAACAATTCTGGCGCAGTGGTCAGGGCTAAACCCTGCAGAGATTAGGAGTAATCCAGGGCTCGGAATCATAGGATTCCTACATAGCCCCGAACATATAATACAATATCCTCCAAAGCAGCTTTCTAACATTAAGGCACCGATATGACCATCGAACTGAGGTTGTTAATAGGATCCCCTTATGGTCCAGAATTTAGCTGTAGTATACTATCCCAAAGCCGTTTCTTAACATTAAGGCACCGAGATTACCATCGAACTGAAGCTATACCCCCCTTTAGAACCATTATAACAAGACTATTTTCAATATTCTCTTGGGTTTTGTATGCACAAAAATAAATACAAAACACTTCCTAAGGAGACCAAAGAAGTTGTAGAGCAGATGCCTCTTTTTTTTCTGCACTGTTGGGCGACGGTTAGGAGAGTCTCGAGGTGCTTCGAAAGCACTGCTGCGTGGTACATGCACCCCACTCTATGCCGTTGGGTTTGGTTTAGGGTTTAGGGTTCAGGGTTCAGAGGGTTTTGAGCCTAGCACCCATGTAAGATTCCAGGGTGGCTACAGGTCCAGGAGTTCGGGGCTTTGGCGTGGAAGGTTTAAGACTGCATGGGCAATTGCTGAATTATGAGAAGATCTCATGACAGTAGCAACAACGCTAGGTAGCATTGAGTATGACGTTGGCTGTAGCCGAGTCCCTAGCCGCAGCCTTGAATGCTAAGGCCCTAAACCCTAGACCCTTAAACCGAGGCCCTAAACCCTAAACCGAACCCAAGCCCCAAGGCTCCAAAGCCTTACATCGCTAAGCACGCACAAAGCCTACACACTTCCGAAAACTGTAAAAAAGACTACGCATGCCCCAGCATCCCGTTCTGATGCGTAGAGCCGGCAAGACTCGACGCCCCAAAGATTCGATAACCCGACCCCCCAAACCCTAAACCCCTAAACCCCACACATCCAACACCGACCTCAGGAGAGCCAGGCCTAAATCGCACAAACTTCGCATCCGAAGCCACAAGCTGAGGGCTGTAGACCCCAAGCCCTAAACCCCACTCCAGGGAAAGCCCTAAACCTAAACCCTATAGGCCCCAAACACCCTAAAGTCTGAAAGTTTTTGGGGAGTTCGGAAGTAGAGCAGTACCTAGAGCCGTAACATCGCAGCCTGAACAATTTCATAAGGGGCTCCCTTAAACCCTCGTAGCTACCAAGTCTCATGGTCAATTGAATAGGTGTTGAGGGTGCGCATGGCAGCAGTGCCGAGAGACCTTGAGCGGCAACGGCCGCCCGCCGGCTGTGACGTTTTGTTTTCTAGAACCCCATATGCCTTCCTCAAGGCCTTCACGCCAAGACCCAAAGCAATGGTGCGAGTAAGTCTTCCATTGTCACAGCCCATGCAATCTGCAAGCAGTGTGTCGTGGCTGCATAGGGTGCCTGGCATCTTGTGAGCAATACCTCAAACTTTTTGTTTACTGTTTGATCGGGTTCTGCAAAGCTTTACACAGGTTCTATAGGGATTGAACAGCATGTAATTTATGACGGCACCATTACAAGCGCTTAAGGCTTAGGGACAACTATTTTTCCAATTCAGGTCCCAACAAAGGCACCCTCACAGCTGGTATTCAAATGACCCTTTTAGGGTCGATAAAGTGCTGAGCCGGGACCATCAGAAGGCAACACAAAACGGGAGAGCAAGGACTTTAAAAGCGGATCCCTATATAACAATTAGAATAGGCGGTTGGGCGATAAGTTGCTATAGATAGAATACAGAACTAATAAAGACCCCTACACTCTGCCTTTCGGCGCTAGAGGTGTTGTGTTAGGTTTCAGGCTTAGCGTTTCAAGTGATTTAGGGTCCTTGCGCTTACGGAGCCCTTACGGTCCCTGGCTGTGGGTAGTGAGAGCTATGATAGAAGGCAGTTGGGGCAGTCGAGGAGCAGCAGGAGACTTTCAGGCATAGGTTTATCAACATTGCTGCTGCAGTAATAGTAATAATAGCAAAAACTATACTAGGACCAGGAATGAAGCTGGTGCGAAGATTAGTCACCGGTAATTTTATACTTCTTTGAGACGGACGGCTGTTTCTATATTCTGTTATCACCTCATACTATGCTTTTTCTTGGGTGTACTTCTAGATTCTGGATTGCGGTCCTATCTAGGGTTCGTGCTGCTTGAGCTACTTCGCGACTAGTGAGCCTAACCGGAAAACAATCAATGACGAAGGGGAACTGGAGTATCCCACAACTCCGATGCGTGCTGACGCAAGCAGCACTCTGGTACGAATGCAGCGATACTAGTGATACGAATGTTCGGTGTCGAAACAACAGTACTAGGAGAAAGGAGCTGTCTGACATGCTTCGGTCGTCTGTGTCGATAGATAGTGTGATAGGTGGCTGGATGCAAGGAAGGTATCCTGAACCTGTAGCAGGTCCCTTGCCTAAGTGCCGGGAAATATGTGTAGCATCGTGTTGAACTCTTCAAGAGGGTGAAGCTCGTCACCTAAAACAACAAACCTGTGGAGTGACAAGCTTCGTATTTCGGGCTTAGGTTGCAGTAAATGCTGAGCGCCATTCGGAAAGAATGCTGATCGTAGGGCTGGGAAACGAAACAAGCGTTGCATTCTGGCCCTGCGACCTCAGGACTACAAGTGCAAATGCATACAAGGCAGTTCCCCATCTTTGGACGACAGAGGGCTTCTAAGGGTTATGTAATGCCTCTATAAGTCACTCTGTAAATCTAATGCTTCTATGTTTCTGAAAGGGTTCCAGAAGGGATCTATCAAGTTGCGGCTTCAAGATTCTAGATGTAAAGCCCCAAACTGACCTGTAAACCTTTACGGGTTCAGTTGAGGGCTCAAGAAGTAAAGCACCCAAGCTATACCCTACAGAGGAAGTAGATGTGGGTTCAAGGGGCAAGAACCACCCAACAAAACACCAAAATCCGAAACTCTAAGACTTCAGTTTCAGTCCTACAGCCCGCAACCCCAAAACCCTACAGCCCTTTAGACCAACACCGCAAATGGTAGCATTTAGGACCGAAGGGTGCGGATGTACAATTTAAGTTTCGAAAATAGGTTTTCGCGGTTTTGGGCTTTGCAAGTTCTGACTAAGTAAGGGTCTTGCGGTATAGGCCTAAGTATCATGATCAAAGAGACAGGGTTCATCGAGAGGCAGGAATCTGCAACAGAAGCGCTTCCGGATCTTGCCCGCTTGTGCTAGTTACACACGCGGCGGGATCTGTCGTCTGAGCTCGGGCATCATCTTTCTTCACAGGTGTACTGTGAAGGCCCGATAGTACATTTTGTGTGTGTGTGTGTGTGTGTCTGTGCTTGTGTGTAAAAGTGTTTGCGTAGCAGCCGGTACTTCGATATTATACTCTAGGTTCCCACGCTTTCCGCAACTCCTTCAAGCCAACCCTGCATGGAAGGACCGAAATCCATAAGGCTTCGATTTCTAACAGCTCTAAATCAACCCTAAACCAATTTATCCTCCAGGAATCCTTAAGCTGGGCCTTTAAGTAACCAGGGCGAAGAAAGTCTATGGGAGTTTCCGAAAATAGGGGACCCTAATACAATACCCTAAATAATAGGATCCTTATTATAAGGACCCCCAAATGAGGTACCCCTAATTTTCAGAAACCCGCATATACTTTCATGTCATAAAGGTTCCTCTAAGAAAAGAGACAATTAAAGTATGGTACGCCACAGCCCAGTACATGGAAAGCCCCAAGTCTTCAAACCACGGAGATCCCCATCTCAGCACCCTACATACTATAGGGGCCTGAATAATCATAAGAGGGGTTCCTTTAAAGGGGTCTATACGGGATCTATAGTAGGGTTCTATATTTAGGGGCCTTAACAATTAGAATTGGGTCTTGGGGCCCATTACAATTACTATAAGTATAGTAAGGAGCCCTCAAAAGAGTATTGGTATTTATTTAGGTCCCTATATTACACCCTCATTTGTCGAGGCCGAAGTGTTGCGACGATTTGCAACTGGCCTGAAGCAACTCTGTCAAGATAGAGGCTCACACTTAGTCAGTCTATAAGCGACTCTACGGCCCTAAACCCCAGAACCATGAACCCTTAAAGCCTTAGATTTCCACTCAATCCTACAGCCACAGGTCCCGTAAAAAGACAACCCGAGCTCAGATAGAAAAGTTGTGTCTCATGATGGATAGAATCTCAGGAAGCGCTGCAAACTGTGCCATGAAGTCGTCCGCCGGAATGAACAGCATCGTCTGACCGAGTAGGTTTAGGATCTAGGGTTTAGGGTTGAGCACACCGGGGATTTCCGGGTTGACAGGAGGGTTCAAGATCTGCGGTCCATCGGGTCAAGGTGTCATATTCTCGGATATACCTTAAGGTTCTTGTATTGTAAACCTCAATATAGGATTCCATACTACAGAACAAGCAGGCTGTGATCGTCCAATGTAGGCTTGAAAGGTGGGGTTCCGGGAGTTAGACGGGTTCGGGGCAGAGGGTGATTCAAGGCTCAGTAAGGTTTAGGTAGGGTTTATGAGGGGTTAGGGTTTGGGGAACTTCTTGGCGGAGCCTGCTTTGTGATGAAGTGCTGCTGCATGCACATGTTGAGTTCATGGTTCAGTTTCGACTCGCACATTCGCTCAGAGCAGCATGGATTCAGGCATAGGTCTCACGGCTCATGGCTCAGTTAAGGGCTTCGGTTTGGGTTCACCGCCATATCGCAGGCTCGACATATTGACAGTGTGCACCAAACCCTAGACCCTGAATCAGAAATGTCACCATCATCATCCTCATCGTTAGCCTCATCGCCGCCGCAGCCCTCATAAGCAGGAGCATCATATAATCACCCGACTGTTGTTGTCCAACACTATCAACATCCAGCCTCAAGTCAATTGTGTACCTACCAAACGGGAGTGGTGGTTTGAGCCTAGTTTGAGCCGTGTGACATTTCTTCGGAGTTTGCTGATGCGCCTCATTAGCCTGTCCGTCCGAAGTACGGAAGTCCAACAAAGGCCCGAAACCGCGATCAAAAGAGCCGAGAGGCCACTCTGGATGTGGCCGATACAGTATAGCCGTACCTCGACCGCTTACTCTGGGGCAGGGTGCATACATTAGGAGTGACTTACGACTAGCCCCGACATACGGTGGCAAGATTTACCAGTCTCGAGGAATCCAACTTTTGACATGTGCAGGCCGAGGAAGCAACGTACAAACGCTTGACAAGCCCTGTGCTGCACATGCTAGTGTTTGGGTCATAGACTACACGGTTTCACAGTGCGTTCTTCCTGCTTGAGGCTAGGGGTCGTAGTGCCCAAGTCAACGCTGGCGCATCGACCATACACCCTAAGCCTTGAACCACTAGGGTCCACAGGTGCCACGTCTAGAAATCAACCCTGGGCCCTAAACCCTCCACTGTCCGAAAGCATAAAGTACACATATATGTATATACACATACATACATACATACATACATACATACATACATGTAAATTCATACTTATACTCCTACTTATACATGTGTATATATATATACACTTATTTATTTATAGATATATACACTTATATAGGTATCCATACATATACATATACATACACATATACATATACACACGCGTGTACAGACATACACACATACATGCATGTCTTCCTTTCACGTACTAGATCCTGCATTTGTCCTGGACCCTCTGCCCTCAAGCCGAACCCCCTGAACCTCACGCCCAAACCCTAAGCACGACAAGGCCACACCTGGCTCCAAACCCCGAGCCCGCAATCTTGACCCCCTTACCCTCAAGACCAAGCGAGTCAAAAACTTAAATATTTGTGGCAAGGCACCTAAAGTCCCTAAACGCAAAATACATTTGGCCGAGGCTCTCTTTCTCGCTCCCCAAGAGGATTTCCTCGCCGAAGCTGTCGCCGGCTCTGAGCACTTCGGGCGCCTTTGAATGCCTGCAGAATCTAGTTCATGGTAGGGTAGGATTAATTCTAAATTTTCTCCCTATGTGTTTAAGTACCAGTAAAAATGTAAAATGTTACCCAACCAACTATGACAAAGGAATCTTGACTTTCTAGCGTTTCGGGCTTAAGTGCTTGGGCTCTAGCGTAACAATGGGGTTGCTGGTTTAGTTTTTAGGGGTTTGCGGTTTGAGGTTTAGGACTTAAGACATAGAAAGCCGTTTCTTTGAAAGCCTTTTCTTTTGCAAGTCCTCCCTATGCCACATACCCGTTCATCTAGGCAAGTTTGGACGCGCATGAACCTCTGCACCAGGAGGTTAAGGAACTAGTGTTTGAGGGCTTCAGGATGAAGTCTCTCAAAACGAAGGTACCTGAGTGTGGTGGGCACGCTCGGGGTCAACATGTAAGGGGCTCTCGAAGTTAGGGCTACCTGTTCTTCGTCTTATTGTAGGGCTCGTGCTGTTTTGTCGTTCCAGAAGGGAACCCCTTCTAGAAGAAGTGCCCTTTTGCCCATACCAGGATTTCTTCGCCTACGGGGCCCATTCCGGCGGTCCTGATATTCGGGGGCAGTTTAGGGCCTAGACTTAGGATCGAGATTTGGGAGGTACTGTAATGTAGGGGCCTTCATACTTAATTACCTATACTATTTAGGTGGTTCCTTATTATAACTATAGTATAACGGGCCCAAAAAACCCATTCAAATTATTTTGGCCCCTATATTAGGGGTGGTGAAGACGGTTCAGGGTCGGAAGGGCTGCACATTGGCCACAAGTCGCCGGCTGCAGAAGCCATCATGCCCCTAATGTAGGAACCTGATTAAGAAACCCTGGGCCTATAACTCCAAAATAGTATACAGCATTCATATAAGGAGCCCTATATAAGCCCAAGGTTGCTTAATCAGCTTCCCACAATACTCATGCCCCTACTCTCAAACAGAGGAGGTGACAAAGGGACCGTCAATAGTCTGCGACCGAAGCCGCCAGCAATGGAGCCTCTCGGGCCTAAAATAGGGGCCTTGATAATTAGAATAGGGCTGTGGGGGAATATTATACTACAGTTATCCATAAGGAACCCCCCCAAATTATAGTATAGGTAATTATCAAGGCATCGCCACGGACTTTGAACCGTATCAGGAAGAGCCCTGAACCATGAAACCCTGAGCCAGTATCATCAAACCCTGAACCCCTTAGCCCTTATTCTACCAGCATCCCTAAACATGCTGGGAGCCCGAAGAAGAAGAAGAAGCCCCTTTGAAGGAAGTCCTGGAAGACCAAGAGCTCTAAAATGACTGTCTCGACGCCTTAGAGGCCCCAAGATTGAAGGTAATGCCAGAACAGCCTTTTTGCACTTAAGCCCTACACCCGCGCCGCCAGTCAAAACCCTAAACCCTCAAAACCCGAAAGGGGCCAAAGCCCGCAGCGCCCAAGAAGCCGAACCTCCAATGCATAAACCACGCTCAACTCCAAACGCCCAAGCCCTAAAAACCGACAACCCCGAGACGGTTTAGGGTTTAGGGTTAAACTCCTATACCCTCAACCCGAAACCCTTAAACCCTCAACTCCCTTAAAACCCCCTTGAAACCAAACCCACCAGGTACCCTAGTTCTCAAAGGCACCTGTTGGGCACTTCGGGGTCGGATTGGTCCATCAATGCAATGCCATCCTTAAGGAGGTTTTAGCAGCTTTGTGGGTTTTAGTTTTCTTTTTAAATGGTCTTAGTTTTCTTTTTTTTCATGGTCTTAGTTTTCTCTTTCTTTTTACTGGTCTTAGGGTTTAGGATTAAGGGTTTGTTGAGGGAGCTTTCGGGCTCATAGGGTTTCGAGAGTGGCGTTCAATCAGGAGGTCCAGAATCAAAAGCTCTAAAAGGCTGAGGTTTTAAGGGGTTTAGAAGTGTTTCGGAGGCTTTATGATGAAGGGTCCACTGCTGCCTTGGGTTTAGGTGCCTTTCGGCGGTTTTCCAAGGGTGCTACAGAGTGTTAGGATTTAGGGGTTTTTGATTTTCGGTAAGGGTACTGCAAAGGGTTACCATAAAGTTTCTACAAACGCATCTTTGAGAGTTCGATAAGGGTACTACAAGGAGTCGGGGCCGGGGTTTATTTACGGCTCAAACTTCCTTGTTTATTCTTATGTTGGGGAACTGTATGGTTTAAACATGGTTCCAGCCGAAGGAGGGTTCTTACTGGGTTCAAATCATGGTTGCGGCAGAAGCCCAAATACTTACCACGGTTCTTTCATAGAGATCCGTAATACGGTAGCACTACTGTAGAACGCACCCGAGACCCCGCAGTTCTGAGCGGTTTCTTACTATCGCGACTTTCGCTGATCATCATGGAAATGGTACTCGTCGAACTACTGCAGTCCATCCTTTTGTCGTATGCTCTGCCAGCGTTCACAGGCTCTTTTTTTGTCTGGGCTTTCAGTTGCAATACGGGGCTTCCTTGAACCAATGGGATCCCCGGCTTCGGGGGTATACTATAGCATTACTGTGGAGCTTATAAGGTCTTATGAGGACTTGCATCGGTTCTATGGTGGGAAACTAATGAAGTAAGTCCCGATATTCCCGATTCTTATCGGAACCCTTCACATGGATCAAGGGCTTTCTTAATCAAGCTTCTTCTGCATCTTGAAACCCCACGCCGACGGCATTTTCTCTACATATTTCAACCTAGAGCCTAGAGCCATACACCCTCAGCCCCTAAATCACTTACGCCTGAACTCCCGCATACAAACCCCTGAAGCCTAAATCCTAAAGCGGAAAGTTTCGGGGGCAGAAGTAAGCTTCAAGCTAGCTTGAAGGCTAATCCCTAGACCCTGAAATGAAAGGCTACAGTCCTGAAGCGCAGAAATCCTAAACCATAAACATTCCTCAACCCTTAACCCCAAACATCCCTAACCCCTAGAGAATCCCTAGACCCTGAATGCCTAAAGTCCTGAAGCGCAGAAATCCAACCCTTAACCCTAAACATCCCTAGAGAATCCCCTGGTCCGAGGTGCCAGTACGACGAACATGCCGCTGCCGATTTCGCCACGCGACGTTATCCGTTCGTTTGGCTGGGCGGTGATCCTTGTTGGACGTTTTGTCTCGGGGTTTTCGGAGGAGCCTTAATCCAACCCAAAACCCTGTAAACCCCATAAGTCCTACAAGAAACCCGCAAAGCCCAAGGAGTAGCCCTGTAGGCCCTATAAGCCTATAAGCCCTAAACATAAAATTCCACAAACATCCACAACCATTTCAAAGTTCCCAGTGCCCGAAGAAAAAGCTGGGGCTCGAGGAGCAGAATTGGGCCCTCATGTGGTAGCACTCGGATCAGTTTCAGGTGTAGGGTTTAGGAGTTAGGGCTTAGGGCAGTTTTCGGCTTAGGGTTTAGAATCCAGAAGTATAGATTCAGTATTTGTTCATACTGATTCATTGATTAAGTATTTTTTTGGGAGACATCGGAAGCAGTTTGCGCGTACAAGACGCATAACTCTCGCAGGAGCAACGTCATAAGACCATATTTGCGACTTCACTAGATGACGATCCCGAAACCTTTGCGGCAGAACCCCTATGCAACCTGCTCTTAGAGAGATCCTACGGCTGATGGTATAAATCCTGCATTACCTTAAGGACCCTAGACCATGGGAATTATGGTATATTCATCATTATTATGGGTAATGCAGGATTTATATCATCAACCGTACGAAATCATGTTTCCTGGGCAGCAAACGACTAAAACCCGACACTGCCGTCTTCTTGAAAACTTACGCCAGGCGAAAACCATCCTAAAGAAAGCTCGAGCTACCGTAGGGGCCTTAATCATCAGAATAGGGTTTCGGGGTATATCAGTATATCATACCATGATTATGATAAGGAGCCCGTAAAGTGTATAGGTAATTATTGAAGCCCCTGTTCTATTAAGTTGGCAGCTCGAACAGCCTGAAAGTGTGTGTGCCCTGAATTCTTAATAAAGCTCGGTCGTAGATCCTAATCATAATCATGCCCTGGCCCAGCGTCTGTTGGATAATCGGAACCAACCGCACAATCACCGAGGACGGGATGTTCTGGAAGAGAAGATGGTTCAAGAGGTCCGGAGGGACCATATAGCGAGCCTGGGCTGTGGCTGCGATAAGTCCTAAGCCCGGAAAAGACTAAGTCCTACCCCTGAAACATCAACTTTATGCCTTGTACACTATCCCAAAGCCCTCAAAGACCAAGCGCTAAAGTTGATCCCAAACACCAAAATATGCCACCAAGGCGATAATAACATGAAGCCTGAATTCTTACAGACAATAACCCTGAAATCCGAAACCCTGCCTGACTTCCCCAATCCCTTATACCTTGGCCCCACTTCCCTGACCTGAACCCTGAAATCTGGAAGCAGCCTAACTTCCAAGGGTAAAAGGAGGGACCCTTAATAAGGACCCCTAGGTATATACCCTTAATATAGCTACTATATACCCATTATATAGCCCATTATAGGGTAGGGGTCCCCCTTAAGGGTCCCTCCTTTTCCCCTTTTGAAACCCCGAAACTGCAACCCTGAGCCTGCCTTCTCTTGCTTGGGAAATGGCATGCTTCATAGGGACGTTTAGGGGTGTAGGGGGGAGGGTGTAGGGGACTATATTTCCTTAAATACGCCTTTTTAGTCCTTATTATGGGCTACCCCCCCCTCCCCCTACACCCCTAAGGGTCCCTATGAATGCTTCAAACCTAGGAGCCCTTGTGGGTCTAGTTCGAGTATACAGGGGGAAGGCCATGCAGAATTCAGGGCCTGGGCTTCTGGTAACTTAGGTTACATCCCCTTAAAGTAAAAGCCAGAAAGTTGGAATATGATTATCCTAACCCTTCTATGGCAAATTATAGGATATTCTACCATGAAACCATATTCCAACTTTCTGGAGTTCCCTGTAGCCTGGCACACAGAATGCTTCTAAAACTCTAAACTTCTGAACCCTAAGCCCGGCTTCTCTTGCTTGGAAATTTATCTTAAAACCCTAAAAACCCTAAGTAAACCCAAAGCCTGGCTTCTCTTGTTCGGGTGAAGGGTGAATAGAACCACCCTAAACCCTAAGTACACCCTTAGCCTGGCATCTCGTGTTTGGGGTAATAAGACCCTCTTAAACCCCTAAACCATAAGTAAACCCTTAGCCTGGCATCTCGTGTTTGGGGTAATAAGACCCTCTTAAACCCCTAAACCATGAGTAAACCCTTAGCCTGGCATTTCGTGTTTGGGGTAATACGACCTTCTTAAACCCCTAAACCTTAAGTCAACCCAAAGTAAACCCTAGGCCCTCTCTCTCTCTCTCTCTCTCTCTCTCTCTCTCCCTGCGTAAACCCTAAACGCGAAATCCTAAACCCTTAAAGCCCTGAGCCTGGCTCCTCTTGCTTTGGGGAAAGCTCTGCCAGGAGGCCACGTCTTGGCGCAGCTCGGGTGAAAGGTCGTTGAAGATCGTGGAGTCTTCGAGGGCCGCCTGCGAGTGGGTTCTCTGTACAGGGAGGGTTTGGAGCTTCGGCGCCCGCACTCGGACAATCCAGGCCTGTGGTTCGAGGTTTGATGAGTGAGACGATCCATTCGAGACATGTTTTCCCTCTCGCATGGCAGGACACAATGTCCACAGGCGAGGTTACTGGGAGGCAAATGTGATGCATGCCAAGAACCATTTCGGTTCAGATTCATCAGGTACCTCATCTACGACGAGGTGTCAGTTTACAGTTTCGGGATCGATAGCGGGTGCAAGATGCTGTCTTTTAGTTTCTTTACAGTGTACCACACCATTCGAGACATTAGAGTTTAGGGTTTAGGGGTTTAGGGTTTACTAGTACAATGTGGAGTCTTCTAGGGCGGCCTGCGATTGGGTACTGAGGTGTTGGGGGCCTTACTTAGGGTTTTTTCCCCGAGGGTTAGGGTTTCTTTCCCCGCCCAGCTGACAGGGTTTGGGTTTAGAGTTTAGGGTTTAGGGGTTTAAGGTTTACTCGAAAAGTTAGGGATTTGGGGTACATGATCGTGTCTTTAGGGGAGAATGCTGCTCGGATCGGCAGGCCAAGCAACGGCTGCTTTGAGGCCACCGCAACGGTTCAGGGTCTGTAGTCTTCGGTGCCCGTTCCACGAAGCAAGCAAAGCCCCCCGCGAATCACAGTTCCGCAAACTCGCTCTCGCACATGTGGCAAAGCACGAGGACGCACAGCATTTACGGATAAGTGCTGGCTACAGGCTACCGTCCTTCCACAACACCTGACCCTGTACACTTCCAGAAAACCTAAACTCTAAACCCCCTCCCAAAATCGAAATAGCTCAAGCAACCCAGCCTTGTTTGTCACCAGTGTCTTGTAGTAAGCCCATACGCGATGCTTCAGCGGATTGGGGAAGCCTCAGTCAGGGGCAGTTTGGGGGGGAAGCTGATTTTGGCGAATTTTAATGGTGTAAGCTCTACGGAATCTAAGGCTTTGGGGTGAGGCTCGTTTGCTGTTTGTATTCAAAGGTTGTGAGGTGAAAGGCCGAGCAATGAGGAGAAGAATAGTACACATCACCATGAGGAAGCCATGATTAGGATACCGATCCTCCTCGCCAGCGCCGTCATCGGCATCAAGACTGCAATCATAACCACTGCCGCCACTACCATCGTTCAAACCGTTATCTGTCATGACCACGAGCTTCAGAATCGTCACAATCAACCTCGCCATTATAAAGACCATCAAACTCGCCACCGTCAACATGGCGATCATTGCTAACCGCCTCCTCTTCCTCATCATCACCCTCCTCGCCACCATCATCATTCATCACCATCATCCACCTTATCTCACCATATATTCGCATCTGCACGCGCATCTCATAACTAATGCCCTCTGGGCATTCGTGCATGTTGCGTCAACGTGTCGCTGCGAAGCACAACCTTCCGTCATGGGGTTCCTAAACACCTTAAATTGAACCCTCCACCCCTTAAACCCTCTAAGCCCTTTTTGCTTCCAGCCTGCAAGGCCCCTCAGCCCCTTTTTCAGCACGGACTGAGGTGCCGGCCACGAAACTCGCAGCCCCGTTTTAAGGCCCCTGAACCCCTGAACCCTAAACGCCCCATTTCAGGACCAAGAGTCGATGGTGCACCAGCCAGGCGTGGATCAGTCGCAGGCGCTCTTTGTGTGCTTGCCGGTTGACCTGAGATCAAAACCGACCTTTCACTGCTCCGGTCGACTTGACTGAAGAAAGCGTGGGCAAGAGCAATACAGGGCCTCAAAAATAAGACTAGGGTTGTGGGGCATACTCTAGTATATCTATAATAAAGGAACCCCCCAAATAGTATTGGTAACTATTTAGGCCTGCAGTGAGTTTCTGACTCGCCTACTTCGATCCTGGAAACACGAACTGGGTGTCGATTCCCACAGTCCCCCAAATTATGCACACTTAAGGCTCCATATTAAACAGTAAAGGAAATGAAACACTATCCCCAATCGATACATAGATCCCACTTCCTCTATGCCTCTAAGCTGGCATAATGCAAACAATCCAGCTGCCTCTCTGTCTCTGTACGATTCAAACAGCTACATTACAAGAATCCCGGAAAGCCGCATCTATGTATCCACATGGTGACCTTCATGCTGCTGTCACCTGCTTGTCTACCATGTAACTCTATACTCTACAGCCGCAAGGTTCTGTGTCGTTCGCAGGCGCCGAACCGGAATGTCAATTGAGTCAATACCGATCTCAGTTACTTGTATTTCTTGTTCAAAAGTTCAGGGCTCCCAAGAACTGGGCAAATAAAGTTCTGGTTGAGAGCCAGCCGTTCCACATTCAATTTTGCGCCAGACTTTGTTTATGCATTCGCGCGACCGCTGATATCCGGTTAAGTATGCGCTCTCAGAGCACCTGCAGTGCAGAAACTGCTGAAATTTGGGGCTTCGGATTGGAGGTACCTAAGGTACTGCCAGGCTGCTATAACAGTTCATGTTTACAGCGATCTTTGGTTGGCCCATGCTAGACTATTCGAATGGGCCTTTTTGAGGTGATGTTAATTATTAATGTTATACAGTAACTGTAAAAGGTGCTTTCAAGAGAGAGTCTTATTCAATATTCCCCAAGCCCTGAAGCCTTCAGATCCCTCGGTGTGAACGCGTGGGCCGCCGGGGGCCCTGCATCCCGGCTGGCAAGGATCACAGAAATGTTGCCGATCACATAGCCTCGTGTTTAGAGTTTAAGGGTATTCAGTTTGGGGTACAGGGTTTAGGGTTGAGGGTATTAAGTTAGGGGTATAGGGCTTCAGGCTTTAATGCTTTGGTGATTAGGGCATAGGGTTGCAGGGCTTCAGCAGCACTCACTACACGGGGTTCCGGGGCTTAAGGCGGTCTAAGGGTCCAGTGCCTACAGGGGTTCGATGTGATTAGCACGGCCCGCGGGTGCCAGGTGACCGGTCAAAGTGGATGAAAGGAGCAATGGCTTTGTGGCACTGTTTGTGGAAGTATGTGTACTTTCTCGACGGTCAAGTAGTCCTTGCCATGATGGCTGAGCACGCGATGCACGTCCTGTCTACAGCGCTTTGAACTAGCGGTGTAGAGTTCTCGCCATTCGCCACTCGCCTAACTGCCTCGTGGCAGTCGACGTGCAGTGTTCTGGCTGAGTAGCAAGTAAGTGCAGGAAGTTGCAATTAATTACGTACGACTACATGTAGGGCTTAGGGCGCAAAGTCTAACCCCCCCCCGATACAAACCTCTTAGCCGCTGATCCTTCACTTCAACGATCGAACTTTAAAGCAGAAGGGAAGCTGTTCAGGGTTTAAGACCAAGCAATACTAATCCCCTAGGCCCCGAAAAGCCCTAAGCCCTCAATCCTAAAGTCCCCTTTACCCACGAAGTGTTCGGCGCCAAGTGGCCGTAGAATGCACCGCCAATAATCATCGCGAACATCGTGAAGACTCTCTCTTCATCATCCTGACTGGGGATACAGGCAGTATAGGGATTGAGAGAATGTAGAGGGTTTCGAGATTCCGGTATGAGGCTTGGTATAGCGGCCTTAGCATATAAAGTAGGATTGAGTCATGTAGGGTCCTGATCAATCCTGGGTTTAGGGTTAAATCAATGCGCCTTCATGTGTAGAGTAGGGTCATGATGAAGGCTGTAGGGTCAAGGATGCGATAACACAGCCTGACAGATGAGAGTAGGATTCGGGAGTTTCCGAAAATTAGGGGTACCTCATTTTGGGGTAATTTAGGGCACCATATGGCAGTCCTTGGGATAAGATTTGTATTCTCCCACCTGCTTTCAGGTTTGCATGGGATTTACTAGAGGGGCGCTAAGAAGTAAAGTAGGGGATTGGAGTGTATCAGAGAATACCCATACACAAGAAGCATTAGGGAATATGAGTCAAGTAGGAGTTCATCGTTTTGATCGCAGAAATTGAAACCACAGCTAGGGGGCTTGCGGACCATGGGGACCAGCTAGTGTAGGGATTGTGAATAAGAGGTTGGAGACCTTGAGATTGTGCGGCCTCTGGAACTCGGGGTTAGGGTTCAGGGGTTTCGGGTTTAGGTTGCCTCGGTCTTCTTTTGATGGGCCATGGCGATTCTGTTGCAGCTACTGGCGATGCGAAGAAAAAAAAAACAACTGTGCACAAGGTGTCCTGCGGCGTGATGTCGCCATAGCCCACGGTGGTGACTGTCGTCATGGCCCAGTACAGCGTAGTGATATAGCGCGACCTGTGGCAACCGGATCGGGCATTGGCAAACAGATCGAGCACCATGCTACACTTTGTCGTTAGGTTTCGGTTTGCTGCATTATCTGATGCAATGTTGTAATTTCTGGTATTTAGTATGCGATAAACCGACTACATCCAAGTATCTGCGCGACAAAGAACATCCGTCAGAAAGACAATCCGCTATCCTCGCAGATATCACAGCCCATGCCGGTGTGCCCACGTTGGCACGTCTCCTTTGTTTAGGGGCGCCAGCGAGCGTGATGGCTAGCATCGCTACAGCCGATACAGCCCGTTATGCTGTTTATGTGGCCTGCACTCTGCGTCTTGTGTTGGTCGTGGTGCCAATGTTGTTTCGCCGGGGCGGTCGGTTGGTATTTGAGCCGGCAGGCGGATTGGCAGTTGGGGCAAGACGTCTTATTCCCATACCGACAAGAAGTCAATGGACGACAACGACACCATGACGACAGCCCTCGGTTTCAGAACCGATCGACACCCCAGCGGGGCGCTGGACCCACCGGAATCATCCCCGCACCACTTGCAAGTTGTTTCCCACACGAGTACCCTATGGACTACAGCCACGGTGGTGAGAGAAGTATGCCCCCTCTCCACAAGTGCAGACCCTGAGACACTGAACTCACCTGCAACTGAAACCCTAAGCCTAAACCCTAAACACGAAACTCAAACCCTAAGCCGAAACCCTAACTTTGTCACAACACAACCTGAACCAAGTGCTCCAAACCCAAAGCTACTGCCGAAACCCTGAACCAATTCTCACACCCTCGAAGCTGCTACCCGGAACCCTCGCACTATCAGATAGCCAAAGCGGCTGGACTGGCTCGCCTTCCCAACCTTGGGCCATGGGTTTCAGAGGGGTTTCGGGTCCAGGGGTTCTTGTACTTGGGGCTAAAGGCTTGCATTGCTCTCAACGAGCACCTGCTGTCAAGTCAGCCGCGTGTTTGTTCAGGCTTTTTCAGAAATCCAAGAGCGTACTGGGGCTTAGGGCTGCGTGTGGATTTCTTTGTGCCCGGATTGTGTAGGGTGCGATGGCATGAAGAAGGTCTTGTGAAGGTTCTATGAAGTTTGAAAACGATGCTTTCACATGATGTTTACACGCTTCCTCCGCATCCATTTCATAGTACTGCCTAGGGTTCATGTCGGGGTCACATATGGGCTGATTTTGCTGAAGCTGTGCTGCGAAAAACGTGACACCAGGTAGAAGTGCTATCGCCGCGCATGCTGACTTTACCGGTATATAAACTAGAATCGACCGCCACTAAAGCGCGGAAAAGACCACGACTTACAGTACCACTGCCTCTGCCGACTCGAAAACCCGGAAACTCCAACCGAACTCCCTTGCGACCCTCATCAAACACTTGAGACTGACCCCCTAAACCCTCCAAACCTAAACCCCAAACCCCTAAACCCTAAACCCCTGAACCCTTCAACCATGAACCGGAACTCTGGCCTCCTGACATCTCAACTCAAAAAAATCCTTTTCAGCACGGACTGGCGGCCGGCCAGCTCAAACTCCCTAAAGTCCCTAACCCATCATAAGCTCCTAATTAAAGCAAGTTTCGCCCTGCGTAAAACTCCTAAGACCCGAAAACATGACTTCTTTTTGTTTCGGGTGCCGTATATCCTAAAAAACCCTGACAACGCCAGACTTCAGGAAGATAGCTTGGACCATGAAGTCATTCTGCTCTGAGGTATACTCCGTTTTGAAGGGGCATCGGAATGTCGCGGGGAATCTTCAAGTCGGAATAGTGAGCAATCATATGGGTGGTTGTCACAATTAGGGTTCCTTTCTGGGCACCCTAAATATTAGGTGCCGTACTGTAATAGGGACCAAAAAAGGGACCATAATCTTGACAACCACCCATATTGCGTAATGGCGACCCTTTAAACTCGCTCTAGAAAGCACACTAACATACCGTCAAGACCCTGAAGTCACTGAAGCCGCCTCCTGCTGCACAGAACCCTCAAAGCAACCCTGTAAAGCACCCTTGTTAAGGCCCCTATGTCAGCACCTACAAAATCTCGGACGGCAATTTAAATATGCAGCTAGAACCCCTAAAAGCCTTTGTGCATCCTAGATCCTGTTCTTACCTTTAAGCCCCTTTGTTAACCCCTTCGTGACCAGATCCAAGGCACTATACCGCTCCAGGAACCCACCGGCCAAGATCGGTAGGAGGCATGCGAGGAGGTGTCCCAGGACGCAGCCTGCCGCCATTCGTCCCATTCTGAAAAATGTTTAAGAAGTGTTCTCTCTCTCTCTCTCTCTCTCTCTCTCTCTCTCTCGCTCGCGGACTCAGAGGTCTGTCAGCCGCGCGGTTAAACGGCCCTTGACCAGACACCGAAAAATGCGTTCTACAATGGCAAAAGCTGCTTTTACGAAGGGTTCTAATAAGGATGCAGGAAGAGTTTCTGTGAAGGTTCTGGAAAGGATCCTATACAGGGTCGAAGAAGGATTCTAGAGCCTTTGAGCAAGCTTCAATAAGAAGGTTTATTAAATGGGATCTATAAGGGTCCCGGTTTCCTACGACGGTTCAGAGGCCCTGACGTTCAAGGAGCAGGGGACCGTGCACGGAAGTCATTTCCGGGGGTGAGTGCTTTCCTTGCCCTCGGGCTCCGGTTGCCTAAATGAGGGGTTTAGGGTCGGTTTAGGGTTTAGGGTCTAGGGTCGGTTTAGGGTTTAGGGTTTAGGGTCGGTGTAGGGTTTAGGGTTAAGGGGGGGTAACTGGCTAATACAACGGGCACAGAAGCCGGTAACTAAGTTGCGTGTATGCCATACCAACAGGCAAGAACAAGAGTTCACGAACAAAACATGTGCGGAGGGACCAGAGCAATGTGGACTTCGGTTGCAAAGGAAAGCACAGGCCCAGCAATCGGAGTTTAGGAATAAGGGCTTAGGTTTAGGATTCAGGGTTTACTATTCTTTTCCCACCCGCCCAGCATTTAGGATTTAGGGTTTAAGGTCATAGTCTGAGTCTGAAGCTAACAGTGAAACATGCCTTTACGACTGCAGGTTTCTACCTGCTAGGCAGTTACAGCCAAGCAGTATGCCCCAAACGCTTTTTGCGCAGCCTCAGTGGAAAGACTTCCACCCGAGGATATGATGAGTTCAGAGGAACCTACCTGAAATCATTCCCATGATCCTTCTATAAGTTAAGGTGCAATCCTGAATTAGGGCATTCCGGAGGCTCTGGGAATCTAAACTGCCGTGATCACATTCCTTCTGCTTCTACGCCTCTCGACTGAGTTTAGTGGCTGTCAGGATTGGGGGGTTCAGGGGTTCAGAACATAAGGGTTGTAGGGGTCGAGGATTTGGAGGTCTCAGGATTTACGATTTATGAACCGCAGCTGAGCAGCAGCTGACAAAGATCCGGAATCCTTCCAGAAGCCGTGTGACGTTGGACAACCTCAGTTGGGCTCAGCGTGCTTTGCAAGTTGTCTTTCCGAGCCCATATATGGAGCTTCTTTATTCAAGTACTAGTGGTACCTTAGCTTCAAGATGTTTATAAACTAAGGATCCCATTTTCAAGGGTCATCGCAATAATAGTTTTGGGCATAGTGCACTATAGCAGATCTATAAGGTTCGTGTTACTGATCTTCCAGGATTCTATATGATGCTGTATCCGGTTTTCTACTGTGCTTGCAGGGAAACCCTGAAACCCTCAACCCGTACCTCCTTTCTCCTAGGTCCTAGACCATAAATGGATTCACCCCAGAAAGCCTCAAGCATAGAGCCAGGGAGCAAGATGATATCCTCCAGTCTGCTACCCAACTCGGTCCCCTGGAAGATTTTCCTCGGATGTGCTGTAGGGGCTTCATGAATCAGAAGAGATATCCAGGAGTTTCCAACAATTAGAGGGTAGCTTAGGGTTCCTGTAACGGGTTACTTCAAGGGTACTATAGGGTTAAGGGTTCCTTTGAAGTGCTCTAGAAGGGTTCAGAGTTTCCGAAAATGAGGGGTATCTCATTTTGGAGTCCGCATAACACGGATCCTACTATTTAGGGTACTATATTAGGGTCCCCTTTCTCCGGAAACTCCCATATCTAGACTTGTTTTCATGAGGGCTTGTGGGGTTGAACGGCTTGGGATATACTTTAGAATTATAGACTCTTACAGGGATCTTCAGGGGGCATTGTTACTCAGCCCGTAACCAGCCCACATGGGTTGCTGCAACAGGCGTTGAACGAAACCCCTCTAGTCCCTAATTACGTTTACTGCTGTCCCTAAGCCCCAAACCCTCCTTTACATCGGAATTTGGGCGTTTCGGGCCGTGGGCTGCCGTGGAACTACTTTTACGCGCAATCGCACAATCTCAGTGCCTGCTGACGTCTACGGCAAAATCTGCGGTTTTGCGAGAGTGCATGCCGGGGGATGTCAGATTGGATTTCTGGTTGCATCCAACTTTGGTTTGCGCGTCTGTGGAGCAACCCTGAGTTCGTAAACTTGGCTTGGGCAAGGCCTTTCTGCGGAATGTGAGGATGCTAGACTCTTTCTCCGGCTGTAGGTCCTTCAGAGATGAGACATTCGGCCGATGCACGGTAAGGCTTCGAAAAACGAACAGGTTTCCGAACATGGAAGGTTTTGTTAAGGGTTGGTTTAAAGCTGAATAAGTGAGGGTTAGAAGAAGCGAAGTCCGAAGCATAAGCTTGCTTCCAAAAATCGTGCGACCTTCTAGAGTGGGAGTTTCCGAAATTAGGGTACCTTATTTTGGGGACCTTATAATAAGGATCCTACTATTTAGGGTACTATCTTAGGGTCCCCTATTTTCGGAAACTCCCAGTGTCGGGAAGCTCCCGGTTGCACAGACTTACCGAGTTTACTGATGTAGTGCTCAGCTCCTCCTTACTTTCCCCTGCGCTCTCATCCACAGGAACCCCAACAGCTGACACCTCCCAACACCCAGAATATACCATAAGCCCGAATCCTCATGCCTAAATTGCATCCAAAACGAATCCTGGACCCACACTCATCGCATGGGCTGAAATTGAAGACGGTCATTGTCTACTCAGACTCCCCGTCTTGCCCAGGAAAATTTGGCACCCGAGCTGCAAAAACTTTATTGCTCGCAGAAGCTTTAGCACTTTTAAGACCTGCGACAAGGCATGGGTGTGAGGCATGGGGCATGGGGCACTTCAGATTACTTCACACGACTGCGCTGCTTCCGGTAGGTTTCCTGATCGGTGATGGAATGACCATGAGCTCAATGTACAGGAGTGTCTAGAAAGCTCGCAGCTGCTGACAGAGGCATAGTCTAAGCACAAACCCGAAGCCGACCCTGGTTCAAGATCTTCTGAGGCAAAACCTCAAGCTCTAAACCCGGAACGCAGTAGGAGCTTAGGGGAACTGAAACCTTGCACTTCTTACCCGCAAGATGCCCTGGAGACTTGTCAACTATTGGGACTTGAATCATCAGAATATGGCTTCGCGGCGTTATCATAATTTAAACCTGACTAAACTCAACACCCCAAGTCATGTTATGAGGAAACAGGACCGTAATCGCCAGTCAAGGGTTGGCGCGAAACAGAGCTGCCCATTCAACAGGCGTCCAGATTCCAGAACATCCCGCCAGCATCACATAGGAGGCGAAGGCTCTACGGGTGTGTGAGCTGGGTTTTGGGTTCAGGGTGTCGCTGCTAGTTTTGTCGCGCTGAGAGTTAGCTAGGGGTCATCGCTGCCGCTCTTATCTCAGCAAGTGTCTAACTACCACAGTCGACACCACGTTCTGCCAGCTGACAAGTTGCAGCTGTCGTTTCTAATTGCAATAATGGCCCTTTCGCCGTAGACCGAGCTGGCCACCTGATGATCTCCCAAGAAGTCTACATGTCACCCCCGGGGAAAATTGTCAACACACAGAGACTATGGGGGATAGACGAACTAGGTATTCAGACCTCCGTGTTAAAGGCTCCTCCCTGGTGCCTTGCTTCCTTTCAGAAGCTTGATCCCATCCGTCGAAGGTCCCCGTTGAACGATGTACTCCAGCCTTGGTTGTGGGTTCCCACAGTTGAGGGCTTAGTTTCAGCTTCTTCGACGAGGTGCCGAGCAATCCAACACCCCTGCACAAATCAATGCCGCATGGCCATCCGTGGCTCCTCCAACGAACAAGCGACTGACTGGCTTATCATAGGTAACTGAACTAGCTAAGGAGCTGGCTAGCTGAACAGCTGGTACGTTGACTAGCTAGTAACCTGCATCTACACCGGCAACAGACCGAGATCTTCGCGAGATATAAACTTCATAACCCAGCATATAAGAAGAACCCAGATAAGATAAGATCGGGCTTGTGGAAACCTACCAATATGAATGGATCCACAAGCCTTTGCCCGTGCAAACGCTTGGGGTTCGGGATTAATCCATAAACAATTTTACCATTGCGTTTCTATCTCGGTTTTATGGTTTAGAGAGATAAGTGCCGCAGTTCATGCCAATGTGTCGTGCCGCCAGCAAGAGGGAGGAATCGGTCTTGTGCTTATGAGCGAACCCGGATTTCAAAGCCCACTACAGAAGACGGCCTGCCAACCCTCGACTCGAAACCGAAACCTCGCAACACCTTAACTATACCCTGAGCCCTAAGCCCTAACCCTCAAGCGAAAAACCATCGCCACAAAAAGACTTCCTTGAGCCAGGCATCGGTACAGCCGTCACAAAGTCAACGAAAAACCAAGTGCGTAGATAATGCACCATCACCTGCAAGGGTGGTGTACGCTTCAGAACTCGGACTGTAGGGCTTCGAGCTTTAAAGTAAAAGCCAGAAAGTTGGAATATGATTATCCTAAACCCTTTATGGTAAATTATAGGGTATCCTACCCTGAAACCATATTCCAACTTTCAGGAGTTCCCTTTAAGGTTTGGGTCTACAGTCTCCTACTTACACACCTAGTAAGCAGGTTACACGTAGGTTTATAAGTACCCTGAATGGGGTTACCCCACTAAAACAACCCTAAACCCTAAACCCCTACTTATAACCCGCTTACCAAGTCCCCTGGGCCTGAAAAGTATAGGGTTCGAACTGTGCAAAACAGGCACCACTCCTCGGAATGACCGGAGAGCAAGGAATTACAAGGGCCTTCATAAAAAACTAGAACAAGGTTTTGGGCCCCTTATACTACAAATAAAATAAGGAACACCCAAAATAAAATAGCATACGTAATCATTTCCATATTAAGGCCACTGTATTAAAAGCTGAAGATGGAGCCTGATGTAAGCAGCAGATTTTTACCATGCCAGATAGTGGGGAAGCAGTCGTAAGACCTTAAGCCCACAACCTTATGCTCTATACCCCAAAGGCCTTGCAACAGAAAACCCGGTACGCCTCAAGCCTGAAACCAAAATTCTTCGGGTTGGCGCCTTGTGCCACTGGAAGACTTCCTCCCCCTCGTCGTCGCCTTGGCACGATGCGCACGTTTAGCGCCTGAAGTTTTTACAGCTCTGAACTCAGGGAGGAACTCCTGTGAACCTGCTTGATCCCCAGTCAGCCCTACACGTTCAAGCCCCCCCCCCCCGGACTCTAGCAGTGTAAGTCAAGGTTTATCTCAAGATTCGGGGTACATACGGTTTAGGGCTTAGGGGTACAGGGCTGCAGTTTCGGGGGTTTGGGCAAGATTTAGGATGACAAGGCCTTGATGATTCACAAATTCACAAGACCCAAGCCTCAAACCCAAGCCCCAAAACCCGAAACCAGAAGTCTGCAGTCAGCCAGTAAGGCAACCCAGTAATGAGCTATCTACGAACTATGATACAAATACATCGCGATGTGACACTAGTTTGAATGCCAAACTGCATGCACACCGCTTTTACTATATGATCTTGAGCTGGAAGCTCAGTGGTTTTTGCAAAACCTCAAAAATCCGGATACTGCAGGGACAGGTTTGATAATCCGCCCGAGGTGCTATAAGAGGTTCGGAAGGTCAAGATGATGTCGAAGACGAAGCAGAGGTCGATCAGAAGCTCCAGCACGCCTGAAGTTTGTGTGTCGCTGTTGCAGGCTGTCTTCGGGTTTTGGGTTTAGGGTTTACGGTTTAGGGATGCTTCAAAATCTCTTTACAAAGCTGTTAAGCTGTGATCCCATCCCACGCCAGAAACACTCAGATGGTCAGCTACAGGTAAGCTCAAGCTTGGTCACTCTCGGCAAACGAGCTCGGAACAACACAGAGAGCCCAATACCCTCTGAACTAAGGCTCTACACCCGTAGTTAAGCCCTAAACATTCCTTAGTTACGAGGCCCCTGGGCTTCTTTGGGGATTTCGAAGCCGGATACTCCAAGACTAATATTCACAGGAAAGCTGAGGAGCTAAAGCAGAAGGACCCGTGGGGTTTAGGGTTTCGGGTTGCCATCGAAGAGAGCCCACGAAGAGGGAAGGGAATCCCCCACATGTCTCATGTTCATCTCTATTTTTCGGAACACACGCAACTGGCCCAGAAATGGGTACAACGCACATATCACTGTGTCGTGAAGTAAACCAATCGCTCAGCCTCAAACTGGTTTCTTGCGGATGAAGTTAGCTTGAACTACGATCATCGAGATTTGGAGCAATTCATATGCTGCCCTCGGCCAGGGGGCTGGATGTTAAGTTCCACATCCTATGCAAAAGCCCCTTAGGCCCGAGCAAGACGCACTTCCGAGGAGAAGCCAGAACCCATGCGGCCAAAGGGGCCCCAGAAAGATTCAATGCCTTCCTCCAGCTCGTAGAACGCCTCTTCTGATGCTCTGGCAAGATGCTTTGGTACGAGTTTTAGTGCTTGGGGTTAAGGGTTTAGGGCTTTGGCTCCCTTGTCCCAGAGGCTGCAGTCTGCGACCTGGTACGATGGTTTCAGGGGTTTAAGGTTCAAGCTAAGGCTGAGCGTTTAGGACTTGAGGGGTCAAGGGTTGGAGGGTTTCAGGCGTGCTTTTTGTGGTTCTTGTGGGGCAACACCGTGCAGAAGGCCTGGAGATACAGAATCTAAGCATGTGGGGTCAGCCGCTGCAGAGAGAAGCCCTCAATGAAAAGGGAGCCTCCACTTGGAGCAACCCTGCGTTTTTGACAAGCCTTAAACTCCTCACCATGAACACTTCAGTGCGCTGTGCACTCAGCCAATCACACGGAAAGACGACCCTGAGTTCGAGCTCTTTGGGCTCTTGCCTCTTAAAACTGAACCACAGTACACCGTTCTGAAGTCGAGCCTTAGGGCTTTTCGGGGAACCCTCCATCAACTCACTGAGTCCAAGGCCATGCTCATGCCCGCCATAAGAGAGCAGAGCCACAGTCAGCGAGGAACCAATTTCAAAAGTCTCACGGGCTGTCCGTTTCCACATTCGGGGTGTTGATGTACCCCTCAACGAAATCCCAACCCCGAAAACTTAAACCGAAAAACAACCCCAAAGTTGCGGCCACGTGTCAAGGCGGAATGGCAAAATCAGGGCGATATACATCAGCAGGAGGGTAAGGAAGCAATCCCAAAGCAGTCCTCAAGCTGTCGTCATGTTGTGCTGTTTTTGGGGTCCTTGTTCAGGAGCTCAACTTAAAGTGCCATAGTGAGGAAACCACATTTTTGCTGTAGATCCCTATTATGGCAACTTAAACTAACTCCTTCACAAGAACGTTTTGGGCCCCATTAGACTATAAATATAACAAGGAACCCCCCAAAAAAAGTATAGGTAACTATTGAGGCCCATATAATCGAGAGCCACGGGGAAAGAACGAAGTCTCTGGAGCAGGAGAGCAGCTTGAGAACAAGCGAAGGAAGCCCCTCTGAGGCATTGCGAGACTCGCTGAAGATGACCACAAAGATACAGGGAGTGTCGGCACTTACCCACCCTTAGAGCCATAATAAAATTACCCTAAAGCCACGGTTTAGGGTTTAGGGGTAAACCCTACACCTTAAGGAGACTATAGGGTGCGTCCGAACAGATCCAAACAACCCGAGCGGCCTCCCGATACAATCTTTTGGCACAACCCCTCCGAGGAAGGCACTTCCCTGACAGAAGGGGGCATACGGATCAGCTAGTCCTCCAACTACATGCCAAAGTTAAACATGATCGGCCAGGCATCCCCACAGGCTAAAACCCCTTTTGGCCTCCTATGATACCCTTATAGACCCCTTTAAAGGAACCGCTATAAATCCCTTTAAAGGAACCTTAATCACCCTAAAATCCTAGAACTTAAGCCGCATCAGTTTCCGAGGGAGGCCGAGGTTCTACAAGTTTAGGTTAGAAGGGGCCCCCACCCTGTAATAGTGGTATAATAGGAATATAATAGGGCCCTAATATAATCTATTACAGGGTGGGGCAGCTTCTAAAGTTTAGGGCTTGTTAGGAGGGGTTTGTGCCCTCAGCGCATTACAGGCTTTACAAGGTCCCTCCCACCTAAGCGGCAAACGACCTGTTCTGCCTGTCGAGATGCTCTTCGTCGAGCGGAAGGACAGCATAAACCTCGGCACCGGACACCCTCGCTTGAAGTATCTACTACTACTTTGGGGGGTCCTTAGTAAAACTGTAGTATGATGGGCCCCAAAACCCTTTTCTAATTATTAAGGCCCCTATATTAAGCCCCAAACTTTTTGGGAACAAGATGTGGGTCGGTTACGACATCTATGTCGAGCAGGCCGAATGCTGAAAGAGCCAGAACAAGCCCTGAACTCTACCAGATGCGAAGACTTCGGGGTATTAAAAGGGCCTAAACAATTGGTAGCGGGCGCATAGGGCGCCAGGTGGTTTCATGCGTTTTTAATGTTTTTACTGCACAAATCAAGGGTTTTTACTGCTGTTCAGGACTAAGGGGGTGGGGGGAGCAGTCGCATATCCTCTCGAGCGGGCAGTTGCAAGCCGGCGGCATCTTTGAGAAACGTCTCAGAAGTCTGTGAGAAGTCTGTGGGAAACCTGTGATAAGTCTTCGAGAAACGTCTCAGAAGTCTGTGAGAAACCTGCGAGAAGTCTCTCAGAAAGCTATGAGAAACCTGTGACAAGCCTTTGAGAAATCTATGAGAAGTCTGTGAGAAACCTGTGATGTCTTTGAGAAACGTCTCAGACGTCTGTGAGAAGTCTGTGAGAAACTTGTGATAGGTCTTTGAGATGCGTCTCAGAAGTCTGTGAGAAACCTCTGAGAAGTCTCTCAGAAACCTATGCGACAAGCCTTTGAGAAGCCTGTGAGAAACCTGTGATGCGTCTGTGAGAGACGTCTCAGAAGTCTGTGAGAAACCTGTGATAGGTCTTTGAGAAATGTCTCACAAGTCTGTGAGAAACCTGTGAGAAGTCTCGCAGAAACCCATAAAGTCCTAATGACGGTGAACATGATGTTGCTACCGACAATGATGAGGGTTGTCATGATGATGAAGATGCTTAAGATGATGAAAATGTTGATGACGGCAATGATGGTGATTATGATCATGTTCAATGTGATGATTACTAATATGCTGAAACATGATAATAAAAGTCCTAGTGACGGTGAAAATGACGTTGCTAGCTGATGATATTATAACCGTAAAAATGCAATTAGTTTCGGTGATGTCCTACAAACCTGTTTTTTGTAGAAACCATGCTAAAACCCCACTTCCGCGCACATTCTAAGTACGAAAACCACACGGCGCCCTATGCGCCCGCACCCAAATAATTACCGATACTATTTGAGGGGTTCCTTATTATAACTATATATAGTATAATAATGGGCCCCACAACCCTATTCTAAATATCAAGGCGCCTGTATTACTGCGGCTCCTGTTTTCTTGATTTTGGACCCTAGGGCCTTCGGGTGCAGCGGACGGAGTTTAGGCAAGATGGGCCGGTTCCCATCCACCAACCCCAGAAACCCTGTTCAACCCTACACCCCGAAGCACCACTCCACCTGGGAAATCCCACACCCTAAACCTTGACATCAAATCCCAAAATCCTACGAGCTCCCCTATCCACCCCTTCGGCTCGAGGCCCCGACCAGCCCTTTTCCTCGTCTTGCGACAGGACCAGGGTACCCGCCTGTGGACGGACCCCCGGGAGGATCCACAAAGAAGATCCCTTAATGGGGGTTCCTATAAAGTACCCTTAGTACTTAGTAGTAGGGCCCCAAATTAGGGGATCTACTTTCTAGATCCTCCCGAAAGTCTGGGTGTGGACGGAGAGGGCTTCAGGCTTTAGGTGAGCTAGCTTTTGAAGAGTAGGAATCACAATGCAAATCATAATGATGCTGACGGCGATATTCAGGATGAGGTAACAAGCAAGGGTAGTATGCAACGTGCTAAAGTTGAGGTTTTGAGTGCGCACTCTCAAAATTCAATCGGACTCTGTCAGGCTGTTTCGCTATTAGACGCTCGTGGAAAGGGGCTTCCAGGAACACCTGAGTTGGACTTCAAAAGCATCAAGATATTATCTTTGACTAGGTTTGATTTTTTTGATGCCCAGCTTTGAAGTTTTTGGTCCAGGACTTAAAGCATAACAACAAACTATCCCCATGTCCTACCACTTCTCCTACCCACCTGAGGGCTTCTCTGTATTAACTACTTGGATGTGGCGCGCCCTCGCAGCAGGAATCCGTGCTTAGGAGCCTTTTCAGCATGGGCTTGGATTGTGTGCCAGCGAACACTCCTCAGCAGGAGCCTAAACCCTTTTGCATCCAGCCTGCAAAGCCTCAGCTGGGAAGTACATGAGCACCTAAAGCAAACCTTCAAGTCTGCCTAAACCCTAAACCCTTCTACCCACCTGCGCTTGCTTCACGATGGCCCTCGCGAAACTTTCGATTGTCCCAGATCGGCGCTCACGGACGGCAACACCTGGGTGAAGCTTCGGGGTGTACTATCACGCGGGTGGTTGTCAAAACTATGGTCCCTTTTTGGGTACCCTATAAATATTACGTGCCGTATTATATGAAGGACCCAAAAAGGGACTCTAACAAGGACAAGTACCCACGTAAGTCTACTATTTTGGCTCCCGCAGGTCGTGTTACGTCATGTCAGGGGGATCGAACATCCGTGCCCAAGGTTCTGCTACGGTGCACAAGGACAGGCAACGGACCCCGAGTGACGTCTCGCCAGCTGGTTCAGCATCAGTTGTGCAACAAATCAGCCGTCAAGGTCTTTATGGGGATTGACAAAGGCCTTCGAAGGGTTTGATGATGGGCTTCTTCATGATTAGGATGGTGTCTTGGGCTATATAGTACTTTGTTAGTGTTAATTTTATGGGGTTGGAGCACAGATGATCTTACTTAATACGGAACCTCTAGCGGCCGGGCCACTGTCAATGGACGAGACCCATTCTGCCAGCTCGATTTTGCCTCCGCTTTTGGGGCTTAAGGGGGTTTAGGGGTGTTTCTGTTTTGGGTTTGTGGTATGTACTGCTGATGGACAAAATCCTGCATTACCCATTATAAGGAACAAACCATAGTTCCCATAGTTTAGGGTCCTTAGGGTCATGCAGGATTTTGTCTTTCAACAGTAAGTCCCTCTTTGCGCTGTGGCCTTTGCAGATTTGGAGGCTCGCCTGCCGAAGCTCTACTGTAATGTAGGAACCTGATCAAGAAGCCTTGGGCCTTTACTAAGGCTCCTTATATGAATCCTACTGTTTTGGGGTTATAGGCCCAGTGTTTCTTAATCGGGCAACTTAGTGAGGATGCCTTTGGGCGGGCTTGTCGTTCAGGCCTGTGTGGTGTAGGAATCGGGTTTAGCTTGCTTCGGTCCCGCACCCAAAGCATTTCCTAAACGTGATTGTGGGCATATAGTTGGGCTGTAAATGCAGGTTCTACTTGGGTTACAAGTACCCCCAACCCCAAGCAAACCCCAAACGCGGATATCAGGCTTCCAGCATTAGGGAACAAGATCCGTTTTCTTTCATGCGCCGGTCAAACATCGAGGTCTGAGCTGTGAATTAAGAATATCTCCTTCATAATACTGTGTGATAGTTCTACCAGACTAAGCACCAAAATCCCTTTCGAAGTATTTAACGTCCAGTGCAGATTGTCTTTCTGCAGCTGGTTGGGTTTAGGGTTCTATGCTGCGGGCCTTTCGAAAAAAAACCCTAAACCGTTTAAGATTTTTACGGACCTTTCAAACCAGGCCTAGGGCTTCAAGTCTATTTCGAAGTGAAGCTTGAAGGCTTAGGATTGTAGGGGTTTAGGGCTTGGGCTGTGGAATTAGGGCCGTGGATTTAGGGAAGAGGAGTTTAGGGTTTAGGGCTGCATGAGCTTTTTGGGCTCAGTCCTAAGGGGGCTCTGAATTTTCAGCTACAGCAGCTACATGTTGCGGGAGGGTGAAACCGTGAAGATCATGTGCAAACACAAGCACGGAGGCTTAGGGAGAACGGACCCTAACATCGGCTAGAAGTAAAGAGAGCCTAAGGTTATTGCATTGGCGCCGCAACTAAGAAGCCCGCAATCGACAGCGAAAAGCGTAGATAAAGACATTCGCGCGATCCCGTCTCGTGCCGCTTCGAGGTTGGACATCAACTTTTTGCTTTCAGACTCGCCCTTTACTAGGATGCCCAGTAACCTGGGAATACAAAGGGCTCCCTTTTTGGTATTGGGTAACTTCTTAAGGAACCTATGACTACAAAAAGGGAATAAGGGTACTACTGGGCATCCTTAGTTTAGCGTCCAAGCCCAAAGCCCCAAATGCCTGCACAGCGAAGCCACCCCAAACCTTAAACCCCTCATAGAACCCTTGGAGCACACCCTTCTCTATGTAACCCTTTAAACTTGCCTCATAGATCCAAAAGCCCCAAAACATCAACTGACCGAATCGAAGAGTCTTACAAGCCAAGCCACCGTTTTTATTGGTATCCAGTGTCGCCAACAAACGATGTGCACGGCCTGGATGCTGCCTCGGATTAGGATTTTTCCCTCTCGGATTAGGATTTAGGATTCTGGGTTCAGCATTGGGGACTTTTCAGCATTGAGGCTTCGGGGTTCAATGGTTGCAGTGATTAGGGCTTCTGATTAGCGGGTACAGTCCAGGCTTAGTTGCTGAGTTCATAAGCCCCCAAAAGTGTACACTTTCCGCTCCATACTGGGTAATGTTCTCAAAGGTGTATATACACTTTCCGTTTCATAATGGATAATATCAACCCAAAAAGTGTAAAGTGTATCCACTCAGCTACTAAGAAGGGATCGCGGACAGAAGCTGAATCTCCTTCGGCTCGACAGGATCAGACTTAAACGCTATAAGGATTGAGCTCCTTACCATGCCGGATTTTTTCTTCTCCTCGCCCCACCTCGCCTTACTTCTGTCACGAGGAACTAATTCTGCTGGCGCTCGAGGTTCGGCTAGCTCCCACAACTATGTCGCGCGGTCTGCTCCAGATGTGTATCCTTGTTCTGGCTATGTCTCGTTTCCTTCCTCGGCTTAACTTCGGCACGTATCTCTGTCGGTATCCACTCTCACGGCCAGGACCACGACCAGTTCTGCCAACGGCGACACATGCTGCTGCTGCTGCTGCTGCTGCTGCCATGCAGCTTCTGCTCGAAGCCGACAGTGCTACTCCAGGCGCTACTCTTTGGTGCCTGTGTTATTGATGATGATGAACATGTTCTTCCTGAGAGCACTTAAAGGCGAGCGCAATCACGATAGGGACCACCATGTTCGTATTATTTGTTGTGGAAATGATATTGACGATTCTGGTGGCGGCGGTGGTGCTGCCAAACTGCGCGGATGAAACGGACCCGACCTTTTTCCAACTCCCTCTGTCGCGCCATACGCCAGGGTCTCGATGCGCAAGGGCACGCGAGGGAGGCTAGAACATCAGCAAGCACATAGCGGGAGCGCAGAACCCCGTCATTCTTAGAGCTCACCCGACTGGACAAGAACTGACCGGTAAGTTGTTTGGGGTTGGAGTAAACTAAACCCTAAACCCCAAACTTCACCAGGGCACCCAACGGCACGCAGGCCCCGACGAAGCTCTGCCGCATCGATGACCCCGGACTTGTCTAAGTCGAGCCTGAGCGATGCCAGGAATGGCTCCAGCGCTTTCGGGTTTAGGGCTGTAGGATTTAGGGGTTCAAGGGTTTTGCACTTCAGGGCTCAGGGATAAGAACAAGAGCCCGACTGGGTTTCCCAGAGGGTCTCTGAGGGCCTTCCGGCCTTAGGGACAACACGCCTGCCAGGATTCTACAAGGGCTTGAGACCTGAGAGTTCGGGTTTCTTTAGCACATCACTCCCTTCAACCCTAAACTAAACTACGAAGCCCTTTTTTGCCACTGGACTGAAGTCTAGCCAGTTTAAGACCTCAATCATGTGAACTACGAAGCCCTAAAGCCTGAACCCTGTAAGCCCGAGAGCCCAACTCCTTCCCGCCGTTGGGTTTATCATAGGGATTTTTAGGGGTGTAGGGGGAGCGGGGGTAGGGGGCCTTAAGGCCCATAATAAGGACTAATAAGGCCTATTTAAGGAAATATAGTCCCCTACACCCCTCCCCCCTACACCCCTAAGGATCCCTTGAGTTTAGGCTGGAACAACTTGAGTAAGCTCGGCAGGGTGTTGGCTTTTGGGTTTAGGGGCTGCTGGATCTCAGAGAAGTAAACCCTAAAAGCTAGAAATCCAGAAATAACACATAAAATCCTGGTAAGGCCCTTGCATAGAACCCAAGACCCTATCAACAGCTGGAAACCCTACAGGAACCCTTCAACACAAAAACGGTAAAGCCACTGTGTAACCCTTACAAAACTCCAATCAGCAGCCACTGCGGAAACCCTTCAACAAGCCAGCAGCTTGTGGAACAGATCGATGAGCATAGATCGGTTCCTGAGTAGGTCAGATCCACGAGCGGCATGCTCACTGTTCCCCTCTCAAGCGTAGCAAAAGCCTAACATGTCTGAGCGCTCCCAACAACCCATGGTAACTGGAAGCAAACGTAAGACCGTTGGACAACGCCCTGAAAGCCTCATGAAGCCATATAAGATTAAACTTAAAAGAGACCAAAAACCCCTTCAGCTAAATAGTTCCAGGCTCAACGGGGACAGAATAGCTCATCACAATGATGGGATAACTCCGATTCTGGTACGTTCAAAACATACATTGTACAAGAGTTAGCACGTCCCGTGATCCTTGCAGTCCTGGCCCAAAAAAAGTCCCTAAAACACCCTGACCCCCAAATGCCATGAGCCGAAAAACACCAAAACAACCTTGTTGCTACTGGGCTTGAGTAGCCAGATCCGCTCGACCTCTAACCCCAAAACAACCTAAATAACGCCTAAACCCTAAGCTCTAAACTTAAATGCACTTGTCTGCTTGTAAACCCCAAAACAACCTAAAGCCTAAACCCTAAGCTCTAAACTTAAGTGCACTTGTCTTCTTGTAAACCGCAAAACAACCCAACGCCTAAGCCCGAAGCTCTAAACCCCAAAACCCCGAAAAACTTAAGTGCACTTGTCTGCTTCTTTGGCAGAGCAGCTGTGCCAGAGCCTCCGGGAGGGAAGTCGACTTCGTCGAATACTTCGAATAGTTGCTGGGAGCATCCTGAAAAAAGGACGCGTTTAGGTCAGATTTTAGGGCTCTAGGGCTAAGGGCTTGGGATTAAGATTTCGGGTAGTAAACTTGGTATACTCCAGGGTTTCGGGCTTAGGGTTTTGCGATTTTTTTTGGCGCTGTGGTTTGGAGTTCGGGGCTTTGGGCAAAGGAAGGCTTACAGAGCTCCCGCTGGAAGGAGCCTCGAATGGGTTTGCTTTGGGAGCTTCCGAAAATTAGGGGTACCCTAAATAGTACTCTACATAGTAGGAACCTTATTGTAAGGACCCCAAAATTAAGGTACCCCTGAGTTTCGGAAACTCCAATTTGGGTTCTTTGAATAGGTGAAGTAAGGGCGCCATGGGAGTTTCATGAGAAGGGGAACCAAACATCACAGTAGGGACTCTGATCTCATGATAGGGGCACTTTTCTTTGTCATTATTGTTACTATCAATATAATCCCTGAGCCTTAAACCTTAACGCTGAAACCTATTTAAACAAAACCCGGTTTGAGTATGACAAAAGCCAAGTCGCAGAAGCGTCCCCGCCGTCATCCTTGCCGGAAGGATGCGTGCTACGAATAAACCCTAACCCCTAACTAAACCCTAAACCCTAAACCCAGAACCCCAAACCCTAACCTAAACCCAGAACCCAAAACCGACTTGCACAGGCCGGCGAGGAGCCCCAAGCACTTCCCCGCATGGCAACAAATGATGCCCTTAACTGTCTGGTTCTAAGTAGGGCATGGGGGAATGGATCAGCGAGACCATTATTGGGGATTTTATATAGGAACTACTATAGGGATGCATACCCCTATTTCCTACTAAGCACCAAGAGTGGACAGAAATCAGTGGTGTAACGAATCGGAGTGTTAGCGGAAACGGATGTGAGGGTTTCCACAAACCGGGACCCTAATACAGCACCCTAAATAGTAGGATCCTTATCATACGGACCCCAGAATAAGGTATCCCTAATTTCGGAAACTCCCAATATGAAGAATAAGCACCAGCCCATAAGAGATCGTCGTAGTAGTGGTAGTGCCGCGGAAGGGTACATGCCGAACCCAGGATGGCAACCCCGGGACCTAGGAGTTTTACATGCTCTAGCGAAGATGTGGAACCTTGATTCTGATATATTCTGGTATTAAATGATACAGGTGTTAAGAATATAAACTGCCCTATCACACCCTTATGTACCATAATGTTGTAATGCTAGGCATTTAGGCTTCTCATGAAACTCTACCTCCTGAAACCCAAACCTTTTCGGAGTTCGAGAACGCTTCCGTGAGAAGTCGAAACCCTTCGGCGACCTCGCCGACGGCGTGCTCTGAAATGCAACGAGGCTAAACAATGTGATCCGTGGAAGCTGCAGATCAGCAAAAGGGAAGAACAGGGTTCAACTTATCTTGGGTTACAGTAGAAGCCAGAAAGTTGGAACATCATTATCCCCATGCCCTTAAGGTAAAGCATAAGGGATACTAGCACAATCCTCCTAAAGCCATGTTCCAACTTTCTGGCTTCTACTGTAGTAGGGAATGGAGGAATGGGTACAATTATAACTACTATTACTACCATTCTTCCAATCCCTACTAACCAAAGGCAAGTCAAAGCCGAGGGTGGGCGTTGGGGTTCTCCATCCTTTTCTGGCGCACCGAAACTTCCAGAGCCGAAAAACCTGAAATCCCCAATGCCGAATCAACCTCTGAGACGGAAACCCTCAAACTTCAATCCCCAAAGTCCCAAAGCCCTAACCCAAGCTAGCGTGAACTCCAAGCGGCAATTTGGTTCCACACCTCTTCCTAGGCTCGTTAGGGCATTCTAGACATGAGTGACCATGGATAAACAGCTTTGCAAGTACGAAGAGGTTCTGGCCCACTTAGCACCTTACATTGGGCTTGTAATCACTGTAAATTTTGCGAGCACTACATGCTACATGGATCAGTCGCTGTCGTCGCCTAGTGGTAGTAGCTAGTCTTACTATTCTGATTAATTCACATATGTTATATTTTTTCATTGATATTACTACATAGTGTTGTTACTGTTGTTATGAATACTAGTGCAGAGTGTCGGGGAGTTAGGGGTGGCCCTGTCAGCTGTAGGTTTGCAAGCAGCTACACCTGGTAGGTTTCCGCTCCGGTGCTGTCACCCTGAATCACGATCCGAACCCTCTTCTTTAATCCTTGAGGTCACCAGATTGAACCGTGCAAGACTCGTAGATACACGGATCTAGTCATTATGGAAGCTTCCTGCCTAAAAAATCACACTCCTCAAGCCTCACATTTGTTCCTTTGAGGCCCTAAATTGCCCGATGGCGACGAAGCTGCAATGGCGTCCATTTGCTCCTCTGTGGGCCCATCCGGCACCGGCGGCGCGGTCGGCCGTAGCGGCTTTCCCCTGAGGGTTTTGGCTTAAGCCCTATAAACTATAAACCCTAAAAGCCCCAAAAACCCTCAAGGCCCCAAAACCCTAAAGGCAACCATTTTTTTGGAGGAAGGGCTGCAGTGCTGCAGTGCACATGCCCCAAACCCTAAAACTTAAAACCGCGAAAGGTACTTCAACGAGACTCTACGGTGGCTCTTCGGTTTTCGGAGCCTCCAATTTCCCTTAATTAAGCTTAAATCAGAGTATGGATCCTACTATAACTTTAGGTATCTTCCTTAATTGACGTATATTGGAATTTCTGGGTCCTTTTGCAGGTGCTCTAGGGGTTCAGGGTTTTCGACTCTCACGACTCGCACAAGGCAGGCAAGGCTCCACAGAATCCGAGAGATACCAATCGTAACTCTTGCGAATGCCAGAGAAAAAAACCTACAAAGCCCTAGAAAGCCATATAAACCACTCTAAAGACCGACCCAAGAATTGAATTCCGAAGTCTCATAAAAAAAACCCTGCAACGCCCTCTTAAAGTTCATAAGGGCCACTCTAAAGAAGGGTTTAGGGGTTTGGGGTTTCGGGTTTCTGAAGACCGCGCTACGAAGTACGAAACATGAGATACCACAAGCCAAGACCACCCAAACAACGCTAAACCCCGTGAACCAACAAACCACAAACACCCTCACTAGGAGTTTGCTGTGGCTTTGTATCGTTCAAAGGTTTATGAAGGGCTCGATAAGGTATCCTTTCCGGGTGCGATTAAGGGCTTCTTTAGGAGTTCGATGCAGCAGCGACTAGGGCTTTCTACATTTCGAGTTGAGAGTTTGTACCCTTCAGTGGTCGTTGCAAAAGGCTCTCCAGTTCTTTAACTCGAAGTTGTGGGCTTGAGTGTGTTTACGGATAACCTGAAATGTCACCCCCCTGACGTTCAAGAACTCACCAAGCCCTTGTAAACTCTAGCTCCTATGTATGGCATCGAAGCCCCCAAACAACCTCTAGCACCCTGGAGCCCGAAACCGGCTTAAGGCTAAACCCTAACCCCTCAACCTTGCACCCAGTGGCTTCCTCAGAACTGTCAAGACGGAACCCGAAACTTGCAGTCCTCTTCAAGCAGAAAAGCCTGCCCAACCCAAGCCTGAAAAACGAAACAACACCGAGCCAACCGGGCAAAAGATATCCAAGTCGTCCCAAGGCACCCTGACACATCGCAGATCTCCGATCCGATGTCAATGAGGGTTTCTGGCAGATGAGCCCAGGTGGCCCAGGTGGCGGGTACACGAAACTCTAAACTGCAAACAGCTCGGTGGAATCCCCTTGCGCCGTATTGGATCAAGGTTCCAGATTCTGATAAGCCCCGGCAAACCGGATACCCACTGAGTAAGGATCAAACTTGAATAATGGGGCTTCAAAGGTCGACGGTTTATTGACTCTCGGGGCTTTCCGGGCTTGCAAGGCTTGGAGGCATGTTTTTTCGTTTGAAAGGGCCTGAAGCCACGACTTCTAGAATGCATGGAAACAGAGATCTTCCACACCAACCGTCCCGCCGTCATGTTCCAAAGGCTCTTGCTTGCCTTGAGAGGGTTGGTATGGAGACAAATGCGTGAGATTTGGATTTGCGTGGTTGTCCGCAACAAAGGGCGAGAACCCAAATCCTCTTCGTGATGTTTGCAGGAGGATGACTATTTCCTGCAACTCTTCTCGTACCTCTACACTTACGTTTGGTTAGTAGGGAATGAAGAATGGTAGTAATAGTAGTTATAGTTGTACCCCAGTCATCCATTCCCTACTAACCAAAGGTAAGTACAGTAAGCTCTGAAAGTACCGGTATCGCAACCATGGCAACCATGGTCACGACCACTGCGATGTTTACGCTGCTGCTGTTTCTGGCGGGTGTCAATGCTGGTAGCTTTCCATAAGCCCTGTTAGGCCCTGTATGCCGAAACCTCAAAACAAAACACTGAAGCCGAAACCTTACACATTAAATCCTAGACCCTAGCCCTAGCCTCGAAGCCCCCAGCCTTAAACCCTAAACCTTATTTTCCTTTAATCCCCTAAATCCTAGACCCTAGCCCCAAAGCCCCCAGCCTTAAACCCTAAGCCCTAAACCTTTTTTTCCTTTAAACCTGAAACCACATCGCCACTTTCAAAAAAAATCCGCCCAAGCAGCGGCTCTCTTCTTCGGAAATGGGCTTGACCTGAGACAACTTTTATAAGACATAGAGGGAGTTTTCGAAGATAGGGGACCCGAATATAGCACCCGAAATAGTATCAACCTTCCTATAAGGACCCCAAAATAAGGTACCGGGTGTTTCCGAACACTCCAGGGAGGCACCTTCCCTCAACCCCTGAATCCTAAACGTACCTTGTTTCCGGGTCCTCATGTAATGGGATCCTGCGACATGGGGTCTACGTTCGGGTCCTTTCATGCTGACACCTCGCAATTTGGGCCTAGAGTGTCTGGAGCTCATAGGGTTTAGGGCTTGGGGTGCTGTTCTCTTGAGAACGAGGGGCTTATGGGGAATTGTGAGGCTAGTAACCCCTGCACCTAGCCCCCCAATGGCGGTTCAGCCGACGACGAAGACTCCCTGTTTCTCTCTCTGTGGTAGATTTCGTGCTTTCCGCATGATGGCAGGGAGGCAGACCAGACCTACCTCTGCGGTTTCGGGTTTTCGGCCTCCCTCGCTGGCTTTCAGGCTTTGGTTCTCAAATATGTGGCAGATGTTCAGCCGACTGTCAGTTGCCACGGTGACAAGAAACAGGGAAGGGTTTGCGGTTCAGGGTGGAGGGTGCAGGGCTAGGGAAGATATCGCGAAGTTGATGAGTTTGAACTTGCGTGCAGAGGGTGCAACATGCTTCTCGCCACATGCGTGCTCACGCCGGAGAGGGCAAGCTTCATCGTCAGGGGTTCGATCCTTATCCGAGTCCGAGGGCCTCCGGGTAAGGGTTTAGGGTTTAGGGTTTAAGGTTCAGGGTTCAAGGACCCCGTCTGAAACCACTATACACTCAACAAACACACATCGAAACTTTCTAATCCTACATGTCTTTCTCAAACTGTCCAACACTGCATCCAAGAATTATGAACACCCTCTAAAACACTACAAGCCGCGCTGCGACCCGTCAAAGAGCCTTCAGGACCCCTACAAAACCCCAGATGAAACAACTTTTCTGGGGCCTTGGTAAACCTAAGAAGCTTGAATCCCTGAGAAAGCCGCAGGGTGAACCCTAAACCCTAACCAGGCCCTAAACCCTACCTTAGCCCTGAAGGACCTACCTTTTTGAGGACTTTTTATAAGGAAATCATAATCAGGAACCCTAAAAAGCTAGGTTGTTCAGGGTTAGGTTAAGGTAAACCCTACAGTAAGTCCTCCAGGCCCTCAGCCCTAAACCCATGGCGCCCTAAGAAGACTAAACCCTACTAGAGTAAAACCCTCCTAGCTCTAGACCCCCCCTCTAGATGCCTTAATAGAACTCTAAACCCAACTTAACTTGATAGGACTCTAAACCCAACTTAACTGAATAGAACTCTAAACCCCAACCTCTCTCTCTCCCAGGCATTCTATCCCCAACTTAAGGCCCAAAACCCTAGAAGAACTGGAAGAAAAGCCCCCGTGAGCTGGGGCTCGGAGCCTTGGAGGCCGCCTGAAGGTTCTTCAGCGCCAGCTGGAGATGGGAGATGGCGACTTCGACCTGTCTTTAACTTACAAGGTTTAGTTTAGGGTTTAGGGTTTAAGGGTTTGGGGGGAGATGGCGAATCGACCTGTCTTTAACTTACAAGGTTTAGTTTAGGGTTTAGGGTTTAAGGGTTTGGGGGGAGATTGCGAATCGACCTGTCTTTAACTTACAAGGTTTAGTTTAGGGTTTAGGGGTTTAGGGTGTAGGGTTTTTTGGGGGAGATGTCGACTTCGACCTGTCTTTAACCTAATATGGCTGTCAAAACTATGGTCCCTGTTTTGGGTCCCTAATTTATAATACGGCACCTAATATTTAGGGTGCCCAAAAAGGGACCCTAATTTTGACAAATAGTGCTACTATGACCTAATAGAGTCGTGTACTAGGGGTTTTGAGGTTTAGGGGTTTAGGATTTGGGGGTGAGATGCCGACTTCGACCTGTTTTCAAGTTGAGGGTTTGGGGGCTTTCGAGTGAGGGTTTAGGGTTAACCTACTAGTCGTTTACTATGATATACCCATCTTGGAAAACTCCACTAAGATATACCCATCCTTGGTATGCTCCTACTATAATTCACCGATCTAATACTCTTTAACTAAGGGTTTTCAGGCTTAGGAAAGTTTAGGAGTTTAGTGGTTTAGGATTCGGGGGAGATGGCGACTTCGACCTGTCTTTAGGTTTAGGGTTTTGCGGGTTTCGGGTTGAGGGTTAACCGACTATATTCTGCTACTGTGACAGCCCCATGTTTGAAATATTTTCACGAAAATATACATCGTTATGATACTTTCTACTATAATATACCGGTCTAACATTCTGATGCAGGGGTTTTGAGGTTTCGGAGATATGGGGTTTCGGATTTGGGGGAGGGGCGGCTTCGACCTGTCCCCTCGGGGCTTATCTTTCTTGGGTTTAGGAAGGCCTATTTGGGAGTTTCCGAAATTAGGGGACCCTCGTACAGTACCCTGAGTAGTAGGACCCTTATTATAAGGACCCCCAAACATGGTACCCCTATTTTCGGAAACTCCTATTTAAGGAAGTATAGTCCCCTATCCCCCTCCCTCCGACCCCCCTGATGAGGGGTTTAGGATTTAGGGCTGCATCAACGTTTGTTTCCAAGTGAGATGGCGACCGAGACTTGGGGCGTCTAAGACATTCGTTAGTGTTCCTTTAACATATTTTCTACTGTTATATCGGTTTGTGACTTGCTTAGAACTTAGGTTTAGGGTTTAGCGGTTGTGGATTTAGGGGTTTAGGGCTTAGGTTTTAGGGTTTAGGGGTTTAGAGTTTAGGGTTTACTTGGCTGAGCTTTGGAGGAGTACCAAACGTTAAGCCTTTTTTCTTAAAAGAACCATGATGAAATAAAAGTTATGTACTTTTTCCCCTTGATTTAACAGCCCTCCAAAGCTCAGTAAGCTCTCCGGTAACCCTAAACCTCTAAACCCTAAACCTCTAAACTTACTTAGTAACCAAGTTACAGAAAGGACCTTTCGATGCTCAGTTTGTTAGCGGCCTGCCTACATTTAGCGCCTGATCCGGAACAGTCTCAGCATTTCTCAGCTTACCCTGAAGGTGCCTTAATAATCATAATAGGCATTGCTTGACAATGTTTAGAAGGCTCCTTACCACCATTGTAGCATAAAATGCACCAAACCCTATTCAAATTATCTTAAGGCCCTTGTACTACCCTGAAGGGCTAGATGGCCAAGCCAATGAGGGGCCTCCATGGCGCCTGTCAGACTGCACGATGCTGCATCTTGCTCGGGGGTTCTTAGTCTGAATTACTTGAACGAAGGTTTTAGGGTTTGTTTTAGGGTTTAGGGATTTTAGGGTTTAGGGATTTTAGGGTTTAGGGTTTTAGGGTTTAGGCCGCCAAACTAGGGATCCGATTTCTCTATCCCGGTGTTTAGGCATAGGATCGGAATGAGGAATGAGGTTCAGCTGATCATCAACCAGACTTCGGGGGGCCCCCGTCAAAAGACGAGTTCCCCGTCCGGAGCCCTTTCCGCTTTGAAGCCATACTTTGCTTGTGGCTTGCCACTTATCTTTTCCTATCTGTTTATTCCCTTTCTACTTCTTGAGATTTCAAGGCTCCCATATAACTTTTTTGGACATGGCCGAAAGGTTGTCTAGCGACTGGAACATGGGTGAACGTTCAGCCGAGCCTCTATTCACGCTTGAGCCGTGGTGCAGCGGTTTTAGTAAACGTTTTAGAGTTTAGCCGCTCGCACTCGGACGATCCAGGGGAGGCATGTGGTTCGGAGCCTTCGAGTTTACGGGGTTTAAGGTGTGAAGTGTCGGGTGCAGAGTTCGCGCCCGATTTCCTAAACCCAGTCTTCGATATCGGGATATACCAGTCTAGTGGTTTGTTTGGGGGTGAAGTATTAGTGATGGTAACTCGAAATGTTTCCATGATAACCTTCGTATACCTCAAAACCGTCTTCGAATTATTCAATTCAAGCCCCTGTATCAAGGCTCTTGGACGTGGGGCTATACGCAACTGTTGAGTGTAGCGACAGGGACCTTCCGCCGGCTGGGACATGCGACTGCAAACATGTCGCTTGCTGCTACTGGTGAACGGAAATCTACCTCTCCTATTTTACAAGCAGCGACCCTCCTTGCTCTCCGTCCCAAGCTACTTCAACAATGTTGCTGCAAAGCTAAGAGCACTGTCGTGCTTCAGGGGTCGTGTTTCTGGTTGGAGGGTTACCAGTAAAGATGTCTGTTTTGGCCCAGGACCATTACCACCACTTGGGTAGTTGTCAAAATGATGGCCCCTTTTTTGGGTACCCTAAATATTCGGTGCCGTATTATAACAGGGACCCAAAAAGGGACCATAATTTTGACAACCTCCCATATAGAATATAGAACCCTATTAAGATCCCTTATAGAACCCTTTAAGGATCCCTTTAAAGGAACCCCCTAGGGTCCTACACTCGAAACGATACTTGTGTCGAAGTTTCCAGAACCCTTAAGCCGCCACACCGCTCAATCAACGATCCTGTGCCTCTGCAAGGAGGAGAGAGAGACTGCCCTCTTCGATCCTTTCCAAGGCAATATAGGGAGCCTTAATATTTATAATAGACTGTTGGGGTACGTTTATACTAGAAATACAATAAGGAACCACCAAAAGACTTTAGGTTAGTATATTCCGGCCCTGTTTCAGGCTGGGTTTAGGGTTCAGGTCTTCAGCTGCAAAACCCATACAAGAGCCGTCTAATACGCATACCCAGGACCCTCAAGCCCTATAACTCCAAAGGTGTAAGTCTCAATGCCCATTCGAAGTGATCATCTGCTGCGATCTCGAGGGTCTTCAGCTTTGGGTGTTTGGGCCTCATTCGTATCATCGGCGACCGGTCTGAACATTCTCGTCATTGCTGTATCTGCCGTTTCAAGCCATTGCAGTATAGTTAGGCTGCAAGGTTTAGTGGTTGAGGGTCCCAGGCTGCGGGTTTCAGGATGTCTCGAGACTTGGGTGTGTTCTTCTTCTCATATATGAGTCTGTCGCTACGAACCAATCCAACAAGGGGCCGGAAATCAACAATTTCGAGGCTTTCACTGTCGGACTCTGAGGCTTTGCGTTCCGATGCTAGCCAATTTTCGTCGGTGCTGTGCTCGTTTCAGGGCAGGGAAGTACCCGAAGTCCATGTTTAAAACCCTTTCTTCCGGCTGGACTTGCACCCTGCCTAAACGGGCCTAAACCGTAATTAAGTATTCCTACCTTTCCTAAACCCTTGTTGCAGCAGTCCAGCAGTCCAGCAGCCCGGTTACAGCAAGAGCCCCCCCTTTCCCACTTCAAAGCAAGGAGAGGAGTCGAGCTGACACTCGCGACGACACTATCTGATACGACACTACCTTACTATACTGACAACCCTAAACCCTAAACCTACTATGACTTGAAGCACGGTGCAGGATATCGACTGTCCAAGGGCGAGGGCTTTACCAGGCTTGCACCTTTTTAGCTAAAGATCCTGCAGCCGCAAGATACTGTAGGGGCCTCGATAGTTAGAATAGGGTTTCAGGGCCCATTATACTATAAGTATAAGAAGGAAACCCCAAAATTTGGCAAGTATTTAGGTCCCTATAGTATGCAATGCTCCAGGCAGGGGTCTCCAGAATCAGGCTGTGGCCCTGTCCACAGGCGAAAAAGCCAAGCGAACACCGAAGGTCTAGTGGTAGAACCCTGCAGAAACTAGAGCAACAAAGTGGCTTTTCCAGCAGCTGGGATTTCGTGGCGCCTGGCATCGCATGAGCGAAAAGCCTTTTCAACTGAAACGGGTTCTGGGCAATTTCAATTCCTCAATTAGGTAATGATACCTTGAATCGTACTATTGACGCGAATGCTACACAAGATATCTTCCTGAATTAAGGAGTATTCTGCTTTCTGGGTTTCTCTTCGAACGCATGCTGGTGGAACCACGGCCACACCGACCATCGTAAGCATCATGCTTCTCATCAGAACCAGAAACATCAATGTGACATCAACTGTCGTCACCATCGCATTCTTTTGTTGTTTTCTTTCCTTGTGCTTACCCTGGGACTGTAAAACCAAGGCTTACCTGTTCACAGTTCCAATGCCTAGAAAAAGATCTTGCATATGATTGGACGCCTAAACCCTAAACGGATGAGCCGGCATCTTCTCATGTACGGCTTTGCTCTTGAACCTCCAGTCATACCGACTCATGCAAGCAAAGGCTCTAGGCCATTTTCTCCTGCCCGCATCAGGGACGCTATATCAAGCTGTCCGACGGCACAAGAAAGCATGCTGCGGAGGCTTGGCAAGTCATCTTCTGCAGTGCTTCAAGGCCTCTTCAAGCTTGCCGGAAACTTTCGCCCTCGACGCGTCCCAAGGACTTGAGCCAGGGACGAGGGGACCAGGCAGACTTCTAAGTACTTCCTACATGGACGAGGAAGTCCCGTGGAAACGCATGGAGGTCACTTAATAAGTCTAGGCATGGGCCTAAACTATTTTGATACAATTTCGGTGCATCTCCTATTATAACCATAGAGGGGGGATAAGGGAACAGTGTTACTGTTTTTCAGGCTGCTATATCAAAGGAGCTGCCAATCCAAAGCTTACAACCAACTTCCCAAACCGACCAGCCTGAATCTGCAGAGTGCGCACCTTCCATCCCCGGACCTACTCAAGCTATGCTTGGCCTAGAAAGCCCTAAATGCACCGAAATATGAATTGTTCAAGGCAATCGGCCTACAAAGCGGTAGGCTTCAAGAGAGATTATCCTGGTTTTTTGGATGCTCTTTTGTCACTAGCCTTCCTTCGGACTGCCTTAGACGGTAAAGACTGTAGCAGCAGCCTTTCCGAGTTGCACACGGCGCTGTGCGACAGGGGCAAAGCCAATGCGCCTCTCCTGCCAATCGAAGGCTGCGTAGTACCTCCGCAGGACCTGGGTCATCAGGGGAAAAAAGGCGGCATGCTTCAAAATGGCAAAACAGCGTGATCATCACATCCTTAGCTGTGGTATCGAGATGCACAGGAATGCCCTAAAACTGCCTTCTGCTCAGGGGCGGTTTCACCGAAGGCATAGACTCCATGGTAGTCCTTGGGATCTAGCTCAAGCGATCCCAACTGCGGCTCGCAGTTGGAGCCCGTGGCGTAGTCTTCCACCCGCAGCTTCAACGCCATTGCGCCGAGGTCGAACTCCAATTCCGGGCCCTGGCAGCCACCTCCCACCATGGGCTGGCTGTGAGACAAGGCGGTGCGGAGGGCTTGGAAATTGTTCTCCTGGACGCCGAGACGCGAGGATCCGGTGTCGATGATGCCTCGACAGCCATCGTGGCAAGCATCCACGGTGAGGTTCCCCAGGCGGACACTCTTGATCGTCACCTCCCAGAACCCATCGTCCGGATGAAGCACCGGGAACCACTTCAAGTCCTCTGCCATCCGTGCAGAGTCGTGGCCACCGAAGAAGATCTCTCCGGACTGTGCGCCGAAGGACAAGCCGAACTGTGGAAGCATCGAGGGGTTCGTCTCCATAAGTCGCTGGAAGAAGACACATCCGGTTCCCGTGGAAAGGCCTGCCATGCTCAAGCCGAGCATACCGTCATATGGCATGGCTTCAAAGAGCTCGTCGTCCATCTTGACTGCAGCCATGATATCGAGGTTGGTGCAGACCTGGTTGCCGAACTCAGTTCCCAGGCAGACATCGTCATGTACCAGCACGGCTTGGGCTGCACCCTCACCGAGGTCGGCCTGCGTAAACTCTACAGTCACGGCATCTCTCACGGCCTTGCCCATCACCAAACGCTCCTTCTCCCTCACAGGCTTGCCGTTGGAGTTGACGTCCATGGCGGTGCTGGAAAAGAAGGGCGAGTAGCGCTTGTGCTTGTTGCAGGCCTTGCTTGTGCAGGCCGAGTGTGGAACGAGCAAATGGCCCGAGGCGGTGTCGAAGAGCACCTGGAGGTCTTGCGGCTTGGGCTGACCCAGAGACAACCTTCCCACGTAGAAGTGGGAGCTGTGCAAGCCTTCGACGCGCTGGAGGCGCACCACCAGAGGTTCCGAACCTAGCTGTGGCTCAGGCGGCGCCGGTGTGCGGGTACGGAGGACGGTGCCGCCGAGGTCGGCGAGGACTGTGGTCACGAATGCAAGGAAGAGCGCTGCAAAGCTGGCAATCTTCGCCTAGGTCTCGCACAAAAACTTCATAATAGTCATAGTAATTAGTAGTGAGCAATGAGAGTGATGTTAATGATAGCAATCGACAAGGCACCCCTTTTCCTCGAACCCATTTAACAAGCAGGGTATAAGGGCACCATTGGGAGACCGAGCAGCCATGCCGCGGCTGGCAGAGCGCTGGCACTACGTTGTAACGAGGAGTCTTCTTGAAGGCAGAACGGCTTGGGCAATGCGCGGGCACTCGCTCTGGTTGGTTAGTGGAACGGGAGTTTCCGAAAATGGCACCTTATTTTGGGGCCCTTCGAATAAGGATCCTACTACTTACGGTACTATATTAGGGTTCCCTATTTTCGGAAACTTCCGAATAGAGGGAGGGCGAGAGAGTCGGAGAGCCACAAGGAAAGCCATCGAGATCGAATGAAGATCTACATTCACAACACTCTCAGAATGCTGAAGCCCTACACTTTGGCTAAAGCATGTTTGCTTAGATCTGAGGTCCGGGAGAGTAAAGTAGGGGTCTCAATAATCAGAACGGGGCTGTCGGATGTAATCTTGATACTGTAGGAACCTGATTAAGAAACCCTGGGCCTATAACCCCCAAAAACGTAGGATTCATACAACGAACCCTGATAAAGGCACAAGGTTGCCTAGTCAGGCTCCTACATGATTATATTGCCCTTATAGATCCTTCTTAATCAGGATCTCCTACAGTAGTTGAGGCTCCAAGGGCATCTCTGGGGATCTGAACACATAGCCTCTCGCTCAAAACATCTCCGAAAGACACCCCTCCCCCAGCCCTCCCCAGACCCCCGGGAGAATCCTGAAAGTAGATCCCCTAATTTGGCCTATACTACTAAGGGTACGTTATAGGAGCCCCCATCAAGGGATCTACCTTTTGCATCCTCTCGGGGGTCTGGGTCTAAGCGTGCAAAGACTGCCAAGAAGATTACTCACAACGATGCTACAGAGCCAGCATACTGTCAGGCATCATAACACCACTAAACACGGTAGCACGCATTATGGCGATACAACATCTTCCACCAGTGCGCATGTGTCGTCAAGCCCGCCTTCCACCGAGCAAGCCACGGCGCTCAACGCGACAACATCCGGGCGGCTCGTGCCTGCGTCATGGTAAGGGGGTTTAGTGTTTACGGTTTAGTGTCCAATTAAGGATGTAGGATGTAAGGTTTTGGCTTTTTATCGGGTACCTATAACTCTGTACAAGGATAAGGTCACGGTTTTAGGGGTTTGGGGTTCAGTGACTTCGGTACGGGACAGGACTCTGGTCATAGTCAAGCGAATGACGGCGCCAGTCCGTTGCTAGTATGCCGGTGATAGCTGGCTGATAGTCGAGAACGAGACTGTCGCACCCTTTCCTTCGTTTTCATCGCATGTTCTGGGTTGATGTCTCAAACCTACCAATCTCTAAGCCCAGCCCTAAACTCTATAGCAGACTGCCAACCCGAAACACAACCCTAAACCACAACTCCCCAAACCCTAAACCCAGACTCCCTACACCCGGCATCCCAAACCGCCTAGAGCTCGCTGGTCTCCTGAAGTGTGAACAAGGAACCGGCTCCTGAGAGGGTTCGTTCTGCCTGAGTCGGTCGCACGTCCTTTCGTCTATTCCGTTGCATTTTTCCTACGGCATCGGTGCAGCCATGGGCCCACTACGAAGACCCTGACGTAAACCCCTGAACCTTTCAAGAAGATGATCGATTTTCGAGATGTTCACGACCTGGAATCTGGGAGTCCAAATCCCAAGCTCAGCCGATGCTGCACAATGCACACGATGCATGACTGCTTGAAGGATCATGGGCACAACTCGGTCGGGTTAGGGTCCTGGGGTTAGGGGAGTTCTGTGTACAGTTGAAAGCAGTTATGAGCTTGTCGGAATCATAGAGAAGGTACGTTTAACTCGACTATTGCAGCCTTCATAACTAGAAGAGGGCTTGGGTATAGAAGTACAGGTAGGAACCATAAGGAATAGAGTTGCTGAGTACTCCAGCTTTTTTATGCTGCTTCATCAAACTGCCCATGAAGTTTCAAGCGAAGACCAGAAGAAGCACAGGTGGCACGCTATGAATATCTCCTTCGGAGATACTTGAGAGTTTCCGAAAATAGGGGACCCTAATATAGTACACTAAATGGTAGGATCCTTATTATAAGGACTATAGTATCCTGAATAGTAGGATCCTTATTATAAGGACCCCAAAATAAGGTACCCCCAAATTTGCGGCAACTCCCACTTGGGCGGTTCGCAAGGACGCCGGCCGGTCGACTGGGGAGCTTGAAACCGGATTTCAAGATTCGGGAGGGTTTAGGGTTTCTTCCCTCCTACCTAGGCCGGAGAAAGCCCGCATTGCAGGGTAACTCCGAAGAACACTGAAGGGTTCAGGATTTCGGGTTCGTGCTTGAATATGTACACAAGCGGAGCTAGCTTTCTCAGGACTCTCTGTCTCCGTCTCCGTCCCTGTCGCTGTCTCTCTCTGACTCTTGGTCTGTACGTAAATCTATACGTCGGTATCCATATCTATATCGATATCGATTTCCAGATCTGTATCTGTACAATGCACACAAGCACCTATATGACACCAACCTATCTACCCATTTCTCCTGCCTGCTTCTGCAGATCACGGGGGTCTAGGTTAAGAAATTTATCGGGCTTTTGGGAAAGACATGCTCGCCAAAAGGCCAAGCTGAGATAAATATTCATGATGATAACGCGAAATGATCTTCTTACATTCTTGTCAATCAACCAGAACTGTCTCACTGAGAGCTGCACAGTAGAGATCCGAACTTCAGACCACGAGAAGCAAAGACAAACAACTACAATGCGGAACCAAAAACACACAACTTCGTCAACAACACCCAGAGTTTAGGGTTCAGGGTTTAGGGTCTCCAGCTTTTTTAAGCCCTGCAAGCATGGATCCTTCCTTCTGGTCCCTTCTAGATACTACTTGCACCGGAGGATTCCTAGAGGAATCCAACGGGGCTACCAGGGTCCAATTTCCACGTCGAAATCAGCCAAATGCCAATGTGGGATCGGAGAGACTCAGCACAATGACAGCTTGAAGCCAGATCACAACTTCCAGCCTTGAAGCCTTGGGTATTTCTCAACTACTCGCTTACCCTTAATATTAAAACGCTCCCCCACGCCTAATATTGAAAAAGATCTCCGGGACTATGTTTCGATATTAGGGGGGTTTCGGTGAGATGTCAATGTCAAAATATCTGAAGACCGGACGTCGGGTCCCTGCGGTGTGAAGCCACCATGTGGCATGGATTGAAGAATGTGCGTTGGAGTCGCACCTCTATCGGCACTTCTCAAGATCGCATCATGTCATCACAAACCCGAATAGTTGGGGCTTACTATAGGGGCCTGAACAATGAGAAGATGGTTTTGGGGTATATTGTACTATGATTATAAAAAGGAGCCCCAAAAGAGTACCGGTAATTATTATTAAGGCCCCCCATATTACAAGGTTTAGGACTTGAAGAGGAGCCAACCCCTCGAAGGGATTTTACATGCATGTGCCTGTGGGTTTTAGGAGGCTTGTACTCCCCGTTGTAGTGTACTCCATGTTCTGCCCATCAACAGTATGACCCTGAACCAAAGCCGCTCTGGACGTCTAGTATCCGCGAGATCAAGAAGCTGACTCGCAGCACTGAGCTTCAACTCACCCTAAAACTCTAAACCCTCAACACTTAAAGCCTTTCAGCCTATAAGCCCTAGAAGCCCCGAATCGCTTCAATCCAAGAGCCTCCAACTTCTAACATCCCTGGAAACTCGAGGATTGTAAGGCCGAGGAGCTGGTGTAGAAGCGTCTATATGGGGGTGAGTGGTTTGGGAGTTTCCGAAAATTACGGGAACCTTATGTGGGGGTCCTTATAATAAGGATCCCACTAATTAGGGTACTATAGTAGGGTCCCCTATTTTCGGAAACCCCCGTTTGGTTTCAAGGTTGAGGTTTTCTGATCGAACTATCTCCGTCTACGCTTCGAAAGGAAGAGAGCTGCCGGTCTACATCGAAGAACTTAAAACTGCACTCACTCCACCTCCCCGCTCGGGGCGGACTTGAATTCCAGCGGCCGGAAGGCGTGAGAATCGTAGACATCTTGTGGTTAAAGCTATCTGGAATACCCCTCGTAGGGGCCCCGCAAAATACGGGGCCCTTATGTTTGCGTGCGGGCCAGGGTTGTCCTTGCCTGAACTGGAAATCCTGAGCCGTGTATCCTGAACCCTCACGCAAACGCCTAAACTCTGAACCTCGAAGCCCTAAAGCCTTCCCCGTTATCATGTTCATTTTTGCTCGTGCGAAAACTGCTATGCCCTACCTTGGCTTGCTTTCGGCTTGGGATGTGGTTTCGGGCTTTGGGGCTTGATACGGTAAAGACCTGGGCTTGGAAAGTGGGGGAGGGCTGCAGATACCTCAAGTAAGCGAAGATGCGACAGTGACAGTCGGATAACTGCAGCCTTGCTTTGCAAGTATGTGAATCCACGTATTCATTGCGTCCGCATTTAACAGCTCACCATAGCTTCCAATTGACCGTGCCTCCATGCCCAAAACCCAGAACCCTTGGGTGACACCCATTGCTCCCGAAACCCTATACATCCATAATTCCCTAACTCGTTAACCTACTTGCGAAGCCCTAATCTCAAAACTCCTTAAACCCATAACTCCCCGTAGCTCTTCCGTGCAGCAATACTTTGGGTCTCGAAAGACTCAGCCAACGAAGTTTGCCCGCATGATGCCGAAGACTTCCGGCATGTTCGCCAGCCGCTCCTTGCGGTTTGGACTTAAGTGTTGTGGAGCCTTGCATAAAGCTTGATGGTGTGCAAAGTTCTCTCGTCTTCGATCGGCAGCGGTCTGTCCACACTACAAGCAGTGCGTGGGGCTGGGAGTTTGGAATTTCCGAGCTTAGCACCACCAAGTCGCCAGGGAAGTGCCCCTTTGACGGCTCTGCCTTCTTTCCTCTTTGCAGTCTGCTGCATGTCTGGCTAAGTGTGCATGTGTGGACATACGGCCGAACAGCTCCAAAATTCATCATCCGACATCTCACGACCCTTAGTCCGCCGAAGGCTCCCGAGCCCTCTGTGAACCCCTGCTTCGCTCTGAAACAAGGGTTTAGGGTTTAGGGTTTTGGGTTTAGGATGGTTATTGCAGTTTCCATGTTGGGTTTTTGGGACATGTCGGTATGCACTCTCGGCACGGTTTCGGCAAGGCATTCGGCAGGGTCAAACGGTTTAGGGCTTGAAAGTCCACGGTTTAGGCTTTGGAAACAGGAACCCAACCGAAGCGTTGAGACCAGTGTCGATGAAACGATCTCTTGGCACAAAGAGCAGGACGAGCTTGCGAGAGGCAGTCACGGTGTACTCATACCTGAGCTTGCAAGAGGGAGTTTTGCGTGAGGGTTTATGGGGCTGTAAGGTCGGAGGGAACTGAAAACCTCAACCGAAACCCCAAGCCCCTCAAGTGCGGCCTTGTTAGCAAGACTTCCCTAACTGTGCTCCACAATAATAAGGAACCCGCAAAATAGTATAGGTAATTAATTATACTAGATTCTACAGACGTCTTGGGGTTCAAGCGCGGAAGGTTGCGGGACGCGGTCTCTGACTTGAAGGTGAAGGAACGAGCTCAGATTCTGACAGTTTGATATAGAGGCGTTAATAACCTGGAAGGCCCCCCTATATTCGGCAACTTTAGTCCTTCAAATTATAGGTTTTAAAGCTTCGTGCCTTTAGTTTTCTTGGGGGGCGACGGTTGACTGCACATCTCGGAACAATTAGAAACGTTTTTCCCTAGGTTCCTTACAATGTTCATATACTTATTCGGTCCAAGACCTCAGTGAAATCAACAACGTCACCGTATTCGGTCGCTTCAAGCCTTACGATTGAAGCTTTAAGTCAGCGGCCTATGTATGGTATGAGGTGTAGGGCCGCGTTTGACAAATTGAAGGTTTAGCCAGGCTCGCCGGCGAGTTTCGTTTAGGGTTGAGGTCTTCGGGGCAGCCTAAATAAGAACCTAAGCCAAGAGACCCTTCTTTGTCATCGGACCCTATCTTCGGGGGAAGGCTTCTTACAATGAATAAATACTTATGAATACTTAATTCTGAACCCTCCCCCCGGCCCCGCGATTTCTGCCGCCAAGTCGGCTCATTCTTGAGACCAAGCAGTACTTCTTCGCCGAAACCTCAAAAGCTTCTGTCAGCCGCTGTCGGGGTGTAATGTTGAATGACGGCTTGGGTTCAAAGATGTATATGGATGTTACTTTGTTCTAAATTAAGGGAGCCATGCCCAGGCATCAGGACAGAGCTTGCGCCTGCCCTTGTGCCGTCTTGCGCGTGCAAGGGTTTTCGCTCATGTCAACATAACCCCTTCACAAACCGTAAAATACCATGCATTTTGACTTAGTTAGTACATGTTATGTATCTTGCGCCCGCTCTTACGCGAGCTTGCTTGCGCGCGCGGTTTTTAACTGTTTGTAACCACCATGCAAAACCGTAATGCCGGCCGTAGTCTTCCTTGAAATGGGCCGTCAAGGGTGCAGGGTGTTTTTGCGAAGCACAGAGCCCAAAGGATCTAACGCTTAAGCTCCATAACCTTGACCCCAACCCTAGATGTTGACACCAACAACGCAACCCACAAACCCCCGAACACCTGTCGCTCGGAAGCGGCAACATCGCGAGTGGCACATGTCGTGAAAGGACTCTGAAACCTTCCGATGCAAAGCACGGCAGTGGAATTTCGGGGTTCTGGCTTCATATAAGCTGTGGGGAATAGCCAGGCTCCAACAAAAAAGTTCACTTGTTTGCATGTGGACCATGTCTTAAAAGTACCACATATGTGACCTGATTGATTCCAAGACTGCTTCCATTCTTGAAAGGGCTCTCTAAGCCTTAAACCCCTGAACCCTCCAAGCCCAACCCCTCATACAACTAACTAGCACGGAACCTCTATGACACCCCATCAACCCTTCCTAAACCCTATGAACCAAACCCTACAGCCCAATAACCCTAAGCCCTAAACCCCCAAACCCTAAAGCCCATAACCCGAAATCCTAACCCCTAAACCCCCCAACCCTAAAGCTCATAACCCTAAACCCTACACCCACTGCGGGCGCCGCAAGAAAGAGCAGAAACCCAAAGCTGTCCAAGAGCTGTCGCCGTTTCGGAGAAGCTCCGTCAACTTCTTGCGGCCCTGGCCATTCAGTAAGAGTTGAAGGGGTTAAGGGTTATAGCGTTTGGGGTAAAGGGTTATGGCATTTAGGGCGGGTTTAGGGTTCTAGACATCGAATAAGAGTTTAGTGCAGTTTTTCGACGTTGGTCTAGGGTTTCGGCGCTCACACTCGGACAATCCAGGCGAGGCATATGAGTTCGCGTCTGCAAAGTGAAACATCACTAAGAGGCTCCGTGGTCTAGGGTTTGGGGGTTTCAGGTCAAAGGCTTATGCAGTTTAGGGTTGAGGGGTTGAGGAACTGGGTTTAGGGTTACAGGGTTTAAGCTTCTCTGCACAAAGGATTTTATTGTTCAGGGTTTAGCGCCCTATCATGGAGCATAGGTTTTCGTAACTAGCGGTTCTACAGGTGTCGGGGCTGTGGCAGGCTGCCGGATTTGTGTTCGCAGCTACACAGAAGGGCGTAGGGCCCAGGGTGTAGGGTTCTAGGGTTTAGGGTTCAGTGCCTGAGAATTTTGGGTTTAGGTCTCGAGAATTTGGGACTTTAGTCGGGTCTGCTTCAGCGTTTTGGGTTGTAGATGTATGGCTTCGGCATATGAGCTGAGCGTGTGTTATTCAGGACTTTCGTCCCTCTGGTTTTTATTGAAGAGCTTTTGGAGTTCGAAAGAGCGGCTCGATTTGTGATCACACACAAATCTGTGGCTCCATTTTGCCGGTTTCGGAGAGGTTTGGAGGCCCCGGCTATTCATAACTCATCGGCAATACTCAAAAAGCCTGAGTCGGTAGCACTGTCCAGGAGCCCCTTGCTACTGTATTTTTTGTTTGGAATGAGCAGGAGGCCTCTGACCTTTAGAGCAAGAATCCCCCTCAGCCCGAAGCGTATCCCTGTATGCAAACCCTTGAACCCTGAAGCCTGTGAGTTGGGAGCTCTCTCTTTGGGCTTAGCTTCATCTGTGAACTCAAAGCAGGGCATCCAAAAACCAGGGCCTGAATAACAAGAGCCGGGACTCTGGTATAGTGCAATATGGGAGTTTCCGAAAATAGGGGACCCTAACATAGTTCCCTAAATAGCAGGATCCTTATTCTTAGGACCCCAAAATAAGGTACCCCTAATTTTCAGAAACTCACATATGCTCTGAAAGATTCCGACCAGGAGTGCTGATGTACGACAGGTGACGCCTTAGTGCCTAGCCAAGCCGTGAGCTATGAAGCCCTCTACCCTGAGCCATCAACCTCAGACCCATGAAGCCCTAAAGCCCAAAACTCTAAAGGCGAACACCCCGAACCCCAAAACGGAATGCTTAAGACTAAACCCCATCTCCCTAAACCTAAAAGCCTAACCCCTGAATCCTAAACTTAACCTTCCCCTGAGCCGTATCCCTGCGTGAAGCTTAACCGTAAAAGGAACTCCAGAAAGTTGGAATATGGTTTCAGGGTAGGATACCTTATAATTTACCATAAAGGGTTTAGGATAATCATATTCCAACTTTCTGGCTTTTACTTTAAGCCGAGGGGCTTCACCAGTAGCCTCTGAACCGTCGGCGACCATGTCCTCGAGCTCTTTCTCAAACACGGCACCACCGTCCTCGGGGGCTTCGGGCTTACGCGGTTTCGGCGCTCACACTCGGCTTACGCGGTTTAGGGGTGAGGGGTTTAGGGATGTAGGGTTTGGAGTTTAGGGTCTAGGGATTCAGAGTTTAGGGTGTTGGGATTTAGGGCTTCGACTCGCCCACTCGCAGACGCAGGCACGGCTTCTGGGATCCAGGGTTTAGGGCTGTTTGGCAAGTTGTATTCGGGATCGTGGCATGTACTTATGTTGCTTTATTCTGGTTTCGGGGTGGTGAGACTTGGACTTGGGAAACAAGCAACTCGGAGGGAGGGTCTTGTGTAAATGTTGATTCTGTTAAATGTTGCACTAACTCTTATGATTCCGAATATCGCTATTGCTGCTGTCGCTATGTCCCCAGACAGCTTGAGCTGCTTTGCCAGGGAGTCTCGACTAAAACTACTCGCCACACGTGGTCGCCCTCTCCTGGGCGTGAAGGTGGTGAAGGTGACATGTGCTGATGGTCGTCGGTGGCCGTTGCACAAGCTACCACTATCTGGGTATATGTTTACGAGAGTTTCAATCTTCGTCGCAAGTTTTCACCATGCGGACCTTCACAGGATTCCAGCGCATTGTAGGCAGAGGGTCAGCTGGAAGGACTGGAGACCTCTTAAAATAAACACCCATTGGGATCGTTGTTATTTTCTTTTCCGGGGACAGCAGGTCGGCATGACATTGCACTTGATAACATGTGATCACCTTTTGCTGATGTACTGCCACGCTCTGCGCAGCATCAATCTCGCTTCGTCATTAAAAGGAACTACATTTTCTGCAAGATTGACCTCTAAGACTCCGGGAGTCAACAGCCCGTAACCCTAAAGAAGCTGATCCGTCTCAAAGCAAGACGCTCGCAAGCAGTGTACCTGAAACGCTACGGCACCCACAAGACACGGATGTACTACAAAATGCCCTGAAGGAAGGCTTTCAAAGCTAAACACACACACACACACACACATATATATATATATATATATATATATATATATATAAACCCCTAAACCTTAAACCATGTGTCGGGGTTTGGTTGCAAGATTTATAGGACATGCACGGAGGAGGGGAGGCATTCGGCTTCGGTAGGGTGGGTTTAGGGTTTAGGGTGTAGGGGTTTATGGTTTAGGGGTGATGGCCCAGGGGCGAGGATGAGAAACATCCCCATGACGAACTTGTCTGACGGGACGATGCGCTCACGCTTCTTGGCCGTCACCTGTCGACACGGGAGTTTCAAAAAGCAAGGCCCACTGATATAGACCTTGAAAAGGGGTCACTTATCATATGGAGTCTTAGCTGCAAGAAACCCCAAACCTCAGGCCTTACAAGTCTAGGTATCTGAGTAGCCCCTTTTTACGGCCAGGAAGCCTCGAGGCCTGAAGCAAAATCCCATGTTGTACGGCCCTGAAGTCACCAGCAAACTCAAACTCTGATAATTATAAGAGCGAGGGATTTGGAAGTTGGGGCTCGCATGGGGCATGGAAGGTGGGGCTCGCATGGGGCAAGAGCATGAACCCGGTTAGCAGTGAGGGCGCTTGGACGCAAGTCTAGAGTACATTGAAATAACCCTAAACCCCCAAACCCAAAAACGAAGGGAATGGTGGTGTTGTTCTTATTGTGGGCTGACACTAAACCCTAAACCCCTGAACCCTTTTTTGCATCCAGGCCTATTGCGACTGCCGGGTACCCTGAAGGAAGGAAACTGAGGGCCAGGCAAATCTGCAGCACTGCTGGCTGCAACACTCACCCACACACGCAAGACACAATGTCCACCCTAAACCCCTAAACCCTTCAGATTGGGGACCCAGGCCTGCTGCAGTATACCAACGAGGCGTATCATCGCACTGGTTGGCACCTCTCCAGAGGAGAGCTTTAGGGTTTGCTTAGGGCTTAGGCTGTATGGAAGAGGATTCAGGGTTGGGGAGTTGTGGTACGAGATTAAAAGGTTCATGGCAGGGGCGGATGGAGTCTAAATTTATTGCAGGAGCCGCCCTAAACCCTAAGCCCGATAAACAGAACTTCAGCTCTGACAGGGCCGGTTTTGTCTTCTGAGAGGGCTACTAACTACTAGGGTTACGAGTAGTAGTGCCTGTAATCTAACGGGTCCTAAGTTCCCTGCATGTAGATGAAAGCATATCCGAGGCTAACTCGTCGAAAGCGGGGAAGTCTCACAGTCGCCAATAGCGTTCAAAGGGTAAAAGGAGCGACCCCTAATAAGGACCCCTAGGTATATATCCATAATATAGCCATTATATACCCAGTATATAGCCTAGCACTCGCTCCCCTCTGTTCTCAATGGGTGCTTTGTCCTATCGATGATTGGTAATCCTCTTTGAGCCAGTCTCTGTTGGTGTCCGTTTTGGATTCCCCAAAAAGGACTTCACAAGATCAAGACGGTTGATGGTATAAATCCTGCACTACCCATAATAAGGAATGTACTGTAATTCCCATAGTGTAGGGTCCTTAAGGTAATGCAGGATTCATGCCATCAACCGGAGAACCGAAGAATAACCCCCCAAAGCCTAAAACCCTGAGGAACCTGAGCCTTTAAGGACCCCATCGATGCCGCGGCACCCCCCGGAAGATGAGATTCCGCGGAAGCACAGGATGGATGAGGAAGCTCGCCTCAAATCTCGAATTTTTGGGTCTTAGGGTTTAGGGCTCAGGGTTTAAGAAGCTCGCCTACAATCTCGAACTTTTGGGTTTATGTTTGAGGGTCTAGGGTCTAGTCTACACACGAAGCCGCTTGAGATCAGAATGAATCAGGGCTTATATACGGCTCAGGGTTTGGATCTACAGGGTATATGCGTAATGTGGCTCTAGTTTAGGCACATTCGGTCAAGCATCTCGGGTGCCTCATGCTTCGAGGAATATGTACGCTTGTTGGACCGTAGCAAAGACTCAGCCAAGTGTGTTCTCGGGGATGCAACAAGATCTGAAGCCCCAGCCAGCATCAGACAGCACAGTGAAATCTGGCACCCTTTAACTCAGAGCCTCCGACACACTTCAAGTAAGAAAAATACCTTGGCTGAAGCTTTGACTCACAATAAGAATCTCTCCGCTATTTATGGTGCAGGGACGATTTAAGGGCTTTTGAAGTCTGGGAGGAGTGCTTATCGCAGGGGTGGGGAGGTGCGGGGCATGGCCAGGAATGCCTTTTCGCACACAGCCGGATTCAGCTGGGCTGCGCTTCATAGAGTTACGTCTGTAGGCCCGCCTAAACCCAAAAAGCCCTCCTCCTCCCTGGGAGCCCCAAGCCCCTGAGCCCGATAGGCCGTGATAGACCCTATCAAGCACTAACTATAGTCTCCGTTGCATAAATCTTTTTGGTTTAAGCAATAGTATATATAGGATCCAAAAAGGAAACCCCAAAAAGTAACTACAATGGAGGCTATAGGTAGGTCCTAAACTCAAAAAGCATGAACAGGGAGTCCCAGTGTCAACATCCTCCCGCAGCTCCGAGGAAAGCTCATAGAAGACCGTGGCATCGTCCCAGCAGACCTCAGGGGCTTAGTGTCTTGGCGTCTGCAAGTTTTCAAGCGGGCCGACTTCTCTATCCAAAACCTCAACCCTACACTCACAAGCCTTCATTCCACCCCTCGGACGGTTGAACCTGTGTGGTTAGTGTGGTTCACTTGAAAGTGAGATCAGAAGCCAAAAGGTTGGAACATGGTTTAGGGTTTCAGGGTTTACCTGTAGCCGAAAAGACCTATATACCTTTTTAGGGTTCCTGATTATGGTTTCTATATAGAGATCCTTAAATTAAAAAGGTAGGTCTTTTCGGCTACAGGTAAGCTTTAGGGCTTTACGAGGTTGGGGTCGAACACTGGTCGGCCCACACAGCTGTCCTGTTGACTTTGGACTCTGCAGGCTTCCGCGCGGGAGTTTGGTGGTTCAAGAGGGGTTCGAAGAGAATACCATTTCTGCTAGTGGAGGCAAGTCTAGCCAGACTACGCTCTAAATCTAAACCCTAAACCTGAACCCCTAACCCCAACTTAGATGCACTACCAGCATGGAATCCTGGGTCCCCAAATGAGGCAGGGCTTAGCCCCAAACCTAAATCCGTGTAAAGATAGATGTTTTGGTGTCTGCGGAAATCTTGGCTTTGTGATGGGCCACTGGGGCGGCTCTCCAATTTCCGGGTTGTGGGCTCAGAGCAGTTTATAGCGCCACTCGCGGTACAGGTGAGCATGCAATAGCGATGACACTAGTAGCAAGAAAGAGTAAGAACAACATTGATCATGATGGCTCCCTACGTACAGAAAATGCAAGCATCGCTCACAGTACCAGCCCACATCACCATCAGCACCTTCTTCACAGTCTTCACCATCAAGAGAGCAATGTCGGAGCAGCTTCGGACATCCATGACCACAGGAACCGGCACCGACAACAGGGTCAAAGACTGACGGCGTGCCTGGCTGTTCACCGTCTGCTTGTAGTACGCCTGGGCTCAGTCTCTCTGCAACAGGTCTGGGTTTTAGAGCTTAGGATCTCGAGCATCGGCTTCTGTCAAAGGGTTGCCAGCTGAAGTCTGGCAGACATGGCGGAAGCATCGAGCTCAAACGGCGATACTGACGTATGCATGCATGTATACATGTATACACACGTGCAAACATACAAATATATGTATACATGTATATCTACATGTACATAGTTCACCTGTGCTGCTGTCACCAGGAGCCCAACCTAAACTCCAAATTCACGAACTTCCACTGATATGGAGATGAATGCTTAAACACCGAGCTAAATGCTTAAACAGTTTTTCCCTTGCGCCTTCCTGTCCTCAGCCCTCGAACCCTAAACCCAAGATCCCTAAACCCAAAAGTCCAAAAAACCTAACTCCTTTAACCTTGTCCTAAATCCTAACTCCCTTAACCTGAAAGCCCGCAAACCTTGCAGCCCTAAACTCCAGCCGAGGCACCCATATCCTTCTTCTCAGCTGCGTGGGAAAGCGATGGTGAGTGAGCCAGGCCTGCGCTAAGGTATTCTTCTTGTTTGGGGTTTAAAGGGAGCTCCAGAAAGCTGGAATATGGATTAATGGTAGGATCCCCTATCATTTACCTTAAAGGGGTTACGAAAATGATATTCCAACTTTCTGGCTTCTACTGTACACTCTCGCAACTGGGGCATGCTAGGCGAGGTTCTCGGTGCGGGTCGGTGTGACAGGGTTTAGGGTACGAGTAGTACTATCCTTGCTTCGATTATAGTTATTGTTGTTCCCTTTGTCAACGGTTCAGGGCTGCGGGATCTTAATATTCTCAGTCTTGTCACGAGTACTGCTGCTACTTTTACCATGCTTCTATCATCATTAGCTTCATTGCTTCTATTTTTTGGGCTGCTCTTTCAGGGACTTCGGTTGACGCGGCAGGAAGTTTCTTGCGTGGCTTTGCAGGGCTTGTTTTAGGGTGCGGAACCTTTATAGGCTCCTTCAGAAGTAGTAGAGCGGCGAGCCTTAAACACTAGTCAGCCGGCATCCTCTATACAACACTGTACAACTTTAGCAGACTGGACTTAACGTCAGAGCTTGCACACAGCCAGCCTCCTGCAACTTGGTTAGTTGAAACCCCAGAAGCCCTAAAGACCCCTCAACGCCCGCACCTTGGGTGTCGCATTCAGAGTCTTTGCGACGAACCTCCGAGCCTCCAAAGCCTTCAGAGCCCTGAGCCCTACCCAAACCTCAAACCCAACACTCCCAAAGTCTTCGACATGATTTCCCAAACCCGAAAAGCCCTGTAACTTGAAATGAGTCCCTGAACCCCTATTCCCTGCAGGAGTCCTTCAAGAGCCCTACTTGGGTGGGGGAGACAAAGCCTCGATCAACTCCAAACGCTCCTTCTGAGCTCGCCAGTTCACCTTGTGTGGGGTTTCAGCGGTTTGGGGTTTAGGGGTTTGGGGCTTAGGGGTTTGAGGGGTTTGGGGTTCAAGGTTTAGGGTTGAGGGCTTCGGGTGTAGAATGCGGGCTTTAGGGCGGAGCTTGAACGTGTGGATATGTACAGGGTGTAGGGTCTGCGGGGATCCGGAGTTTTACGGGAGGAATGTTTAGCGTAAAAGTATGTGAGGTTTGGGCTTGAGTAGCGACTAGGATGCGGGTTCAAGGAGTGAATAGTGTGGAAGGCTTAGAGTTTGAGTTCATGCAGGGCAGTAACAGGGTTAAGCGTGTCCGAGATCTTCTGCAGGAGGATGTAGGCTAGGGAGAAATGGGTTCGAACTTTCACTGCTTGTTTCCGCTTATCTGTTGCATGGCATGGGGTTTCCTGAGAGTTTGGCCCTAAGGGGGTCGCCATGAGATTTTCATGTAGGGTCTTCACTCCCAGTTTCGGACAGCGAAGCTTCCTCCATACTGACTGCAGGGCTTCTACTGCAGCTTAAGACTAAGAGCCTTCCCAGGGTTGTGGGGTCTGGGGCGGATTCCCTAACCCCTAACCCCTGAAGCACACAAACGCTGCAGCCTGTGTGACTTGTGACCCGTCCAGGATGTCCTAGGAAGGACATAAACCCTAAGCCGAAGCCCTCAACCCTTGAGCTTTGATGCGGCAAATGAGGTTGGAAGACTAGAAACAACTTGTCGGTTCCCGAAGCACGCGCCTGAATACTTAGCAACACTTGTCCTCAGCGTTGCCCAGAAAAGTCCCGCCGAGCCCAATGTCAATCATGAGACCTACGTCTTTAGATTGGCCTCCGCCATCTGCACATGGTAATCGACGCAGGCACGGCGCATGCTCAAGCAACAAAGCCATAGCTAAGCGGCGTCATTACTCGCAAGGATCACCGAAATGTTGCCCACGACATACCCGTAGAAAGCACCACCCACGATCATCGCCAGCATCGTGAAGATCCTGATGCATGCGATTCGTAGTGCATATATGGGAGTTTCCGAAAATTAGGGGTACCTCATTTTGGGGGACCTTATAATAAGGATCCTGCTATTTAGGGTACTATATTAGGGTCCCCTACTTTCGGAAACTCCCATATTGTGAGCTTCGAGTAATGGCTAGCATAATTTATGAAACGACCCTGAGCCCTGGACGCCATGCTATGTCCTGCGAAGTCGTACCTAAGGCGATACAGCTGCATCTATTTCCGTATGCTGAAGACTAATATAGGGCCTTACTAATTAGAACAGAGGCTTGGCGCTCATGATGCTATACATATAGTAAGGAACCACCCAAAACAGTATAGGTCGTTATTCAGGCCCCTATAGTATGTTGCATGCTGGTCCTAGGAGCCCGAGCAAGGGATCCTAATCTTTGGGAACGGTTTCGCGATGGTCGTTCAGGATCATCACGGTGTTCGTTCAAGTTTGTTCAATACATCCAAAATATAGGGCCTAATTCATACCAAGGTTTTTTGTCAGGATGCGTTAGGATGCCTCCAATTTTCAATCTGTACTATGTTGTGCCCCCAAGACCCTATTCGGAGTAGCAAGGCTCCAATCCGAACATGATGCCAGGTACATTGGCGGGTGAGATCGAGGCGCGTCTTTTCAATGAAGCAGTTATGGGGTTTAGGGCTCAGCATCATGTGGGTGGTGGGCAAAACTGGGGTCCCCTTTTTGGGTCCCTAATATAATACGGCACCTAATGTTTAGGTAACTTACGCTGCGAATGCCTGCTATTCCATGATTGCGCAGCATCCTGAAATATCTTTGGCAGTAGAGATATTCAGTGGCCCTAGAATGAACTTAGTTGTAGTATCCTGACAATAACCCACCAACCCCCCAAAATGTCCTGTTGTCGCAACTTGGCATGACCTAAACCCTTAAACCGAAAGCCGCATCTAGATCCTATGCCCTAAGTCCCCCAGACAGCAACCATACTTGGCATGAGGAAAAGTGCCACGATCTCCCCGACCCCATTGCTCAAGGATTGGCCACGGAACCTTTCATCGTCCGTCGTCGGGATGATATCACCATACCCTACCTTAGTAGACTTCAGGGCTCAGGGGTTTAGGGGATAGGATGTTAGCGTAATATTTGACACTCATAGTCGGACCAGCTTGGCGGGTTTAGGGCTCCGAGTTTGAGGGCTCTAGGTCCTGGGTGTTGTGTTTGGATTACGGATTGTTGTTTGGATAGCTGCAAACTGACGTGCTGGTTCGGGAGGGTGGAACTGCCAACTGCCAGAGTGACATTCTTTTAAACAGAATCTCCGGGATTGGTGCATCACTTTGAGTATTAAGGCTTCGAAGGTTATTGAAGAAAGGTACTGCAGTTATCCGCCGGGACTAATAACGAACATTCTACAGTGACACGATATAGCAAAAGCTATAGACAGTCTATGAGCACCTGAACAATGAGAATATGCACCGGACGGCCGCAAACATGCCGTCAGTCAGCCTGACAATGGCATCACAAAGGGTGCAACTTGTCTAGCTCATAGCAGAGAAGAGTAGCAGTGATACGACGCGGGCATGATTCTGTAGTGCTGATGCAGTAAGAAAAGCTACGGCCACCCTTGCTGTGGCCTAAACTAGTACTACAAAGACGGCCACTATAACAACCCGAAAGCACCGGCGACCAACACAACTACTCCGGTCGCTGCCATATAGTTCTATAAAGCCCTAAACCCCCAGAGCCCTAAGCACCCTAAGCATGCCTTTTTCTGTCAGCCTTCCGGCAGGGTCGGCTCTCCACCAGCCGCACGCCGCAGAAGCAGTGCACGGAGCTCGCCAACGCAGCCACTGAGATGCCTTCCCAAAGGGGCCCATACTGGTATGTTTATATATACATACAAATAGGTATATACACACATATATATATATATATATGTATATGTATATGTATATGTATATGTATATGTATATGTATACGTATATGTAGTTGTCTATGCATATGTATATGTATATGTATATGTATGCGGTCATAGATACATATGTAAATATATATATATGTGTGTATATGCATATATATATATATACATACACATACTTATTCCTAAAACTCATCTAGAAACAGAGACACAGAGAGAGAGGGAGAGAGAGAGAGACTAGCACTACCTAATTCCATATTAAGTCTTGGAATGACAACCCTGAGTGAATGAGGACGGTCCTGTTTCCAGGTACGGGTAGCCCTGAAAATCTGAACCGCCGAAACCCGAGACCGTTGCTGCATGAACCAAGCCAAAACCACAATCAGCAAAGATTGCTCAGATCCTCTGTAGGGTCACCGTTTCGGGTTTTTGATCCTTGGAGTTTGGGAGGTTCAGGTGTGGACTCAGTGGGGGAACCAGTCTGACTGCCTTGCTAGTGGTCCTCTCCATCCAGTCTGCGTCCAGGCTTAGACTACTCGGTCATACGAAAGGCTGCCAAAAATTAGCACGAGACTTCATATCGTCACTGGGTAACCTTAAACCCTGAACCCTACATTATAAGCCTTGAGGCCTTTGTGACACAAGGAGCACACGCCAAGATGCTGCTTCCGGCTGGCCAGCTCGCGGACGAGGGTGGCGAGGGTCTGGGAGGCCTGGTCTACCAACCTCGGAGTCAAAAGAGAAAGCGGGTTTAGAGCTTTACGGGCTTAAAGCCCCAATACCCCTAAACCCTGATCCCCTGAACCCTGAAATCCCTAAATCCATGGGACGAGGGATCGAAAGCTTCACAGGCTTAAGGCTTAAAGCTTCGGGGTTTTGGACCCAGGCTCCTGGGTGGGGCTTTTAAAGCCTTTGAAACATATTAGTAAATCAGATCCTCTTAAACCCAATAAGGGGAAATATAAAATGTCCCAAAGCCCGACCCAGGCTCTCAGGCCTGAACACCCCTAAGCCCTGAACCGGACGCAACAGAGAACAGCAATGCCCAATCGAAAAAAAGATCTTCGATCCTGAACTTCACACATCCAGGGCTCCCTTAACTTGGATCTTGAACCTTTTGGAAGCATAGACGGAGGTCCAAGATTTTTCGCATATTTAGGGGCTCTCAAACTGGGGCCGTCGCAATGGAATCCTCAACAGCAAGGGCCCGGCCTACGTCTGTAGTATGTATCGCGCCACATGGGAGTTTCCGAAACTAGGGGACCCTAATATAGTACCCAAATCCGGATCCTTATTATAAGGAGCCCAAAATAAGTAAGGTACCCCTAATTTTCGGAAACTCCCAAGCCCTGAACCCTTATTATGGAACCCTTATAGACCCCTATAAAGGAACCCCAAAAGGATCCCTTTAAAGGACCGAAACTTCCACTATTGTTATAGTATCTTCGGAAAGCCGGGCCGCTGGGAGAAGTCCTGCGCCCAAACGATAGCCTGGTCTGGCAGCGTCACGGCAGCGTCCTCCGAACCAAAGGGTTTAGGGTTTAGGGCAAAACCACCGAGGGGGTTTGGGATTTAGAGGTTTGGGGTTTAGGGACCATCCAGGGGGGTTGTAAGGGAGGCGACTCCAATAACATAGGGCCTAAATAATAACCAATACTATTTTGTGGGTTCCTTGTTGTAATGATAGTAGAAGGCTAAGGGGCCCCAAATATACCTATTCTAAGTATTAAGGCCCCTATTTTTTCCCTTCTGACAATTAGAGTCCCCGTTTATGGATGCCTCTTCGGAGCAGACTTAATCAAGGTGTCTTGTAGTCTGTGGGAACCCAGTGGTCATATTTTCAGCGCGCCTCAACTGACGCTCTGTTTGCTTCGCTGCATGCAGAGCCCTGTAATCCATCAGCTTCAGGTGCGAGTCCAGATTTGCAACCGAAGCCCTGAGCCGCCACTGAGGTCCAGCCCGCATAAAGTGTATGAAGCTCTCTACTCCACATCCGAAGTCAGAAACCCTCCATCTTGAGTAAGCCTGGACCTAGGGAACTGCAGTCCTCTGCCAGCAGTGGGAGAAAAGTAGCAGGCCTCGTCGCATTACCTCAAGTTTTGAGAGCCCTTTGGGCTCCGGGGCTTCAAGATTCAGGACGTCGCTTCTTTGTGGTGCGCTCCGGGTGGAGTGTTTGGGGCTGTAACAGCATAAAACCCGAACACCCCGAACCCTGATCCCTAGTCCCTAAACGCCCCTAAAGGAGCCTTTAAACAGCCTTCAAGGCTTGAATAGGCTTCGGAAGCGACACTTCCGAGCGGCTCAGCTCGAGGCGGCAAAGGGGTTCGTACTCCGTGGCCACCAACTCCAACCGGCAGTGCATCTTCCTTGGGCTTTAGGGTGTAAGGGTTTAGGGCTTCACGGTTTAGGGTCTTGCAAGGGCTCTATGGCTGGTTAAAGTGCATCTTCCTTGGGCTTTAAATACGGCTTCAGAAGGGTTCTGTAGCATTTATGAGGGTTTGATCGTGTTAGATGGGATTCATACACGTTCTATATCGTTTATATAGGGTCTTTATTCGCGTTCGAAAAGCTTTAAAATAGTTTTAAAGTACAGGCTTTATAGAGAGATTGCCGGGACTTATACGCGGCTCTATGTGGGGTTTACGGCAGTCTCAATTTATTGGGGGCTTATAGAGGTCCTGGCTTTAGGACATTGGGGGTGTAAAGGGTTAATGGCTGGAAGGACTGGGATGATGATGATATATATATATATATATATAAATCCTGCGTTACCTTAAGGACCTTAAACTACAGGAATTATCGTATATTCTTATAATGGGTAATGCAGGGCTTATATCATCAACTGTATACATGGTTTGGGTGCTTCATAACATAATATGCTAACTATAACATTACTATGAAACCGATACGAGAGTTATGGTTTGGGTGCTTCATAGTTTAACATACTATTCCTAACTTTAACATTACTTTAAGAACTACGAGACTTGTGGTTTGGGTGCTTCAACACATACTGTTCCTGACTATAGTATGACTCTGAGGCCTGTGCGGGGGTTCGTGTGGGGTGCGTAAGGCCAAGCATCTTCGTTGGCACGGGGTCTTGCAACGCTGAAAACGGGCATTCTCGGTACCACTTTAGGTAGCACGAACTCTGTGATTGCAGTGGCTCCTCCTTGAGCTCTCAGCGTCCTAGAACCTCACCTCTTCACCCTAAACCCTAAACCCTAAACCCTTAAACCCTAAACCCTAAACCCTAATAGAAGCTTGAGGGTGTATGGTGTAATGTTTGGAGATCGGGGCTTTTGGGCTCGAAGGGCTCAAGGAGTCCAATCTGAGGCAGCAGGCTTCAGGCATCCAGGGGTACATGCATAGTACCCAGAGACTCCAATATCCCTTAATTAAGGAATACTCCTTAAATCATATTTGGGATCCTACAAGAATTCAAGGTATATTCCTTAATTAAGGGATATTGGAGTCTCTGGGTAGCCGAAGGCTTTTGACTTGCGTCGGAGTTGAAGCTGCAGGTTGTGATCGTGCGGGTGTGTAGGTTGAGAAGCTCGTACCACGGCCTTTACCAGGCTCTGGCTGGCATGTCACATACCCTTATTCCTTTTTGCAGCTGGGCTGTCAGTCCTAATTTTTAAAGTCCGGATTCTCCCCAAGTCCTAACCTCCAATCCCGACGATTACCCCCCAACGACTCCTTTTACAAGACACCCTAATTATTGCTCCAAGCCCACCCCCCAAAAAAGACTCTAATTCAAGCCTCCCCTTCACCACCCCTTTTTTGCTGCAGGCTTGCACGTAAGGACGCCCCCTTCGCCACCCCCACCCCGAAACCCCAAGCCCCAAACCCTAAAAAAGGCTCTCAACTTCTTTCATGGCGAGCATCTTGTACTCCCCAAGGGCCTGTGAAGCCGCCATCAAAGTGCTCTCCAAGAGCACAGCGATGTCAATCTGCAAGTCTTCGGCTTCTCCCGGATCCTGCAATTATGGGGGCTTGAGGCTTCCTAAAAGATCCCCTTAAGAAAAGTAAAGTCCCACGGCTCGGAATCCGTACACCTGGTATCACAAACCAGACTGTTGAGGGTGTATATCTTCCAGTCCTTAATTTCTAAAGCTTCGCTGAAAGGTTCGGATGCAATTGAATCAAACGAAAACCTCGAACCATGAGCCCTGAACGCCTAAAACGCGCAAAAACCCTCAAGCCCTCACCCGGAAGCCCAAACAACAACCTGTAAACCCCGAAACCCTAAACCCACAAGCCTCAACCGCTTGCTAGGCAACGCCCAGCCCTGCAGTTAATAATTAATGAATCAATCGAGGCTTTGTGGGGGCTTGGCAGTCTGTGTCTTAGCAGGTAGCATGGGGGCATGCTTAAAACGAGGCTTGGAGAGTTGATTATCGTATAACAAGGAAGCCCCGGTAATAGTGTTACTAACAATTCCGGCTTGTCTAGAACTGAAAATCTTATTGCTGAGTCCCAAGTCGCAAACCGTAAAGAATAGTACAAGTCCCCCTAAACCCTCAACCCGGGAGCTGTCCTGGCTCCCATCGCCACTCTGTTCTGGAGCCACATCCTGGGATCTAGCAAAGCTGACACGAAAGGAAGAAAGGATGAGAAGGCTGGGTTTCAGGGTTTAGGGGCTTAGGCGGTTCCGGTGGTTGTGGTTTTGGTGCTGAAGGCTTTTTTTCAGTTCTTGGGTTACGTAAATCCTCCCTTTCGGTATCAACGGCCCTCAAGCACACTAGACACCCCAAGTAAAGGTTAACGGCACCGAATGAAGATTATTACAACATAAAAACACATTAACCGCCAATCCCCCCCAAAGAAAAAACACCAAAACGCCTGGGATCTGGAGGCTCAATGGAGATGGCGCGAAAATCGTCAGCGACTCGCTCCAGCTTGCAGAGCTTGTCCTCTAATTTACCCGGCACGCCGGCTTCCTGGGATCTTTGAACTTTGCGTTTTTCCTGCGTGTGTGTGTGTGTCTTTCACGGTTTAGCCTTCCATGGTACTGTCTAAGAGTTTAATTGTTTAGGGTTGGGGATCTTAAAGGATTCTGCGGTGCCCTGCTGAGCTTTTGCGGTTTAGGGTTCTTTTCGAGAGTTTATCATAGTTTACTGAAGCGTAAAGTCTAGAGGGCTTATGGGGTTTAGGCTTTCGTTTTCCGGGTGTGTTTTCGTTCGCGATGGCTTTGTCCATCTATCCTTCGCAGATTTTCTGGGAAGTAAGTTTCTTCAACAAACTCTTTCGGAAACCTCTTCTTGGTACCTGTTCAACTCAGTTCGGCTTTCTAAGTCTTGAACTTAGCGCAGTAGGAGAAGTACATCCAAACAACACCGGGGCAAACCACCTGGTTAAAGCAAAAGCCAGAAAGTTGGAATATGATTATCCTAAACCCTTTATGGCAAATGACAGGGTATCCTACCCTGAAACCGTATTCCAACTTTCTGGAGTTCCCTTTATGGTTTGCGTACTATCGTGGCCTCAATACCCATAGGCCCCATAGTAGTCCCTTGTTGGGGTTCATATGTAGAATCCTATAAGGTAATCCCAGAAATGAACTACTATGGGACCTATAACGCTCAAAAGGCGACCCCACAATTTCTAGAAGCACACCGGGCGCGAGCAAGGAATTACCACCCTCCTATCCCACCCCCCCCCCCTCCCCCGCCCTTTATTGCTAAAACCTTGAAGCTCAAGGCTGGCACCCTCAACTCTGAAATCCTGCATTAACCCCCTAACCTTAAAATCCCTACTTCAGAGTCTCAAACTTGCATCCTCAACCCAAAAATCGCTCCGTCACCGAGGACTCCTGACTCCTGCACTGTAAACCGTAAGCCGTAAACGGAGAAACCCCAAACTGTAGAGCACGACCGAGAGCCTGAACTCCAGACTCTAGGGACTATCCATAGGCCCGATAGTAGTTCCTTTTTGGGGTTTCAGATGTAGAATCCTCTAAGGCAATCCCAAACGGAACTACTATGGGGCCTATGGGTAAGCCCTAGCTTAACGCGGAATAACCTACTTACTTTCAGGGCTTTCGTCAGGAACTCATACGAAGGAACCTACAGAGGTAGGTTATTCCGAGTTGAGGTAAACCCTCAAGTTCATTTGAGCCCAAACTCTAAGAACTTATATAGCCCTAAACTCGTTTATGGATGCAGGGTTCAGGGTTTAGCGTTTAGGGGTAAACCCTCAAGTTCATTTGAGCTTCAGACTTGTAGTAGAGGGCAGCATCGCACAAGAAGGCGGGAAGACGCGAGGCTTCTTGGAGCAACCGTTCTGAGCCGTGGCTTCGACAGAAGCGCCTCATTTCAGGGTTTCAGGGTTCAGGAGTTTAGGGGTTTCGGCTTTGGGGTTTATAGGGTTTAATTAGAGTCTAGGGTTTGAGGCTTATAGTGTATAGGGTTTAGATACAATGGGTTTGCACCTTAGGGTAAAAGGTCTTGGTGAGGATAAGAGGGTTTAAGGTCTTTAACGTTTTAGAAGAGGACGCTGTAAGTTTGTTGAAGGCTTAGAATCAGGATGCATACCGTATGCCCATATCCCAAGCTGGGGTAATAGCAGAGCATCCGTGCAACTAAGCACAGACTACAAGGGGGGGTATTACCCTTTTGTTGAAAACTTATATTAATCCTTAAGAAGCGTCTTTTCAACTTGATCCCTAAGCCCTGCGCCCTAACTCCATTTCAGCACCCGGCCCCAAGAAGTTGAGGACCCGGGGCACCTCATGGAGGAGTCCGCCTGCCGCAAGCCGGCGACCACATCGTTCAGGTGTTGCTCGATCTCATTCAGGAGGCAGAAAACCTGACGGTCAATGGGTTTTTTCCCTCTCGCTCTGCTTGGAAGTCGATGCCCGCTCGCGAGGTCTGACATAGGAACTATTCGTACAACAGCATCACGGTTTGTGAAGTGCTAATTAGGGCTGAAACCCTTTCAATGGTCAATGGTTTAGGGATTAGGGTTCCTTTAAGGGTTTAGGGTTTAGATCACAACCTGGTCCATGGTGGGGATAGCATTCAAATGATAACTTCCACTCCTTCTTGGGCTTAAGAACCCATAGCAACGTAAAAATGTTACCCAACTATGACAAAGAAACCTGACGGTCATTCAATGAGTCGAGAACTAGGGATAGGGCTGAGGTTGAGGATTAGGCAGCGGCCAACCTGAGCCTGAATAATCTAGGGTTTCAACTCGCAGGCTCGCTCAACGCAGGCCCGGCTTCAAGAGGAGGGTTTAGGGCTGCAAATACTTCTTCTGAAGCTCTACAGCTCGACAAAATTCTCACAATAATCCAAGAGCACAGAGGAAGCTCGAAGTATGGCAGTTCCCTGATTGACACCCTAAGCCAGGAAAGCGGCCACAAATCCTCAAGCCCCAGACACTAGATTCTGAAATCCTACAACTGACATGCTAAGCCCTAAATTCTCATGCCTGACATGGGCCTAAACCCTACACACCCCTGGTCCGGTAAAACCCCCAAACCCCAAAACCCTCATTGCGACTGAAGCCTGTGGACTGCCAGAAGGCATGCACGAGAACTTCCCTGATCCACCTCACAAACCCGAAACCTGCAGCACATGCCCAAACGACTCCCAAGCCCAATGCCTTGTTTGGGGAGAGACTGTAAGCTGTGCTCTGCATGCTCTTGAAGCCGGTGCAGTGCTCGTGTAAACCTACCCCAGCAAGGCTGCATGACATTCGCCATCATGAATATCTGAACAAACTCCATCATTCTCCAACAATGCATGAAACCAAACCCCAAATCGCCCAAATCCCTCCAGACAGGAACCCTCAAAGCCCTAGAATCCTAGAACCTAAAACCGCTTCCCAGGACCCTCACCTCGTGTCGCTGTCGCCACTTCCGCACCTCGCGGCGTCCTTGTCGGGCCTTCCGCTCGATGCGAATATGGGGCTCACAGGGTTTAGGGTTTAGGGCTCAGGGTTTAGCATTTAGGGCTTTGGGTTTAGGGTTTGGGGCTTAGGGTTTAGGGGTTTGTTGGCAGGGTTTCCCTAGGGATCAACATCTCGGTTTAGGGGTTTGCATGTTGAGAGGGTTTCGAGCAGGGCTTTACGGCTCACTCGGACGCTCAATCGACGTAGTAAATAAGGTTGGCAAGAAGCGCTCTTGCGAACATGAAGATGTGGTGGGGAAACTAACTTTAAGTTGACATGCTAATCTCAAATGAAGACTTGGAGCTTAGGCTGCAGATTCGGGTTTCAGGGTGCACGGCCTTCGAGGTGTTAGGGGGTTCGCACCGCGGGTTCAGAGATGTATACTGTTAGGGGCCTTTGGAGCCTCCAAACGAGAGAAGCGCAGAATGAGGAAAGCAAAGGACTTTCATTAGTAGGTATGTCGGCTTTTGTATTAATTCTCCGGCCTGTTGGTTTTTGTATAAGGCTTGTACGCGTCGAGGCTTCGTCTGCGGACCTAACGTAGCGCTCTCACATGAAAAGATGTGTTTACCATAGGGACCCGGGTGTCTTCGAGACCCTCATGATTATCGAGTCCTGTTTTCTGGCTAAATGCTGACGTTTTTTTTTTGGGGGGGGCTTTCGTGTAAGTTTTGCTTTAGGTTTAACAGGTTTACTGTTTGTTTTTACAAGCTCAGACCCGACAGGCTGGGGTTCCTCAGTAAAACTAAACTATGGCATACCATACCGCCCAACCCTTTTTTAATTGTTAAGGCCCCTATAATACGGAGATTCTTCAATGGCTGCCCTAAACTCTAAAGCCCTACATCCCGAGCGACACAAATCCCACGAAGACGAAGCTTTGGGAGGTCAACTACTGTAGGGGCCTTAATAAGTAGAATAGGCTTTGGGGGTACATTATACTACAACTACAATAAGGACCCCCCCCCCCTCAAAAAACAAAACAGTTCTAATCATTAAGGCCCCTACATTACAAGCTCGTAGCCTGGTCGCAACCATAATCTCACGACGAAGGCTAAGGCCCAAGCCGTACCTGGACCCTGTAAAGCATTCCCTTTTTAAGGCCTTGTATAAGGAAATGATGTAAAAGAGTCCTAAAAAGGTAGGTTTCGTAGAGTCCATGTAAGCCCTAAAGCCCAAATTCTGAGTTCCCAGTTCCAAGTCTCACTCCGGTCCTACCCCCTACTTCGAGGCTTTCGACGTAATAAGTCTACTCAGGTTTCCTAGAGCGGGCACATGAACCCCCATAACTCGTCTTGCTGACCCTAGTCGCGTCGGGTGAATAAGCTGTGTTGATGAATGTGCTGTCACATCCTAGGTTGCCAGAGTACCCAGTAAGTGTTCATACAGAGTATAACACTTTCTTACCGAAATAGCAAATACTGCCTATGCACACCTGCCAAGTTGTGCTGGCCTCAGGGTCGAAAGCCGAATGCAGCCGCTGGGAAAATCGCCAAGGCGCGGCCCTCTTCCTTGGATTTTTTTGCCACCCACCCAGCTGAACAAAGTCGCACCAGGGAACTCGTCCGTACTCTCAGACTTTCGGGGGTTCATGGTCTTACTTGTCGAGTATCCTGGGGAACTAAAGCTTAACCTTTGGGAACATATTGGGATTCTGTAATTTATACTTACAGCACTCCAAAAAGGCTAAAGGCTAACTACTATCGTACGAGGTAGTGTCGTTGGGGTACAGGGTTTAGGAAGGAAGGTTAAGTTGCTGATCCGTGAGGCGAGGGTTGCTGCGCAGCTGCTACTCCCAGTTATTCGATCCTAAAACAGAAACAAACAATGCAACCTATATGACCACTAAGACGACGGCGGCAGTGGCTGCTGCTACGACGACGACGACTGCGACTGCTACGACTTCTTCTGCTACCTCTGTTACCGCTGCTACGACGACAGTTCCTCGTCTCCTTCCTAAACCGACTTCCATTCCCACCCTACTTCCCAAACCCACTTCCGTTCCCACTCCCACCTCTACTACCGCTACCACCCACTTCGAGTCATGTAGGGGCCTGAACAAAGACCAATACTATTTGGGGGTTCATGAATTTTAAAGGAAACCCATATATAAAGGACCCCTATTACTAACTATTATCGCCACTACAGGTACCACCAGCACGAGGCAAAACCCAAAGCGACTGCCTCTCGTAGCCAGGCCCAAGCTTCGACCATCTCATCAGCTGGTCTTTGAGCACCTGGCAACCATTATAAAATGGGATATTGCTAATTAAACAGGAAGAGCAAGTAATGGTAATTACCCCACCAAACGAATGATAGTACCTACATTAAGGGTTCTCTCTCTCTCTCTCGCTCTCTCTATCTATCTCTCTCTCTCTCTCTCTCTCTCTGCCGTGCCATCATCAAGAGTTTCGCAAGTCAAGGGCACGAAAAAGCAGGCTGGAATATCAGGAGGCTGAACCTCTGTAATTCGTCAAGCCCACTGAACTGGACAAGAACTTACCTCTCCAACAACTTGTTGGGCTGCGAGGCCTTCAACAACACAAGGACATGCAGCCTTGCATACGAACTGAAGACTTCCGACAGCCAACAATCTGACTGCAAACGTTCTTAATGTTATGTCACACGATCATAGTAATACTAGTTCTGCTCATAATGGTTATCACGCATTTCACGGATAAACGAAACCGAAGAAGAAGCGTGTGGTTCGTGTTTGAAAACTGGCAAGACTACAAAAACCGCAATAATGATAGGCCCCCCTAAACCTAAACCCTAAATAGGCCCCCCTAAACCCTAAACCCTAAATAGGCCCCCCCCTAAACCCTAAACCCTAAACCCTAAATAGGCCCCCCCTAAACCCTAAACCCTAAATAGGCCCCCCCCTAAACCCTAAACCCTAAATAGGCTAAACCCTAAACCCTAAACCCTAAATAGGCCCCCCCCTAAACCCTAAACCCCAAACCCTAAATAGGCCCCCCTAAACCCTAAACCCTAAATAGCCCCCCCCTAAACCCTAAACCCTAAATCGGCCCCCTAAACCCTAAACCCTAAATAGGCCCCCCCCAAAACCCTAAACCCTAAATAGGCCCCCCCTAAACCCTAAACCCTAAATAGGCCCCCCCTAAACAATAAACCCTAAGGCAACCTAAAAATGAGGACCTGAGCTCGCGAGGCCCTTCCTGCATCGTTGATGTTGAAGATGTTCACCTGGGGCTTAGGGTTTCGGATTAGGGTTTAGGGCCTAAGTCTAGGCTTCTGGTTTAGGGTTTAGGTTTACGGTTTAGGTTTATCGTTTAGGTTTATGGTTTAAGGTCTAGGTTTATTATGGTTTACAGTATGGTTTTGGGGGTTAGGTTTATGGTTTAGGATTTAGGGTCTTCATCGGGGTCGTGATTTCTTTCAAGTCACTCTATGGCTCTAAACCCCAAGCCCTCCGCCAATCGCGGGTCTTACACGGCATTTTAAAGATCTTTGAAGATCCACTTGAATGAAATTCGTTAATGCCGGGCACCCTTACGGGAACTGAGGTTATGGCTTAAGCGCACGGTATAGGGATTTGGGATTTGGGCTTGGTGGTTTCAGCGTGTAGGATCTGCGTGTGCAGGGATCGCATCTTGGCGCGCAGCTGGAGGGTTTGGTCATATGGAGTCCTGGTTGCAAGGCTGGGGTGATAAAATCGTTCTTGCCGTCGCGGCCGGCTTGAGTATTCAGGGAGCAGCCGCCTTTATTCAGAAGCATCCGTTATATGAAGGTATCGCACACTGCAGGTTTTCTTTAACCCTAAAACCTAAATCCGGGGATGCTGATTCAATTCATTCCACACGCCTCGGAGCCGTGCGAAGAGCTGAATGTGTCGTGCGTATCTTGGTCCGACTGCGAGCTCCACTCCTGAGGGTTGCTCGGTTAAAGGGCCCACAGGAATTTAAGAGGATCCTATAAGTGCTCGGCTCTAATCATAAAAAAACTGCATACAGGTTCTACAATACTATAACACGGGTTTAGGGTTTAGGGCTTGCTGCCTCGTGAAACCCTTTCTGCCAAGGCAGCTCCGACCCTGAAACTCGAGGCAGTCTCGCGCAAGCCAGCCGTAGTCCGTCAGCACTCACCCTTATAATAAGGATCCAATTATTCAGGGGACAATATTGGTACCCTAAATAGTAAGATCCTTATAATAAGGACAACAAAACCTACAGTCCCCATGTGTCTCCAACCTTTCTTGGGCTACCCGAACGGATCCTGAAGCAAGGAACTGCACTTGTTACAAGCGGGATTGTAGGCAAACTCTGAAATTCTAACCTTCTCCAACCCTAACCCCTGATAGAACCATTAAAGCCCACAAAGAAAGCTTTGTCGAATCTTCACAAACACGTGAACAAGTCCAAGATTCTAGGGGTGCCACCTCCGCTCTTGGCAGATTTAGCTGACTTAGCTGCTCGGCCAGTGCCTCGGCGAGCTGTGCCGCATCTGCCTCCCATACTAGGATTTTGCATGTAGGGTTTAGGGTTGAAGGCTTGGGGAGAGAGTGAGGCATTAGGCTTTAGAGCTTAGGGGCGTCCAGGGTCTAGGAATTGCGGCTCAGGGCTTGGAGTTTTGCCTCCCCATCGGCAGAGGAGGACGCAGAGGACATGAGAACCTCGGATCTGCACCAAAGGGCTTTAGGTTTAAGGTTTCGGCGTCGAAGGCTTAGGGTTTAGCGATAGAGCGGGCCTGATGTAATGTTCATAATTCGAAAGGGTGCCCCAATTTACATTACTATGATAGAATCATACGAACCTACAGATACGTGCTAGTAATTATTACAACCTCGATTTTGGGGTTTAAGGTATTGGGTTTAGCGTCTGGCGATTCAGACTTGCTTCGCCAAATGGTTATATAAATCCTCTGAGTTCGAAACGGGAAATGGACCAATCGAAAAGCCAATGAGCCTGAAGTCACCAACAGAATCTTCTTCCACTAGCCTTCCTGAAACCCTCTCAAACCTCGGACCCTCCAGCCCCAGGCCCAAAACCCTCACAACTACTGCGCAACATCCCAATGAAACCCTAAAAGCCAGCGTTCCAAAACTTCATGAAGCACACATGTAGAACCCTGCAACACATTCTACAGCGCTTTAGGACCCTGGGATTACTCTGGCAACTGAAAACTGAATCCTTAGACCCCTAAACCCTTGTAGAACCCTTAAAGGAACCCTAAGTTATGGTCACTTCAGCTTCTTAAATTCCGCAACAAGAAGCCAATAAAACCTGAACCCTAAACCCTAATCCCTCAACCCTAAACCCCTGAATCCTAAACCCTTAAACTTAAATCCCTCCCTCTCACTCTCTCTTTCTATCTCTTTCTCTCTCTTTCTCTCTCTTTCTCTCTCTCTCTCTCTCTCTCCGCTCTCCGCTCTCCGCTCTCCGCTCTCCGCTCTCCGCCTCCCTCTCCCTCTCCCTCTCCCTCTCCCTCTCCCTCTCCCTCTCCCTCTCCCTCCCTCTCCCTCTCCCTCTCCCTCTCCCTCTCGCTCTCGCTCTCGCTCTCGCTCTCGCTCTCGCTCTCGCTCTCGCTCTCGCTCTCGCTCTCGCTCTCTCTCTCTCTCTCTCTCTCTCTCTCTCTCTCTCTCTCTCTCTCTCTCTCTCTCTCTCTCTCTCTCTCTCTCTCTCTCTCTCTCTAAGGCATTCGAAACGTCAAGCCCGGCTGTAGGACACAAATGGTCCCACTTGACACATGATTAGACTCCGAAGCCGTCTTAAACTTAAACCCCTAAACCCGTCAACCCTAAACTCCAATCCCTACATCCTAAACCCCTAAACTCCAATCCCTTTTTGCAGCAGGCCTCGTTGTCCAGCAGCCCGGTTACAGCAAAGAGCCCCTAAACCCTAAACCCCTAACCCCTAAACCGCTTAAATCCCCTAACCCAAACAGCGCCGCGGAGCTCTTGGAGGGCTGAAAGGCAAAGGCATCGGCCCCTCTGAGGTGGAGCTCTCAGCCTGCTAAGAAGTTAGGCCCCCGGGAGGATCATGGGACTTTATAGGGTTCCTTTAAAGGACTCCTCTAAGGGATCCTGTTCAGGGTTTAGGGTTTGGTTTAGGAAGTTAGGCCCCCGGGAGGATCCAGAAACCCCTGTAGATCACTTTAAAGGAACCCTTAAAGGAACCTAGATATGCCATAATTGAGGGATGTGGGACTTTGGGTATATGACTATGGATCTAGAAAGTAGATCCCCTAATTTGGGGCTTTGTAGGGTTCCTTTAAAGGGCTCCTTTAAGGGATCCTGTAGGGTTCAGGGTTTAGGTTTAGGGATCTGCTAAGAACCCAGAATTTCGGGAGGATCTAGAAAGTAGATCCCCCAATTTTTTGGCTCTTTACTACTATAACGGATCTATAGGGGTACTGGAATAATATAAGAGCAGGGTGTAGGGTTTAGGATTTCGGGGCTTAGGCTTGAGGGACTTAATAGGGTTCCTTTAAAGGGCTCCTTTAAGGGATCCTGTAGGGTTTATAAGGTTTAGGGATCTATAAGGGGAAGTAGATCCTCTAACTTGGGGCCCTACACTATCTACTACGGGCACTTTCTAGGAACCCCCATTAAGGGATCTACTTTTGCTAGGAAGTTAGGCTTTGTCTACTCCTGGGGTTCCGGGTATGAGGGCTTTTTAGGGTTTAGGGTTTAAGGTTGGGGTTTGTAGGGTTGAGGGTTTAAGGTTAGGGTTTAGGGTTCAAGGTTAGGGTAGGGTTGGGGGTTAGGGTTTAGGGTACTGCCCCACTCAGTAACACTATAAGGGATCTATAAGGGTACTAGAATAATATAAGAGCAGCGTGTAGGGTTTAGGATTTCGGGGTTTAGGGGTTTAGGGCTTGGGTACTGCTCCCACTCAGTAACAGTTGGACAAATTTCGTAATATTGATAATTCCAATAGGACCTTAATAGTAGCCCTATCATAGACTGTTGCCGCATGGGGGCAGTACCCAAAGTTAGGCTTTGTCTACTCTTGGGGTTCAAGGTCTAAGGGTTGTTTAGGGTGTTTTAGAGCTCAGGGTCTAAGGTTCGGGCTTAGGGTTCAAGCTTGGGTTTATTGGGTTAAGGGGTAAGGTTAGGGTTTAGGATATGCTTTGTTTAAGGTTTCAGGTTAAGGGTTTAAGAATTTAGGGTTCAGCCTGCTTCGAGTTCCGGGCTTCTCTGAAAAGAGGAACTAAGGTTTGGGTTAGGCAAAACAGGGTTAGGGTTTAAGGCTTAACTCGGTTTATTCTTTTATACTGGGGTATAAGAAGGTTCGGGTGTAAGGTTTATATGACTCGGTTTAAGGTTTGCGTTTAGGGTATAATCTCTATAGATGCTTCGTCAAGGTTTCAGCACTCAGACTGATACAAGCCTGCCGAGGTCTCCGATACGACGATAGCTCATTGCTGGAACTAGCAAAAACAGCCAGCAACGGGAAGCTGGTTCAGGTTCTTCAGTTTAAAGGGCTTGGCATGAAGCGGTTAGGCTCTCTACGGGTCGCTTGTAGGTGTTCGGGTGAAAAGGCTTTACTAGGGCTCTTTTTTTTGCTAGGGTGTTATGAATGAAACTGCATATTAACATGGGCTTTTTGTATACTCTTCTATGCGTGTTTTGGGCTGTGCATCGTCTCTAGGCCAGATTTAGTTTCGGGTCCGCCTCCTGGTTTAGGGTTGTGCTCCCGTCACAGGTCTTGGCTGCGACTGGTGTTTCCACCGTCCAGAAATTAAGCTCCCCTTATTCAAAGCCCTAAACGGGGGTAGCTTAGCCAATAGAACCGCTTGGTTTAGCGCTTAGGAAGTAGGATTCAAAAGCCCTACGCCCAAAACCGTACCCTTTACCCAGAGGCCCCTTGGTAGTTCCTTTTGGGGATTACCTCATAAGAATTCTAAATATGAACCCCCGAAAAGGGACTACTTTGGGGCCTTAGGAACCCTAAACCCTAAACCCTACCCTTTAGTCCTCAGGCCTCCACGTCGGGCTTGGTAGCCTGAAAGGTCCGACTCTCCCATGCAGGTCTCGGCTCTTCCTTGGCTTGGGAGCTTTCTTCTTTAGCTTAGGGTTCAGGGTTCAGGGTTTAGGGTTCAGGGTTCAGGGTTTAGGGTTTAGGGTTCAGGGTTGAGGGTTTGTGTACCGGGATCCATAAAGGCTTTCCTGATTTAAACTAGGGTTTTGGGTTGAGAGTTGCGGGTTTTGGTGCTCCTGGTGATTTTTCGGCTGTTCGGGTTAAAGCTGATGGTCAGCCTAATCTAGTTATGATCATGGGGAAGGCATAGGACGAAATGGCAACAAGAGCTCGCATCTAGCCGTTTCAGTGTGTTTCTTTCCGAACCTGTACCACGATCCGGGTCTTTCGGCTTTAGGGAGCTGTCCATGAGACCCATATCCTTTGGAGTTTAACTGCCATGGTGGGGGCCGATGGGCCAGGCGGCCAGTCCTTGGGCTGTGGATAAGTCCAAAGCACAACTACGGCATGCTCCGCCCGGGCAAAATGGAACGGTAGAAGGTAGAAGGGCCCTGCTTGGATGGACTGTAGTCTTTCGGGCTTCTGCAGAGAGGCTCCGATGAGCCGCGTTCGGGCTAAGGGTTTGAGGTTTGAGGATTTTTGGCCAGGCCTAGGGGTTTTAAGAGATGAGGGCTCAGAGTTCAAGGTAGCATCCCCTTCTTGACGCCCGAAAAACACCCAGCAAATAGTGCTAACAAGCCCTCTGCGCACTTCCCGAAACTCCAGTAAAGTCGTATTATCGTACCAAAATTCCCTGAGCTCCTGAATATCCGAGAACAACACCTAACTTCAGGGAGGCTTCAAACGGTCTCTGTCTCGGTTCAAGCGGTCTCTGTCTCGGCTCATCCGTGGGCTTCGGGGCTTCCTCCGTCCGCCGCGGCGGCTGGGGCTCCTCCGATTGTTTGAAATCCCTCGAAGCCTCTTCGGTGTTCGCAATTTTAGCATGGTTCCTTTACGTGCTCCTGTAACGGATTCCTAAAAGCCTTAAAGGTATCTTGAGGGTTTTGCAAACAAGGGGCCCGACAGCTAGAACAATGCTTCGGGAGGATTCTGCATTGCTTGTAAACGGGAACCGTACAGCACGGAACAGTATCGGTAACTAGTCAAGCTTCTATATCTATATCTATAAATATATCTATAAATATATATATATATATATATGTACATATGGCAGGCTTTGGAACATACGGTTCAGGGTTTATAGCTAAGGTCTGGGGTTGAGGGGGTTGAAGAGAAGGCTTTGGGTTGTCGGTCTGTCCAACAAATGTGAAAAGACATGAAGCCCGAACACCTCAGTGAGATGCGACCTGCTTCTCCACAACACCAAGTTCTCAAAGAGCCCATCACCCCTTAGGAAAGATGTCTTGACTTCGAAGAAGATGCCCTGCTTCATTTGAGTACTCATCTAAGTCAGAAGACTATTTCTTATTGTAAAGAAAGTTATTGAATCACGGGGTGTTGGGATCGCTGGGCTCCTGTAGCACCGAACCAGCCAATGCCACCAAAACTCTTGCACACCGAGGTCCCCAAAACTGAATGTCTGATATATGGGCCCTAATACAGCTCAAACAAGAATTGGTGGTATGTTCGAGCCGCACAGTTTCTGCGGGACTATGAGGGAGAACCGTGCCAGCTAAAGCCAAGCCAAAGAGGCCCAATAAAGCCCTGAGGGCTTGAACCTTGCAAAACCAAAACGCTCAGCCCTGAACCTCGAAAACCTGAACAGATCTCACCACTCTGAAGCTAGGAGCCTCAATAACTAGAACAGGGTTTCGGCGAATATGATACCACGACGAAACAGGAGCCATGAGGAATCATATTGGTGTTCTAAGCTTCTAATATAGGGGCCTTAATAATGTGAACAGGGTTTCGGGGCTCAGTGTACTATGATCGTAATAAGGAACCCCCAAAATAATATAGGTAATTAGGGTTGATGATATGAATCCTGCATTAGCCATAATAAGGAACATACCATAATTCCCATAGTGTAGGGTCCTTAAGGTAATGCAGGATTTATACCGTCAACAGTTGTTAAGGGCCCTATTATATTACACTAAGAAAGCTTGCGAGATCCGCCTTCTCTCTCGGCGGGCTCGCCACAGTCTGTGCAGGAACTGGAGGTGGCTGTGGAAAGTCAACTAGCCTGGGGTCTTATCTTTGGTTAGTAGGGAATGGAAGACTGTTAGTAATAGTAGTTATATACACCATTCCTCCATTCCGTACTAACCAAAGGTAAGGGGTGGGGCTTTTAACGCAAGGGTTTAGGGTGGAAGATTCTGGGATGTGGTAGCCAACTTTCCCGCAAACCCGCAAACTCGTTTGAACCTAGTTTCGTAGGCATCCAAGAAAACATATACATTCCTCATCCAGCCCCATAACACTGCAGCATGCTGAGAGGTGGAACCGTAAATTCTGGCGTTGGGGCTCTTGGTTTGGGCAATAAGGTTTCAAAGGGGTACTCTAGCGACCTGACCGTGTTCAGTAACATGGCTAGTTTGCAGTTTTCTGGGCTGACTCAGGCATTCTGGGCTAGAGAAAGGGCACGCAGTGTTGAAGCTCGGGTCTAAATAGGACTGAAGATAGCGCTTCTGCTTGCTTGCGACACAAAAAATAGTCTCAAAGCGCATCCTGCACAGAAGGCAAGAAACAGCTGCCCCTTCACGTTCCTGCCATCCACATCCAGCAGCTGCAACCAGATGGGGCCTCCATCCTCTTCTGCACAGGCAAGCCGCCGTCCCACCGATATATTCCTCGCAAAACAATTTGAAGGAATCGCGAGCTGGGGGCAAAAGAGACAGGATATTAGAGAATGTTGATGGTTCCCCAGGGGGCGTTCAGCAATGTTCACCAACACCTACTATGACTATATGCCTTCCACCTCGAAGGACGCCACACCTTCGATGCATGCGGACATCGCATTCGTGCGCCCGGCTGGTCAGGCTCAGAAACGCGAGCAATCAACATCGGTCAGCCGCCCCCACTCCACACCGAACCCCCAAATTCCACAAAAACTACCTCTAAAGCCATTGCTCTGACCTCTGAAGTCCGAAGCCCAGCCGTTAGAAACACCGGCCCATTTGGGGAAGCAAGGATGCCATGGGGTAGGGTTTAGGGATGCAGGCCCACGCCCTTACAGCACCCTCGACAAACACAACTTAGATCCTACTCCCCGGTTGTGACAAACAAAAACGTTCTGTGCTCGATCTCCAGTCCTCTGAGCTTTATTACAGCCGCAACCAGAAGATTAACATTTCGGGCCTGAAACCAAATCGTGGTTTCTAACCAAGCCAACGAAGCTCAACCACGTTATGATCGTTTTCTGTTTAAGGTTTAGTTCTGCTGTCTTGTATTATCGTAACCACATAGAGCATGATCGGAGATGCTCGTGTACTATATGTAAGTCGTTTTTAGGGTATGGGAGCCCTGAGATCCGAATCTACTAGAAGCTACCCGTTAACCACAAACACAGGACCTTGCACACCCACCAACAAAACCCGATAAAGCCATATAACAATGCTATAGAACCACCGTATCAAACACCCATAAGGCCCCTGCAACACCCCCCCCCCGCTTCCAAAAAAAACACCGTTAGAGTCACTTCGAAAAGACCGCTACCCATTAACCGCAAACACAGGACCTTGCACACCCACCAACAAACCCGATAAAGCCATATACCAATGCTATAGAACCACCGTGTCAAACACCCATAAGGCCCCTGCAACACCGCCCCCCTTCCAAAAAAAACACCGTTAGAGTCACTTCAAAAAGACTGCGACCCATTAACCGCAAACACAGGACCTTGCACACCCACGAACAAACCCGATAAGGCCATATACCAATGCTATAGAACCACCGTATCAAACACCCATAAGGCCCCTGCAACACCCCCCCCTTCCAAAAAAAAACACCGTTAGAGTCACTTCAAAAAGACCGCTACCCATTAACCGCAAACACAGGACCTTGCACACTCACCAACAAACCCGATAAAGCCATATACCAATGCTATAGAACCACCGTATCAAACATCCATAAGGCCCCTGCAACACCCCGCCTTCCAAAAAAAAACACCGTTAGAGTCACTTCAAAAAGACCGCTACCCATTAACCGCAAACACAGGACCTTGCACACCCACCAACAAACCCGATAAAGCCATATACCAATGCTATAGAACCACCGTATCAAACACCCATAAGGCCCCTGCAACACCCCCCCCCCCCCCTTCCAAAAAAAACACTGTTAGAGTCACTTCAAAAAGACCGCTACCCATTAACCGCAAACACAGGACCTTGCACACCCACCAACAAACCCGATAAAGCCATATACCAATGCTATAGAACCACCGTATCAAACACCCATAAGGCCCCTGCAACCCCCCCCCTTCCAAAAAAAAACACCGTTAGAAACACTTCAAAAAGACCGCTACCCATTAACCGCAAACACAGGACCTTGCACACCAACCAACAAACCCGATAAAGCCATATATAGAACCACCGTATCAAAAACCCATAAGGCCCCTGCAACACCTCCCCCCCCTTCCAAAAAACACCGTTAGAGTCACTTCAAAAAAGACCGCGATTTTGAGAAAGAAGTCGGACCCTGACGAAACGTATAAATCACTCTCAACAATAACAACCGCTGTTTTCAAGATCCTTGCGAAAGATCCTAGATCCCGAAACGCTTTACACCCGAAATCCCAAAACCCGAAGCTCCAAACCCTAATCCCCAAACCTTACTCCCAAACCCTAATTCCCAAACCCTTATCCCAAACTCCGAAACCTTAAACTCTCATCTCGAAGCCCATAGCCCAAAACCCTATCTTGCCGGGTCTCAAAGAGCCCACGAGGTCCCCCCGCTCGTTCTGAAAGCCGCCCCTCAGGACTTCTAGAATTGGAGGGTTTAGGGTTCAGAGGCTTAATTTGTGTTGCTTTTTGCTTCGAATTCATGAAGGTCTGCTTGTAGGGGTGTAGAGTTTGGCGGTGCAGGGTTGGCGATTCAAAGTTTAGGGCTAAGGAGATGAAGGGTTCAGACATTTTAGTGAGTTTGGGGTTTAGGAGTTGTAGGGTCTAGGTTTATATTGATGTATTTTGTTCCTCGAGAAAGAGGCGCCCAAGTAAGTTTTGAGTTTGTACTGTCGGCGAAAGAAAGAAACCCAGCAAATGTAAAGCTCTCCCATCGGCAAAGCAAGTTTAGGATCTTCGGTCACTACTGTCGACCGCCAAGCACAGGCACGAAGAGACCAGGCAATGCATGAACAGTTAACTGAAAAACCTAGCCGGCGAGACAACCAGCCAGCAAGCAAGAAGGAAGGAAAACTGCAGATGGCGAGCCAGAAAACAGATGCGCGCAAGCAAAGCCTCAAACACAAAAGAGCGCAGACTAAGAACAAGATGGACATCGTGCCGACTCGGCGCCCCTGGCTTTGCAAAGCCAACCATGCATCACACAGTACGGCCGCACGCGCAACAAGCCCTTCCAAGGCCCAGGAGCGTGGCCGACACGGAGCTTGTCGACGCAGCACTCCAGCACAGCGCGTGTGCCGTTGGCCAGGCTGTGTGGCACAGCGTCGACACTTCAAGCAAAATCTATCTAGAAGCCAGTCCAACAAAGCCCTCAAAAGTCCAGCAGCTGGTCAAGCGGGGTGCCAACTTCGTCTTTGGCGCGGCAGTCCAGGACTACAACCGCAAGTCAAAGACCAGGATGGAGAAACCGACGCAAGGGCCCGCTGAAGCCACCCTGAAGCTGACATTCTGCGAAGGCACACGGCCGGCTGGCTTCCCCGTGCCGCTGTTCTCGCAGCGATTCCAAGTCCGGCATACCTGCACGTCAATATTAGTCTGGACTGCGCCCATGCAGCGGAACACAGGAGCTCCTGATACGCCTTCGGTGCCCTGTCAAGAAATTCCTGCAGTGCGCTCCGGGACTTGGTCAAGACGCATAATTTCGTGAGAACCCCTCACCTGTGCACACAGATTGCAATTCCACTCTCCCGCAAAAGGCCGGTTATCTGACGCACGCACGCTATCTGCTATCTCATTCGGGGTGCAGCAGACACGTAGGCGGAGCTTGGAAAGCAGCGACGCTGTGAAGCCTGACTCGTTGTCCGTCTTGCTGGGAGGCATGGGGCACAGCACGAAGCATACGCACTATAGCCTGGCGGCTGCCGCCTTTGGCCTGACCGCTGGTGCAGGTCGAAGCCCAGCGCGCGCAATTCTGCCAGGGTCGCCGCTTTGCCCTGCCAGGTAGATCGTCGCTAGCAGCACAATCGGTCGTAGACGTACTCCAGACACTAAACGTGGAGCAACTCCTTCATCTTGCAGCTGCTCTCAGGGATGACGACACCGTCACGGGCAAGCTGAGTGCTGACCATCAGCATGCCCATCACCGGCAGTCGTAGCAACAAAAACAGCTGGGTATCATAACTTGACACGCTAGTGACCGCTACTGCCGCTAGTAGCACCATTATAGTAAGCTAGTAACACCCACCGCATACTTCGCAAACCTGAGTCTGCGACATGCAAGCATATGCAAGATGCTGTCCTCGCAGCGAAGAAAGCCGCGGCATTGGGCTGCCGAGTAGAGGACGGCCCCATCTTCAAGAAGGCCCAGGCTGAGGAACACCGCGCGCCTCTTAGCGACCCCACGTCCAATCAGGATGAGGCCATCCAGGCGGTCCAGTCTGTTCTGGCAAAACAGCAAAACACAGCACAGGCACGTTCTTTACGAAGCAGCGCCTGCCTTGTTTATGCACCTGCGATTGAATTCAACGGTACAGTCATCGATAGGGATGGTTCCCCCAAGGCTTGGCATCGCAAGCAATGGCATGCGCAAATTGGCGGTTCAGAAGAAAAGCATCCATGGACGTGCTCACGGACAAGCACGGTTTGCAGCCGGGCGAATGTTGTTACAGGATAGGCAGGTAAAGTAGGTTTGGTGTTAAGATGTTTTTCCCTCCTACTTAACCAGGACGAGGCCGGCATTGCTGGGTAAGTCTGATGAACAGCTGAAAGCGGATTCGGTTCAATGTCAAGTCAATTTACATTCCGACTAGCTTGGGGCTCAGGGCTTAGATTTTGGGACTCACGTCTCTTTAGTGCTTTGGTTGCTAAGTAGGGTTCCTGCTGCCAGTGTTCTGTTCTCGGTTAAACTGACCCCTTAACGTAAGACCTGTTTATAATAAGCCGCTACGGACCTGATAATAAACAACAGAGATGCCTGAACCCCAAATCTTCAACCCTGAACCAAGAAGCAACGGCAACGCCGACGCAGAGGCAGCCGCATGCGAACGCAGGGCCGAGAAGCCACCCTGCTTGAAGGCCTCGGGGTGGGCAAGGGCTTTGTAAAGTTCAAGACCATGTGTCTTACAAGGAAGGTTTCAAGATTCAAGGCCTTACAGAACATGTTCACAGTAATTCATAAAGCGTGCTGCTGAAGCCAGGATTTCCAGGCACATGCAACCTAAAGCTCTTGCTTCAAGAGAACCCCGCCAACGAAAACCTGTACTCTAAATCTTAAGCCCAGAAAAGACCCTTTTAGGTTCATAAATCCGAAGCCCTCAACTCTACAAACCCCAAACCCTAAACCCATATACAACAGTGTTACTACAGTAGCGAGGAAGCTGAAAATCCACCCAGCGCAGCCCCGGCCAAGGTCGTCTTCTCAGGCTGCTCAGCCCCCTTCCTGCGATCAGGTTTTTTCGGGGTTCGGCTCAGGATCAAAGAAGAGGGAGCTTCCGAAAATTAGGGGTACCTTAGGGTTCCTTTGAAGGGTTACTATAAGGGTACTATAAAGGTTCTTTTAAAGGGCTCTATAAGGGTTTAGAGTTTCCGAAAATTAGGGGTACCTTGTTTGGGGGTCCTTATAGTAAGGATTCTACTATTTAGGGTACTAGTACTATATTAGGGTCCCCTATTTTCGGAAACTCCCCAAACTTTTGAATCAAGCCTAAAGCGTTGAAGGGCTTAGGGTTTGGGGCTTAAGGTTTCAGGGTGTTGGATCTACAGTTTAAGGGTTTTCGGATTTTTGCTTTGGGTTTCACTACAGGTTTACTCTAGCTGAGCGGCCTAACGTGGGAATGATAATGCTAGAGCGAGAATAGTACCTGTCGCAATAACAATAATCGTAGTCATGGCCCTCGCAATTACTCTTCATGCCACTTGGCAAAGCCTGGCGAACTCCGCCTACAACCCTTATAAATCCCAGGTCCTTCTAATGGAACCCGCGTTGTTACCTGCATCTGCATGAGGAAATGCGGACAACAACACTAAAAGCTGGCAATGATCATGCACAAAGAAACTTTGCATGCCATAAGATGAAGCTGAATAGTTCACGCTGTATAACTATGAACCCTCTCTCTCTCTCTCTCTCTCTCTCTCTCTCTCTCTCTCTCTCTCTCCCAGGCATTCGAAACCCCTAAACCCTAGACCCCAAGCCCTTAAACCCCAAACCCCTAAACCCCTAAACCCCCTAAAAACCCCCATTCACTATAAGCACACTGCAGCCAGGGCGTCTGCATGAGGGCGATGTGAAGATGCGCGGAATCCACGAACTCCGCCTCGAAGCAGCGACTCTTCAGCAGGCGGAAGATGGCCTCGCGGGCCTGGCTATGGGCATTTTTAGCGAGCTTTTTTGTAAAAGCTTAGATTACAGCTTATCATATTATAGCACATAGTACTTTATATATACACACACACTGTATTAGGTTATGTTATCTGTTACATTCTATATTGAGTTCTTGATATGCGAGTTGCTTGTGTTCGCTTGCTTTCGAATTTCGGTTTTCGGCGCTCATGCACGGTGAAAGTAGGCTTTACGAGGGATGTTCTAAGCGGCTATGCAGAGGGGTAGAGATCGGCCGCTACTACCGTTTTCTTTTCACCGTTTTCATGAGGGGGCCACAGGGTGATACGGTTTATAACAGGTCAATCACTGCTTTGCGTATAAGCAGTTTTGGAGCGGGTTTCCGGGGTATTGACAGGAAAAATCAAAAGCCTATCTTAAACCTGGAGCCCTTTCCGCCAGAACAACATCGAAACAACCGCCTTTCTTGCAACAGGCCTCGTTATCTAACACACACTCCCCAAGCACCGTAAGCCTCAACCAGTACACACCCAAGCGTTCAAAACAAGAGCCTGAAGCGCCCTCCCTAAAACCTAAACCCCACCTAGACCCCCAAATGTAGGTAAAATAATGTCCCAAAACCTATAAAAGGCCATTATTCTACATACTTTCGGGGTCCAGGTACATCCTAAACCCTAACCCCTAAAGCCTAAACTCCCTAAACCTTAAACCCAAGAATTCGCCCTCCTTCGGACGAGCCTTCCACTGGGGCGCCTCATCGGGAGGTACGGGCAGCCAGGGAGTCACCTTGGAAGTTTAAGGAAGAAGAACAACAGACTAAGACACAGTTCTAATACTACTATTAATAGTAATAAGATAATGACAGTACAAAAACAATAGTTCTAATACTACTATTTATTAGTCATACTAGCCAACCGCTTTAGGGTTAAGGGATTGTGTTTTCTTTTGTGTTCAGCTTTAGAGTTGGGGTTACGGGTTTGGGTTTCCTAGCCATAAGATGAGTTTGCAGGAAATGACAGGCTTCATGGAGTTGCGGCCTTTGAAGCGCTTCTCGTAAAAATCCGAATCATTCTGGGGGGCTTGCGCTCCGACTCCCGCACAGCTTGTATTTAAGGTTTACAAAAGCCCTCATGACCTCGTTGAAGCCTCAAGCGGCTTCAAAGAGCTTTGGCTTCGAAAGACTCGGGTTTTGAAGGCTTACTGGTGCTCTCAATACTGAAGGAAAGAAATACCGCAACCTGCGAGAGCCCCCTATTCAGGCAACTTCAACCTGCAGATTCTTTTCTTCCCTCCTAAGTCCACACTACGTGCCACGTTCCACTCTCTGCTCAGGGTGGTGGTTCAGTCAATCGGGGGTTTTTCAAAATCTAATGAACTCAAACATCGAGAACATGGATATAACGACAGACGCACTGGGGCTCCCAAAACAGTCTCTTGGAGGAATCAGGAAAATGATGCTACTGTCGTTTGACCTGCTGTTAAGACCCCAAGCCCTCAGCACCGGTCCCTTACTGTGGCAAAGCCTCACCTTGGCACCAAACTCTGCACCCTCGCGGTCCAAGGAGGTGCACCTGTTGAAGGGTGTCACATTCGTGGGGCCTGAATGATTAACCTTTATGATTGGAATGAATAGGGCTTTATAGTAGTTCACGAGCTTTCCTTTAAAGTTTACAATTACAATCAAGAATGTAAGTTTGCAATGGGCTTTGGGTATACCATCACATAACTCTATCGAGACTTTATGTAAGAGGATCTCCGTAAACGACTGCCTCAGGCCTCCATATTAGCCGGCGAAAAGGGTTCAATTTTCAGGGACGGCTGCGCTTTGTAAGGTTCAGGTTGAGGGGATTCACTAGGCTGTTCAGTAACCCACTGGGAAAAAGTATATACCTTTTTCGGCCTCTTATTTTATAATAGGAACCCAGAAACCTGAAAGTAAAAAAGCGAACCACTGAACAGCCTGGTTCAAGAGCCAGGGTTCAGGGTGCGAGAGTCGGGACCGGGAGTTTAGAGGGGGGGAGCTGCGCACTGCTGCGGCAGGCCTGATGCACGGAACCTTCAAAGGCTTACTTTTGGTTAGTAGGGAATGGAAGAATGGTACGGTTGATGGTCTAAATCCTGCATCACCCATAGTAAGGAATATACCGTAACTCCCATAGTCTAGGGTCCTTAAGGTAATGCAGGATTTGTATCATCAGCAGTAGTAGTCATAATTTTACCCATTGCTCCATTCCCTACTAACCAAAGGTAAGAAGGCTGAAGAGCTGTGCTCGGATACCCCTGGCTATCTAATCGCAAAGCTTCAGAACACAAGCCTACCGTAAACTACCATCACCTATTCTTCGTAGATAGCTTCTTGTATATGTGTACCATAACATTGTTCATGGATAGCGACCCTGCCATAGTTCAAGGTATAGACTCTGGATCAGGCAGTGGAGACGTTGCAGACTTGGTAGTATTTTGGGAACCAGAGACTTCATCTTGTGTGCAGGAGGGAAAGCTTCTGGTCACAGGTTTAAGAACATTTGGTTCTTTGGTGTTTAGGTTTTAGGGGTTAAGTATTTTTCCAATAACTTCGCACCCGGCCTTTTTGAACCCATGCTGAGGCCAAGGCTTGCGACGGGACTTCCCAACTACAAGTAAATGAACTACTGGGTTGCAAGGACCCAGCAGTTCAATAGTTTGGCGTTGGAGAACTGCGATAAAGATCCAGTTGAGGTTTAGGCCATTACCTGGCTTGGGGCTGAGCGGGTGAAGTGTGCGCTCTCATAACCGGACATCTCTACGTAAGCCATGAAGCAAAACTTCAAACCTAACCCTCCGTTCACCAGGCACCTAGACCATATATTATATCATTTATGCTTGTGCGTGTGCATACGCATGCCGAAATCCATGCGTGATCATGCATGTAAAATCATCAATGGGGCCGACACGAAGAATTCCGAAGTGCCTTCTCGCATATATCCAAAGGAACCCCAAACCCTGAACCGGAAACAACCCCGAACCATAATCCCCAACCCAACTTCAGCTGTGTCGCAGAGTAATAACCAGTCGAATCTCGCCGCCTCTCTGCAGCCTGAGCCCTTGGGCATCGGATATTCGAACCTTGAGCTCCACCGCCTCTGAATCCATGGCTCTGGCGTCGCCATTAGACCGTTTAGGGCTGGGCTTTATGATCTAGGGTTTAAGGCTTAGGGCTTAGATGGGCTTAGGGTCTTCTACGGGGCGATTCTTGAAAGCATACTCTATGGAGGAAGGGAAATGTTGTGGCTCATAGGAAACTTTAGCAAGTTAGGAGGGCTATCCGGTTTTGTACTAGGGGAAGTTTGCTTCGCTGTACCTGTTTCAGGCTCACCGTAAAGGCAGGAGGCTTCGGGCGAAAGCTCCAACACTCGAAGCTTCTACGTAACCCCAAAACCGAAAGCAGCTGGCGAACCGCATTAAACCCGGATGATGCAAGGAAGTTGGGGACTTTCAGCATGCTGCCAGGCTGTTTTTTCTTGTCGATTCGTTTTCGGGGTCTAGGGCTTCTCAGGCTTAGGGTTGTATCGGCTATGCCGAGTGGGGCAGTTTCGTAACCTGCAAGCCCTCAAGTTCTAAAGCCGAGCGAAAAAGCTGCAGCATGCCTTTGCCCACCTGGGTCTGCTCCAATGCCCTCCAGACGGAAGCAAGACTCTGAAGTGGCAGGAACTAGTAGGGGTCTACAGCCCGAAGGGTCCAAAGGACCTACTAATTAGGTACTTGGGTTTACGATACTAGTTTTTGTAGGTTAGTACTTGGGAGTGTATGTGATTATCAGATACCTAGAACCCTAGCGCAAGGGTTCGATCGACAAGGGTTAGTTCAAGGGAGCACGTACTATGAGAGGGTACCAGTTTACCATCTAAGATCTTATCGATAAGGATTTGGGAGTTTCCGAAAATAGGGGACACCCTACATAGTAGGATCCTTATTGTAAAGACCCCAAAATAGGGTACCCCTCAGTTTCGGAAGCTCTCACTTTTAGAATCGACCCTCATGTTTAGCTTAAGCCATGAAGCTTCCCGAAGAAAGGGCGACTGCTCATCAGGTCACCGGCACATGAGACACAAAGCTCTTATGGAACCCTTGCTAAGCGTCGATCTCAACAATCCCCAGAACTATTTGAAACTGGGGCTCTATTTTCAACTAGAAGGGTAGTTTTGCAAACCCGATACCGATCTTATGATGCAAAGCCGCCGTGGTCACAGTGGTCATGGCCCAGTAGAGTGAAGAAATATACTGCGAGGTGGTACTCTCCGGCTTGAACTCATACCTCGGCAAACGGTTCGCAAACCCTAAGCGGTTTCCGCGCTCATGCTCGGACAATCCAAGCGGTTTAGGGTTTATGGTTTAAGGGGCCCTAAACTCGAAGCCACATGTTGAAAGCCAAGTGTTCTGTAAGGAGTCGTTATAGGGACTCTTCTGGGCATCGTACTTGGAGGCCCAGGGGAGTTAGTAAGTAGGTTACAAGCAGGGTTATAATTGGGGTAACTCCATTCAGGGTACTTATAACCCTACTTATAACCTACTTACTACGTCGCCTGGGCCTCTAAGTAGGGTTTATACCCTCTGGGCCTTACGGCTTTCAGGGCTTTTGGGGTGAGGAGTTTTGGCTTTCTTGCAGATGATCGGATTGTAGACTCAGGCCATCGAGGCTTTTGAGTAATGTCGGGGCCTAAATAATCAGATACAATCAGAACAGGGTTTTGGGGAACAAAAAAACTATAGCAATAATAATAACAATAATAATAATAATAATAACAATAATAATAATAACAATAATAATAATCCATCAGAGCCCTATTCCAATTCTTAAGGTCTGTACATTTCTTGTTTTCTTGAATCCCCTGCGGTGTGTGTCCTCTACGTGTGCGTCCCCGTGATCGGGTCACCGGCCATGATCCAATTTGTCCTCCCTCCTGGGTGCCCCATGACTCAGGTTATCCTGTATGATGTGCGTAAGATAGATCATCTGTGCTATCTGCTATTGCCGTGGCCGCGAAAATCCGCAAGCTGTTCTGCAGCAGGTGGTCCGTATGAGTGACCCGGCACAACTTTGCGTCGCTAAGGAACTGAACCCTTTGTTGCTCCAGTGCAATGATCAGCGAAATCCGTGCAAAACACGGCATTCTAAATTGCCTAATACGGCGCATTCCGGCCGGTTTGAAGCTTGGTTGCATTAGGCTGGGATTTCCAAGATCCAGCGTGTGCCTTCAGCATAAAACCTATACACCCTAGACTCCCAGTCCTAAAGCCCCAAACCCGAAGACTCCAATATACCTTATAATTAAGGAAGATACCGTAAGTTATAGCATAAGATCCCCAACATGATTTAAGGGATATTCCTTATTCAAGGCTTATTTAGGGATATCGGAGTCTCTGGGAACCCTAAAGGTCAGTTGTTCAATCCAACATCGGTGGATGTGAGGCCAGGATGCTCATTGAGGAAGCCATTTCCTGCACTGCATGCGGGGACACCACCTAGTACAGAAGCCTCCATAATAGTACTCGGGTACTAAGTACCGTAAGGAGCCCTGAGGAATCGTATCTTGAAGTATTCCGGCTTCTATGTTACCTCCATGATAGATACAAGCTGCCACAAGCTCAAACATTCTGCTCGCTGCATTGAGGGTCTGAGGGAATCGAGCTCCAGTGTTCTGGGGCTTGCAGCCGACAGCCGTCGCGAATTTAAGTACTTTCTGGCAGCTAGCGACTACAGTTCGCAATGTAGACCGAAAAAGCTGCAGGTCAACCGGCGCGCACGCACACACGCAGACACACTCGCACACTGACACACACACACAACACACACACACACACACACACACAACACACACACACACAACACACACACACAACACACACACACAACACACACACACACACCAACAACACACACACACACACACAACACACCAACAACACACACAACAACACACACACACAACACACACAACAACACACACAACAACACACACAACAACACACACAACAACACACACAACAACACACACAACACACACAACACACACAACACACACAACACACACAACACACACAACACACACACACAACACACACACACACACACACACAACACACACACACACACACAACACACACACACAACACACACACACAACACACACACACAACACACACACACACACACACACAACACACACACACACACACACACACACAAACCTCCCACGGAGCCCTGGGTGGACTGGATGGCCCATGCTGTCAAGCACATAGTAACCAGCGGGCTCAACCCTTCAACCCTAGATACTGCATTCTGAGCCGTAAACCCTAGCTCAAGAAGCAAGTGAGACTCCTGAGATGGGCATGAAGCATGCCAACCAGTGGCACAGCATGCAGCAGCTCACCTAAGCGTTCAAAGAAGTCTCCAAAGCTCAAGGTACCTTTGTAGCGGGGCCTTTGGGGTATCAGGTGCGTGTGGGGGGGGGGAGAGGAGGAGGGTTGAAGGGAGGAGGCAGCTCCATGCTCGAAGAACCTCCCGTGCACGAAGACCTGGACCTCTGCCTTGCTCGCCTGAACTGAAGCTCCGTCTCTGCTGGAACGATTTTGACGACTTGAGTTCCTAAGCACTCTGCATGCCTACGGTCTACATTTCCCTGTAGATCTCGTCTTGGCCTAGACCCACAGTGGAAATCCTTTTGTTCTTACATTGTCTTACATCGTAACGGGACTTGAAGGGTCATTACTTCGAACACGCGAAGCTACTTCGACTTGCTGTACAAAGCATGTTCTAGCATGTGTTGCTCTTCGTCTGCATGTACTGCACCTTTTAGCCCAACTTCGAAAGACCTCTCACCACCAACCGCGCCGAATGTTGAAGGCCGTCCTCGACCAAGTACCAGTACAGGCTTATCGCGCTCCGACTGCTCTCCGAACCGCCAACTCAAACCCTTGCCTGCCGTTTGGAGGCCTCCAACTCCAGTCTCTCAACCTGCCCTAGCACCCTTGGCGGTGCCCAGTGGCCAGAATTCGGCAAGCCTCGAAAATTCGTCGACCATTGCTCGAATGCCTTGGCAACACCCGTGTTCAACATTCTCTTGAAGCGGCACTTGAGGGTTCTCGGGTGCGAGAACTTGAGCCTAAACCGTTTCTAAACCCTGAACAGCACCCCTACACCCCAAACCTTCAAACCTACATCTCAGCCGCAAACCCTGCACCGAGACCCTAAAAGAGGTCCGCAATCATGAGAATAGGGACTTCGGGTGTGCTGGGCCGGAGTTATCGTATGGAGCCCTAAGAGATACAGTGCTACTTACCATTTTTTCGCCTGCATTACACCCCAAAGCCTGGCTGACCTCTGAGCCGCTTTTTCGGTGCTCATCAGGGAGTCGCTCTGAGTTTCGTCTTCAAACCTATAGTCTCCATTGCATTTCCTTTCTTTGGTTTAACCAATTTTATACTCAGGATCCGAAAAATTGAAAAGGTAGTCCGAAAAAGGAACCACAATGGAGACTATAACCACAATGGAGACTATAGGAACCCCCAGAACCACACGCTAAGCCTCGATGTGGGTGACAGTGCGCAATTTGAGGGGAGGGCGACCAACGGATGCTGACACGTAATATAGACCTGGGACGGCCTAGTGACGAGAGCTTAAGTGGGAGTTTCCAGAAATTAGGGGTACCTTATTTTGGGGGCCTTAAAATAAGAATCCCACTGTTCAAGCGACTATATTAGGGTCCTGATTTTAGGAAACTCCCCAGTCGCTTCTAGCAAGTTTCGTCTTCGAAACTGCAGGGTTCGTACACTTCGGATCCATTTTCGGAGGCAACAGAACTCAGTTGTCCTTTAAGCCCTTTGAAAATTATTTACTACTATGGTTCTCTGCAAAATAACAGTAGGGGAAGTTATTTAAAAGATCCCAAAGGACAACCCAGATAAGTAACCTTAGCATTGCTGCTCTCAGTTGGCTGTCGTGCTTAGGGCCTAGGGCTTCTTGACTCGAACCTGCAAAAAAAACGTTACATCCCCAAGCAACCTTGCAGACTAATCTGGTTTCACCAAATAAGCCACGAAACAAATATCAATCCACCAATACCCGTTACACACAAAATCCACCAGAACTATGAGGCAATCCGTAGATCTTGCAAGCTCTAAAGAGAACTCTGACACCCAGCTTCCTCAGCCGAAGCCCCAGGAACCCGCAGTATGGAACTTGAAGTCCAAAATCCCTGGGGCTCAAGACGTGCGACCCGACGGTTGAACTCCAAAACCGTGCACGGAAGCTTCACAGCTGACACTTTCATTGCAAATTCCGAAACCTGAAGACTAGCCCCTAAACCCAAAAACCTTTGAAACCCCAAATCCCCAAACCCTGGCTGTGAACCTCCTAATTAGGTCTTGTTGCGCCTCGAAGCTGCTCCAGGCCTCATCCTAAATCCTGAACTCGCAACCCCAAACCCGACTTTCCTGACTATGGGAATTATGGTATATTCCTTATTGTGGGTAATGCAGGATGTATATCATCAACAGTAGGAATGTCGGAGGAGGGGCCCACTGCTGTAGGGCTTCCGGGTCCACGGGTTTCGGGGACCCCCGGGAGGACCTAGAAAGTAGATCCCCTAATTTGGGGCTCCATACTACTAAGAGTGCTTTATAGGAACCCCGATTAGGGGATCTACTTTTGGGATCCTTGCGGGGGTCTGGGAATATACCCCCAATACCCAGTATTAAGGACCATAAGGCTTCTATTAAAGGGCCCTTGGGGGTTTAGATCCCCTGAACCCCCCTAAACCCCAAACCCAACTGTTGATGGTATAAATCCTGCATTACCTTATAGGACCCTACACTATGGGAATTACGGTGTATTCCTTATTATGGGTAATGCAGGAGTTTTACCATCAGCGGTAGAACCCTAAACCCTGACCCCAACGTTCAGACGAGTGGCGTGACAAAGTCCTCCACTCGGCTCCCCAGCTCGGATGCTCGGAAGATCTTGATGAGCTTTATAGCCCGGATCACTTTCCTTGACGGCTGTAGGGTTTTTAGGGTTTGGGGCTTTAGGGGTTTAGGGTGTCAGGGTTTAGTGTTTCAGGGTTTGAGAGATGGATCACCACTTTGCTGGATTGACAGTTTAGGTTTTTGGGGCTTGAGGTTTTAGCTGCAGAGTTCGAATCATGACGGCTTAATACGGCTTAGGGTTCATACCATACGGCTAAGCGGACTTGGGCTAGAGATTTGGGCTGCGGTTCCGAACACCTTCGGGTGTGGCTTTGCCGGTCTTCGGGGTTCTGAAGTGCGAATTACCCTAACAAACTTTACTCAACCCCAAGTCACTCAAACTTTAGGGGCCTTCAAAGGACTTCAGACACCAAATCGATCCAAAAAGTAGATCCCCTAATCGGGGTTCCTATAAAGCACCCTTAGTAGTATGGAGCCCCAAATTAGGGGATCTAATTTCTAGATCCTCCCGGGAGTCTGGGTCTAAGGCCATAGCAAGCCCGAAGCAGCTCCCGCTCGGCTTTGCGAGAGCTGGCATGATCGAACCCTACCTGTAGTCTCCATTGTAGTTCCTTTTTTGGTTTAACCACTCATATATATATATATATATATATATATGAGTATTAAGGATCCTAAAAGGAAACCCCAAAAAGAAAAGGAACTACAATGGAGACTCTTGGTTAACCCTGAAACCCAGATTCTCGAAACCGAAATCTCCTGTAAGGCCCTTGTACAGGAACTCCGAAGAACCTCAAAACTCAACAGTTGCAGGGTGTTTAGGGGCTCCTCTTGTGACCTCTGTTAGAAGGGGCCCCTACCCTGTAATAGTGGTATAGTAGGAATAATAATCCTTATAGTCACTATTACAGGGTGGGGGCAGCTTCTAAGACCTCTGCCTCAGCACCCACCCCCTCCCAAAACCCTAAACTCTAAGATTCACTGCGTTTTTGAGCTCCAGATCGCAGGCTCTTCTTGGGTTACAAGCTAATTTTTGGTGCCTTGGGCTCTGAGGCGCTAGCATCTCGGCTTTTGGTGTTTGAAGGGGTTCTACGTAAATAGTGTGCCTTTCTGAAAGGCTTCGTTGCACAGTGTATCGGCCGCAGCGGCAAGGAGCAAGATTTCCAGCTTCAGGGCTTAGCGGCAGTAGTTTTGGGAGCTGGAGCCCCTGAGGCGCGGGCTTGGGGCTGTATTCTCGTAATGTTATCACAGCGAGGCCTAGTGAATCATGAACGGCACAGGTATTCTTCAAGCCCCTATACATATGGGCAGTTGTCAAAATTATGGTCCCTTTTTGGGTACCCTATTGTAATACCGGGTACCCAAAAAAGGGACCATAATTTTGACAACCGCCCATATTATCTGCCATGAATTCTTGCCAGGCTGCAGGATCTTGAAGATCTTGCTCCCTCGCAACCTGAAGGATGATCCACGTCCCAAACCGAAACCCTGGCACCGCTCCCCTAAACCCTTAACCCCAAATAGGAGTTTCCGAAAGTAGGGGACCCTAATATAGTACCCGAAATGGCAGGATCCTTATTCATAAGGACCCCAAATAAGGTACCCAATTTTTTTTTCGGAAACTCCCAAATTTGCCCTGAACCCTAGACTCTAGACTATGCACCTTACTACATCCAACGCACTCTTATCTGGGATGTCGCAGGCTTAGGGTTTTAGGGTTTAAAGTTTAGGGCCGTCGTGAGGTTTCCACTGCAGCGCGGCTGAAAACGCAAGCTGTGGGATGCCGGGCTGTGTTCTCCAAAAGGCCAAAGGGCTGTCCCTGGGGGTTCCCTTCCCTGATAGCTTCTGTGACTCAGGCTTGTCAAACTCCCGTAGTAGCTTCGACTGGAATCCTTCCGTGAACGCCAGAGAAATGCCTGCTTTCTTGCTTCTCGCCCTTCTGCCGCAGAACCCGCAGCCATAAACCCTTGACTCTAGACCCTCACAAGCTCTCCAGGCCCAAAGCCCCGAAGCCCTAAACAGGTCCTAAACCTTGAGGCCCCTAAGCCCTAAGCCCCTAAACCCCGAAACCCCTAAACCGCAAACCTTGAGCCGAAATGCAGCTTGACACTCTCCACCTGACCCGGCACGCCGTCCACCAGGTGCTCCAAGGGCAACTCAGATTCCGTGTTTGAGGTTTATTTCCCTCTGTAGGGTTTAGGGTTTAGGGTCGAGGTTTAAGGTTGTAGGGTTTCGACGCTCGCGCTCGCACAAGGCAGGCATGGTTTTAGGGCTTAGGGTTGAAGCGGGTAAGTTAGGGTTTAGGGGCGCGAGTTAGTATTTATCTGTTGCCGTTTCTCGGTTGTTATAAATGTTGTCTGGGTGTGTTGCAGGTCTCTTGGAAGATGCAAAAGCTCAACTGTGAGCATATTTCACCGGGGCTCCGACTTCACCAGACATCTCGAGCCCGTAACGCAAGCGTTGGGATTGCAGATAGAAAGGCACTCTCAGTGTCGAGGCTGGACGATTTAGGCATAAAGTGTTTGATGGCTTACCTATTACTATAGTCTCCATTGTAGTTCCTTTTTGGGGTTATATGACCAGTTTTATGGTTAGGATCCTATAAATTATAAAGAGAGAAATTTTTGGTTAACCAAAAAAGGAGCTACAAGCGAGACTACTGGTAGAATGCAGGGAGACCAGGGGCCTCACCATGCACCCGGACTGACCCAGGTGAGCCAAGGACTTCACCCGCAATGACTTTTGATCTGCTATAGCGTACAGTGAATCAAAGTGTCTTTGCACCTAAGCCCTAAATGTTATCAACAAAAATTGAGAGCCCTGCGGCTCGGACTTGCTCATTTTGGGCTTCAGAGTGCGGTGGTTGAACGAAAATTCTTTAATCTCTCGCGCCACCTCGGCTTGCCGTTGGAAGGGCAAAGCCCGCTGCCCTTCCTAACGAAGCCCTGCGCCGCCGGACCCTTCAGAGACAAGGGAAGGGGGTCTTGACGGCGAGACGCAGCCGTGACGAGGTCCAGGGCGAACCTGAAGCGCTCTACATCAGTGTTCAGGCAGGGATGCAGCTCAGTTTGTACATACCCCAGGCAGGCAACCATAAGCTCAGGGTTCACTGGCTTTTAGAGCTTCTGAAGTTGTGTGGGCTCTCAGCTTTTCGCTCTCAGTTTGAGATTGCTGCGGCCGGGACATCCTACCTTGCACCTTGCGAACGTGGCAATGGAGTGCGGATAAAGCGGTGTGACATGAACAAGTAAATACAAGTATGGCAGTTTTTAAAGGCAGTACTTCCGCGAAAAAGCAAACGTCGCAGCACCGTGTGTTAAATAACACAGGACATCGGACAAATGCTCACCGTGGCAAGGACTTCCATGGTGAATCCGATAACACTTCCCAGGCCCCTTCTGCAAGTATCGTCTCCACACCCCCGGCCACCGCAACTGCCAGGCTGGCATGGTGCTTGTCCAGAAACAACCACAAGTGTTGCACCGAAGCCTTCGAAGTCACCTACCAATATAATATTTCCTTTTGCCGGTTGGCAGATTAGTCACTGAAGTCACAGTGCGGCAAAGTAATCAGACAAACCCGTAAACCGTCGTAAACCACCAAAGTTTGCAAGACAAGCAGCCACGAGGTGAGGTAGTTCTTGGCAATGAGCCGATTGCTACGCACCTCTTCGCCAGCCTGCCGCTGGAAGTCTCTTTTGTAACAACTCTGGCAAGTCCAACAAGCTTACCCTTTCTGCACAGACTTGAGTGATGGGAGGCCACAAGGGGTGTTAGTTTAAGATTCTTGGGGTAGGGATTCCGTAATATGAACCCTATGTTGAAACCGCCGGGCCTGGCTTCGGAGGGGTTGTGCGATACCATCTTTACACGGCTTCTTTACTTGGAGTTTCAGGTCTGAGGTTTGAGTTCTGGTTCCGGGGCTTGAACCCTAAACCCTAACCAGTGGCTTGAGGTTTGGGGCATGGTTTCGGGGTTTCGAGTTGTAGGGGCGGCTGCGTCCTCGTTGATGTACGTAGTCCGAAAGTTCAGGAAGATGTCGAAGAGGAAGCAGACGTCTATGCCGACCTCGCCGCAGAACGTAAAAGCCCAGGGCTGACCCTAAACCGGGCTCGTGGCAAGAAGAAGAAGACAGATAACACAAACCTACCTCGACAAGAAGTTTGGTCACAACTCCCAATCCCTAACCTCTAGCCCCTAAACCTTACGACACCTAATCCTTAAATCCTAACCCCAAAGCCTAAATATAAGCAGAGTAAGATTTCGGGCAGGTAGGCCGAAGACTGAAACCTCAAGCTCGCGTGTTGCGTCTTCTGGAAATGAAAGATCCCTATTCCAGTGCGGCTTCGGGTTTAAGGCTTTAGGGATCCATTGCAAGTCGGTTTTGGGGGCTACTACAGATAGGGCCTGAGCCTTAAAGTTTATAGGGTTTTGGGCCTGTTTGTCTCTTGCAAAAGACGTTGGGCGAGTGACCAGTATGAGGGTGCTACCGACACCTGGTGCTCGAAGCCATAAACCCTGCAAACGCATACTTTGTGTTTGATATTACTAGTCTTAGCGTTACTCTTCTTGCGATTATTGTTGTAGCAATAATTGTCTGCGAATATCATTAGTGTTATAACTCTTCTTACTACCATTGTTATTGTCATTTATGAAATTATTCTTATTGCAACTTCTTCTATCTTTTATTATGGCAGCGTACATGAACCGCCTGAACGAGCTACGGGTGAGTGTTGCTGGAATGGGTGGGCTGGTGACTTCGCTTTAGATCGGAGTCTGCACACATCTGTAGCCCCATACCCTACGAAATAGTAGGTTATGACTCTATGACCCCTGCACCCCTGAATGAGAGGGTCCATACCTGTAGCCCCAAACCCTACGAAATAGTAGGTTATGAATGCATGAACCCTTAGTTGTAGGGTCTAACCCCAAAACGATAGGGTTTCGCACCCACGGTAGTTGCAGTTCTACTCGGGCTCCTGCATAAAGACAACCCTAAACCGGAGCCTTTGAATCTCAGGCAAGTAATATGCTGGCTGAAAGCTAAACAGCTAAAGCGTCTCCGGTATGGAATCGGGCTGGAGCAACTGCGGTTTTGGCTTTGCTTGAAGACGCTTGAGCTATGTGGGGCTTTTAAGGCTTTTAAAAAATCTCAGTAAATAAGATCCTCTTAAACCCAATAAGGGAAATGTAAAATGTCCCAAAGCCCTAGTGAGTCATGGTGGCTTTGACTTGTTGTGATTAGGGGCTGCAAGCTTAAGGCTCGAAGAGGTCGGGGACTTGGGGGGGCTAAAAGGGGGTACCCATAATAAGGACCCCTAGGTATATACCCTTAATATAGCTAGTATATACCCATTATATAGCCCCTTATAGGGTAGGGTCCCCATTAAGGGTCCCTCCTTTTCCTCTTTGAGAATAGTCATCTACATAATCATGACCCTGCGATGTAGGGTCTGCCTATCCTCTGAAGCCCACATGGGGCCACTTGCTGCGCTGGTCAGTTCAGCACCCTAAACCCTAAGACCATCTACAGTGCAGCCGGTGGACATTGAGGTAGCCGTGGATACCGTTCTCGGTCAGGTACGCAAGGGTGAAGGGCAAAACCACCTCAGTTTCCAGGTAACTAGGACGAGACCGCGGGTGTTGGTCAGCACGTCGTATGCTCGAACTGCCCTAAGGCCCCAAAGTAGTTCCTTTTTGGGGTTCATATTTCCAAGAAGGAACTACTAAGGGGCCTCTGGGTGCTCTCACATTGCAGATAGAAAGTCTTCCTCCCTGCGGGCGGAGGGCAAAAGCCGCCCAAAAACCGGATAAGCCTTCTCCCTGGACACCTAATCCCCCAAAGGGTCCAAGTATCATTCTCGTATATACTTATAGGGCATCTTGGGGGTCTAAGTATATACCATGATGATACTTGGACCCTATGAGTCCTTTCTTGTATCCAGGCAGTCGCAATAATCCTAAACCTGTAAACGCTGAACCCTGAGCTGGCCCTCAACCCAAAGGCTTCTTAGACCACAAAGTCCACAGAAGGTGCAAATCGAGATGTATGCGGAGCTGATCGAACATTTGTGTGGGGACCGTGAACGAACATCTGAACCTAAAACCCTTGGACAGTTGGAAAGAACAAACAGTTTTGGCAAACATGCAGAGATGTTTGGGAGAAGGCCCTCAGGACTACGATTTCGGGAAGCTCTGCGGTCTCAAGTCTCTGGCTTGATTCTTTAAAGGGGATATGAACCCTACGATTTTGGGGTTAGAGGCCCAGGTTTTCTTCATCAGGTTTCTACAATATACCTCCTTAGGAAACCCTTGTTATAGTTTTTAGTTCAGAAATTCTTGATTTTTTAAAGAGGATGTACAGGTTCAGAAATTCTTGATTCTGGTGACTTGGGTGTGAAGCCTTGGGGGGCCGATCCACGAGGGTTTAGGGGTTTAGGATTTAAGGGTTAAGGGTTAAGGGTTTAGTGTTTAGGGGTTTAGGATTTGAGGGTTAAGGCTTAAGGGTTAAGGGTTTAGGATTTAGGGTTTAGGTTTAGGATTTACCTAACCCCAATGGTGGGTTGAGGCACCTGCTGCACATGGGTAGTTGTCAAAATTATGGTTCCTTTTTGGGTACCCTAAATAATAGGTGCCGTATTATATTAGGGAGCGAAAAAGGGACCCTAATTTTGACAACCACCCACATGAATCATGCGAAAACTTCGCGGAAGCCATGCCTTGTGGACCTCATACCTTAACCTCTTGTGCTGCTTGGCGGCCGCAATGTAGCAGAGAAGCACCAGCAAGAGCACATCCCAAGCTAGCCTTCGTTGAAGCAGGAAGGACAAACATGTCGCCAGTGGTAATAAGTACAAGTGTTGCATTCCACACAGTCATCTGCTTCATGCTGTCTCACTCCTACACACACCCATGCTTCGGATTTGGATGGCGAATGCTGCTGTTGAAGAGCTAGTCGTAGCAGTAGGAATGAAGTTCGAACACGCATACACTCGCAAATTCCTAAAACCCTACACTCCCACACCTCTGAGCTCTAAACCCCACAGCCCCAAAACAAAGCACAACTTAGCCCGAGCAACAGGGGACTGTCCCACTAAGCCCGATTCCTACGCAGTACCCTTCGTGCCAAGCGGCCGAGTGCTGGAATGGCAGGACAAGAACCAACGCCAAGGCTTGCAGCGTATCTCGTCCTTTCAGGGCTCAAGGCTTCTAGGCTTCTAATTAACTAAGAACTTCATACATTAAACTCTAAAGTGATCCTTGATCTGAGCTAGTGAACTATATTACCGAATTAAGAACTAGTCGCCACATGCCCTAAACAAAGAGCTTCTTTATGTAAAACCGGACGGAATATATTCCTTAATGACGGGTTTTGGGAGTTTCTGGGACACCTTCGGCCCCCACACACTTCCAGGGCCCAGCTGCTATCATCTTTTTGAGCCCGAGGCACCCAATTCCAGGTCGATGAGTGTTGTATCCGCTCTCCATACCTTCTCAGGGTTTACGTTACGGTTTTAGCGCTGTAACCGGTCTCAATACCTTCTTATTTGGGCTTTAGAAGGGTTTAGGCCGTTCAGGGTTTTAGGGCTTTAGGCTGTATCCGGTCTGCATACCGTCATGAGACGTCAAAGAGGCTGTAGTGTCTCGTGCGGGCTGCAACTATCCGGTATAAATGTCGCTTGTCGGCACTGCAACGGAATCGCCGATGTTTCTGGGTGATGGGTTCCGGGCAACAGGGTTGTTGAGGGCTTAGACTAGAGGGGGGTTTCCACAAGCCTTGGCAGTGTGTTCAAAGGAGGTAGAAGGTCTTACAAGGCCTTATGATTTATGGTTCGTTCATGCGCGGTGTTTCCGTTTGGCCCTCACGCCAAAACTCCTGAAAGTCAACCGCCAAGCTAAACCAATCGAAGAGAAGAGTTGCTTGCCGTACTCGTGCTCCATCAGCGCACTTGCGAAGACCTGCCCGCATGTTTGGTGGCACGTTGAACACTAACAACAAGGCCCAAGTCTGGGGGGACGGGGCGGGGGCGGTTAGGGTCTTTAATAAAATGTTATATACTACAGTAAGCTAGGGTCTAGGTTTAGGGTTTTGATTGAGGCAAGCCCCCAAGTCCAAGTTTCTTCGTTCAGGGCCGTAGGTGTGCGGACCCTGGGCGCAGGGTTTGGGTCGAGTTGAGGTTTAGGGTTGATTGGGCCAAACCCTGAAGTCCCAGAAAACCTGCAGCCATGCTCTGCAAAGCTCTTGGCCAACCTTTCCTGAACATCAGTGTCTCGCTTGTGTGCAAAACTGCGCTGATTTTGGCATTTGTGGCCGTAAGCTGCTGCTGGAGCAGGTTTTCGTAAGAAGGCCTTATTTATTACAACCCCAAGCAAACCCAATGATTCAGCCATGGCGGTCTTAGCATCGTGATCTCAGCCCGCCTCAACCGGACACCACAAATCAACATCCCAAGCCCTCGCAACCCTAAACCCCGAACCTTAGCTGCCCTTTCCCCCAGAACCCTTGCTGACGAACGGCTGCCTGCATGCCCAAACGACCAAGCGATCATGCACAGGGATGATCGTGGGGAGCCCTTTATGTGTAGTTTTTCGGCACTATGGACCTTCCTTAACATAACACCTGAGGGAATCCTAATACGGAGCCCTAACAAGGTAGCTCTTGCACGGCTTAAGCCAAACTTCCGCGTTTCTACGACCTTCCCGTGGCCTTGAGCGCGCCGGAACCTTTGCCGGCCACCAAACCTTCGAGTCGTCGGGGTGAGACCGGGGGTATGCATAACCACAAACACAAGTTTATGTTATCTACTAGCCTCGACATGGCAGCAAGATTTGGGATTCAGGGTGATAGGGTTTAGTACTCGGGGCTTCGGGTTTGAGGTTAGGAGTTGCAGGCTGATGATTTTCGGCAGTTTGGTGTTGGTCCTTGGCTTTACGTGTGACGATCTTCAGACGAAGCGCGGTTCACCACGTTCTTCCACTCGTCGATCTCCACTTTGCCTGGATACTGGCAAATGTTTTGGCCCGTGGCTGCTTCAGTTTGCATGGAGCTGGGTGAATGCCTGCAAACTATTTAGGTTGATGTTGACGGCATGGGATGCAGAGCATGATGGTTCCGGCTTCTGCGATGAGGTGCTGGATAAAGCCAGTCATCACAATGAGAATAAACGCTGCAATTTTGGCATGAACAGTTTGAACAACTTGTTCAAATGAAGTGGCTGCTCATTGAGTACATTCGCTACATTGGAGAACGGCTTTCCTGACGCTGCTGCAAACTTGGACACCTACAAAACCCAAACCAGCCTGAGCCTGGGTGCCATTACAAACAAAACACCAAAATCCTGATCGAAACTTAAACCCTAAACCTCGGACCCTTAAAGTTTAAAGCTCTGCGGACCTGAACTCCCAAACGACACTGCTTCAAGCTGCTTGAGCCTCTGAACCCATGAAATTTCAGGGCCTTCGGGGGTTTCGGTTTTGGTGAGAAGTCAGGGCCTTCGGAGGCTTCGGGTTTGGTGTCTAGTGGAGTTTTGGACTTTGGAGGAAAGGGCATGTGTCCGCTGTGCTTGGAGCTCTGTTGCCACGGTGGTTCGAGCGCTGCTGCTACTGGACCCTAGAAAGAGGTTTTAGAAGACCCCCCCTAAAGGAGCCTGTAAAGGAAGCCTTAAAGTAATCCTTTAACGGAATCATTGTGAAAACCTTCAGGGGGATCCAACCATAGAAGCCCCTTACAGCAACGGCCAGTGGCCGTTGCAGTTTTCATCGGCCGCGGCGATCAGCTTTTGAGCACGTGCCGGGTGCTGTCCCACGGATCCTCAGCTCGACAAAAGCAGGATTTAGGGTTCAGGGCTAGGGGTTTCGGGGTATGGAGGGTTTAGGGTTCAGTGTTTAGAGTGCAGGGTTTCGGGCTTTGGGGTTCGGAGTTTTTCCCTCCTATGTCGCAAGAACGAGTGCACGAAAATCATGCAGCGCATGGTTGGCCCTCACAGTCTCTCCTTCTGGTCAGCTGACGTACGACAGACCTTCAACTCCCCAAGACTCCAGCAATCACAAGGCTCACACGAACAGACCCAGATGTGAGTGATCAGTCAATTACGAATTTCACAGGCATGGACAGCCCAATTCCAGCCAGCAAAATGCTTTTCAAACTCAAAGCAGTCGGGCACAGTCGAATGGGAACACTGAAGCAGCCAGGACCGGCGTTATAGTGCCCACACCCCGACGCATATGACTGGTTTCGTTCAAGCAGTTGGGCCAATCTGGACGAGAGCAACAGCTATTCTAGCACCGCATATGCGTGCTGGACAACTCCGTGCTCCAGCTATGTGTAATCTCTGGTGTGTGTGTGTGTGTGTGTGTGTGTATTGCGTGCCCCTCCACCCCCGCCTGTGACCATGCAAGATGCGATGATGTTGTGGGGAACAACAGAAGTGCAAAGCCCCACATAAACACTAAGACCTAAATCCAACTCATCTCTAAAGCCCGAAGTACCCCTGCAAACCCTCCAAATGAAGGAAAGTAGAGCCCACATAAATCCCTAAAAGACTTTTCGTTACTTTGTTCTAATACGCAAACAACAAGGTACCCCGGATCCTTACAAACTCAGCCTGAACCCTGCGCCACAAACCCTATATCCTAAATAAAGTTGCCATGGTTGCAAGGAATTCAGGGCCCTCGGTAAACCCTGAAGCCCCAAACCCTAAACCGGCCAGCCAAGTCGCTCAATGCTCGTTGCAGTTCTTCGGTGTCGATGACCCCAGAGCCATCGGTATCGAGCCTGACATAGCGTGTGGGGTTTCTGTAAGGGGTCCAACAGGGCTCTGTTAAGGGTTTACCGTTGGGCGTTTGTTTAGGGCTCATAGGGGTTGGCATCTTGAACCCGCGAAACAGAGCCATCACCCAAAGAGTCCTAGGTATTGTTATGGGGGATACTTTCCTAAATCATAATTTAGCGATTCCTAATATAACAACCCTAGATTTTACTACATACTTTCCCAAAACATAATAGCGATTCATAATCTTGAAAGCCTACATTCTACTATATACATAGGTACTTAGGACGCTTTGGGTCAGTATCGAGCCCAAGGTAAGGTGTGGGTGTTGGGAGCTTCGCCTCAGATTGCGGCGGTAGGGTTGCGATCCGGTTTAGGGCGTGCAGCTTAGGGGCTCCCTTAATAATTAGAATAGGGCTTAGGTCAAACTTTAGAGTAGAGCTATGATAAGGCAACCGAAGGAATAGTATTGGTAACATTTTAGGCCGCTGTAGTAGAGCTTAGGGGTGAGGGTTTCAGGCGTCTGGAGTTGGGGGTCTTAGGGGTTTGGGTTTAGGGGAAATTGGCTTCGGGTTTAGAGTTTAGGGGTTCGGGTTTGAGGGTTAGGCTTCCGCTTTAATTCCAAGCGTTCCGCTTGAAGAGCTTCGTCGTGAGAGGGCTCGGGTAAGGCGGGGCTTGCGGCTGCTGGGGTTTCCTGGTGACAGCCTTTAAGGGCTTTGGGTCTAGGGCTTTGGGCGTATCTACATAAATACATATATATATATATATATATATATATATATATATACACATATGTACATAGTCATAGAGGGTTTAGGATGTAGGTTTTTGGCTGTTTCTAGCTTTGGGCACCAATATTTTGCTGAAGAATTCGAGCTTTCTTTTCCCTTGATATGCCAAGGGGCCCGTTTGCAGCCCGAAGCCATCACCCCCATCGCAAGCGTGTGAAACCCAAAGCCTTGAAACCCGACACCCTTAGTCCCGAAACCTTCAACTGGGGGTTTCCGAAAATAGGGGACCCTCATACCATAAATAGCAAGGATCCTTATTAGAAGGCCCCCCAAAATAAGGTACCCCTAATTTTCGGAAACCCCCAACTGCACCCTAAACCCGAGACGCAGAATGAAGGCCTCAGGCTCTCAACAGTTCAAAGAGCTCTTGCACCCTAGGCAGTAAAGCCATGAACTCGAACCCATGCATATATAGATATGTATCATATGTGTATATATATATATGTATATGTATATACATCCCCCAGAACCTTCCTAAACCCGATTAACCCTGAACCTCGTAAACCCTTTGTCAACAACGTGAGCCCGTAGACCCTAAACCCCATACCCGAAATCCTAACCCCTAAACCCTAGATTCTACCCTAGATCTTAACTCCCTAGACCCAAAACCCAAAATGCTAAACCCCAAACCCTAATTCCTGAACCCTTTTCCCAAAGTGTCCCAAAATCCTAAAACCTATACCCAAAATGTCCCAAAAACCTAAACCCTATGCCCCAAATGTCCCAAAATCCTAAACCCCAAACCCCCTACACCCTACACGGCAACAGAACCGCTGAGGCGCCGCTTGAAGAGGCCCATGAGGACCTCCCGCTGATTCTGCATCGCTTGGTGAAGCCCAGGGCCCTGCTGTTTAGGCTTTAAAGGGTTTAGGGTTTAGAGTTTAGGGCTCACTTCTAAGGTTTGGGGTTTAGGGTTTAGGGTTCATTTCTGAGGTTTGGGCTGTAGGGGGTTTAAAGGATGGTTTAGGGTTCGTGCTTTAGGGGTCTAGGATGGTTTAAGGTTCTAGGTTTGGAGCTCAATTAGAGAGATTAGGTCTAGGGTTTGGGTTTTAAGCTTTAGAGGGTCTAGGGCTTTAGGTTTAGGTTTAAGGGTTTGGGGTCCAGGGTGATCCGTATTTACGAGCATGGAACTTTTTTGGGCTCGGGAGGGTTTGGGCTGGTGTTGTGGCGGTGGACAGCGCTCCAGTGCCAAGGGTGGATCAGCGTCTGGGCTCTGCGGGGCGGTTCGCACCGGGTAAAGAATCGACTCGGTTTATTGAGCACTGCAAAGGCCTCCAGAACCCAGAAGCCTTTCTAACCGAAAACCCAAGCCCTCATAGCTTTAGGGCCATCAGAAGAATGACTTGAAAGCTAAACTAAGCTCTCAAACCCCAAAGCTCGAAACCCAAAACCCCAGCAGAACCATCGTCGCCTCCTCGAAGTTGTCGTCATCTGCAGTCCCGCGTGAGATGTGGGAGGCGGCCGAGTACGTGTAAGTACTATCCTCACCGTGCTCCTTGGACCAGTTTAGGCTTTGTCTCATCTTGCCTAGCATTTGGGGTCATACACAATCTCCACTCGTATCCTTGAAAGGCTAAAGTTGCTTTGAGATGTTTTCGGGCTTCAGGGTTTGAGGTGCATCCGATCCTCACGGCGATCCTTGGATGGCTTATGGGTGTTGCTGATTCTGTAGTGATGGGAGGCCAAAAGGGGGGCTTAAGATTCTTGGGGTAGGGATTCCATAAAATGAACCCTATTAGGGTTCCCTACTAAGACCCCATAGGCTAAAACCCCTTTTGGCCTCCTATGATTTAAGCTTTCGGGGTGTAGGCTGATACACTATAAACCTATCTTGAAGCCTCAAGAGCATGACTCACAGCCCAAACCATCGGTCAAGAAACCTCAGACTCCAAACCACTCAGCCTCCAAGCCCCTCAACCCCCAATCCGTAAAATCCTAAGCCCCCGAACCCTTACGAAGTTTCTATCTTGAATCAGGACAAAAATGAGCTGGATCCTTGTCAGTTTAGAATTTTTTTGAGGGAGTTTAGGGCGAGGCTTTAGAGCTTTCTTCTGTTTATCGACGGGGAAACTCACAGAAGTGCCGCCGGTAGGGCACACAGAAATTTATGTGATCTGAACACTTATTGGGTTTTGAGTGTGGGGAACCACAAGACAAGGGCGTAGTCATGACATTAATACTAGAAATTACTTGTAGGAGGACCCCTATATCTCTCAAAAGAAATATAAGCCAAAGAAGCATTGGGGCTCAAACCGGCCCTCACCGACCCTAAGACAAAAAACAAACAGAAACTCACAACGCTAATCTCGCGGCCCTTTAAAGCAAAGCTGTAAGGCCTACAAAATCCCACAACCCTAAAGAGAGCCCCAAAAACGAGCCCCGAAAAGGGACCGCCCCGAAGTTTCTACCAAAGCATCGGCGTCAGACTCGCCCTCGCTGACCTCTTGGCAGGCTCCGAAGGGTTTAGGGTTTAGGGTTTAGGGTTTAGGGGTAATCCTAACTAAAACATCCAAAACTCCAAAGGGCCGAAACAATGAACCCTAGAATGCTAAATCTTAGAAGCTGCCCCCACCCTGTGATAGTGACTATAAGGATTATATAGGATTATACTAGGGCCCTATTATAGTACTATTATACCACTATTACAGGGTGGGGGCAGCTTCTAAGCTAAATCTTAGACTCCTACACCCTGCACATCCCTGCACCCAAATCTCTCTTCAGAACATTGAAGCCTCGATTACCTCGCCTTTCTTGGGGAGGTATTGTTGGCTCCGAGGTGTGGGCTTTGAGGGTATATTTACGGCATTAGGGTTTATGGTTGGGGCTTTGGGGATTTGGGTTTGGGGATGGGGCTTTCTAGGTTTAGGGTTGTAGGGTTCTCAGGCTTTACCGTTGCGTAGCACTTTCAGGGCCCCCGAAAGTCTTCATGTACCTCCAAAGGCCAAACGGGAAATGAACAGTTTCCCAAAGAAGGTTTCCGGTTCTTGGGGAACCCTGCAAGCCGTAAAACCCTGCGCTCTAGAACCCTAGCCCCCTAAACCCCTAGCCTAGAACCCAAGACCCTGGAACCTTTGGGGAAACCCTAGAAACCCTGGAACTCTACACCCTAGAACCCTAAACCCCTAGAACCCTTTGGAAACCCTGCAAACCCTAAAAGCCCTACGCCCTACTTGGAGGCCCAGTTGACTTTGTAAGTAGGTTATAAGTAGGATTACAAGTACCCTAAATGTCGTTACCCCAATTGTACTCCTACTTGTAACCTACCTACTAAGTCCCTCTGGGCCTCTCAGTAGACCCTAAACCCGAAACCCCATAGATCCCTTTAAGGAACTCTATAGATCCCTATAAGGAGCCCTTTAAGAACCCCCACTAAGTCCCCTGGGCCTCCAAGTCGAACCCCGGAGCCCCCCCAACTCGAAACTCTGAATAATATCGGATAGAAAGTAATAATCCAGAACCCAAAGGCACATGATGAGTATCTATTCAGCCTTAAAGGAACCCTAAAGAACCCTAAAGGAAGCCTGAAAGGAACCCGGAACCCTAAAGAACCTTAAAGGAAGCCTTAAGGAACCCTAAAGAACCCTAGAGGAAGCCTTAAAGGAACCCTAAACCCTCTAAAGACGACTCTGCCGCCCTGAGCCCCGCCTCGCTCGCCCGGGAGTCCAAAGAAGCCCTCCGGGCCTTCGGGGGCTTTTTTTAGGGTATTTTTAGTTTAGGGTTTAGGGTTCAGGGTTTAGGGCGTCTTTTGAGGGTAGTTATGGAGTCGATAAAAATATAAAGTGCTTATGGGCTTAAGCGTCTTTTGAAGGTATTTTTAAAGTTTATGAAGGGCTTATATGGGGTTTAAGCTTCTTTTGAGGGTATTTTTAGAGAGCCTATAAAAGTATGAAGGGCTTATGGGCTTAAGCGTCTTTTGAGGGGAGTTTTAGAGTTTATGAAGGGCTTATGGGCTTAAGCTTCTTTTGAGGGGAGCTTTTGAGTTTATAAAGGGCTTATGGGGGTTTAAGCTTCATTTTGAGGGTTTAGGTTTCAAGACTTCTTTCAAGGGTTTTTCAACGATTTAGGGCTCAGGGTTTAAGGCTTCTGCTGAAAGTGTTTAAGCTTCTTTACGGGTTTAAGCTTCTTTCAGGGTTTAGGCTTCAGGGCTTCTTTAAGCGATCAAGCTTCTTCACCGGTGTAGGCTTAGGCATATCTAAATAATATTTAGATGTCAGCGCTGTCTTAGGGTATTGCATGGTTTAGGCAGCCGGCTTGAGAGCTAGGAACTCGTGAAAGCTGCGCGGAACTGCGAGCCTGTTGAAGCCCCAGAAACCAAGCCCTGTCCTCCTCCTCCTCCTCCTCCTCCTCCTCCCCTCCTCCTCCTCCTCCGCATCATCATCATCATCATCACCACTGCCGCCACCATCACAATCACCATCACCATCACCATCATCGCCATCAGCATGATCATCGTGCTCATGACCATCATCATCAATACAATCGTCGACATCATCATCAGCCGGATCAGAACCGCATTGCGATCAGAATTCTGATCGGCTTCAGCAGCACCTGCGGTGCAGAACTTCGGAAGCCTGGGCTTCAGATTGCCCAGGTTTGGGGCTTTTAAGGTTTATAGGGTTTGGGGACTCTACATAGGGTTCAGAATCAGGGTTTAGGGATTTTGGGGTTGACACATCGTTCGGAAGCACACATCGCCTTTGGCGACATCTCCGCGCGCTGCTGAGATCGGAGGGACGGGAACTTGTCGACCGCCACGTCCGTGAAATGCTCGCTCCTTTTAAGGGTCTTCATTTCAAGGTTTTGTTTTTTTGTTGTGGGCTCTTTCCCAAGTGCAGTACAGCATTTCAAGGTTTGGGGTTTAGGGGTTTAGGGGTGTCGGGGTTTCGGCATTTGGGGTTCGGGTTTAGAGGTCTAGGGGTTTAGTATATAGGCCCTAATGATCATTATACTAGAATTACAATGGGGAACCCGCACATTATTTAGGCTCCCATACTGAACTTAGAACCCTAGCAAAAACTACAATTTTAGCTGCAATTAGCTGTTTCTTAGGGGTTATAATAACCAAAAATTTCAAAAAAACATTGCTAAGTACCCCTAAGGCGGCTGAGCAGGGTTTGGGGTTTTAGGATTTCCTCATATCTGTCGCCTGCGAGGTTTTGGGATGCAAGATCTGGGGCTTCAGGGCTCAAGGGTTTAGGGGTTTAGGAGTTTGGGGGTTTAGGGTTTAAGGTTTAGGGGTTTAGGAGTTTAGGGTTTGGGGTTAGGGCTTGAGGGGCTCACGGTCATGATTTTCCTTCTGGCTTTGCACTGATGAGGCGAAGTGCCTTTCGATGCGGATGCCCTCAAATCCCCAAACGCCTAAATCCCAGAAGCCTGAAACACACCTCCTAAAAAGCCTAACCTGCGAACAGCTCTGACACCACAACGGCCTTAACCCAGCAAGATATAAAACAACTCGTTTTGGACGAGGTCTCTCTGGACAGGTCAACCTCACAACCTCTCCTGGTGTTCAGGTGAGGGCTCAAAGGACAGAAACAAGCCTAAGCCCCAAACAAACCTAAACTGTGACGTTAAGCCCTAAACAGTGCTAATCCCTCAGCACGACAGCTCTCAAACACAACCTTCAAACTCTAAATCCCTAAACCCCTAATCCCTAAACCCCTTAAGCTTGAAATCCTAAAGGCCGTCAGTTCCATTCATCCAAAGGGCGGCTTAAAGGATTGCTGATTCTCCAATTGGAGGCCGATAGTGCAGGTCACATCTGGCATCCTGGACTATAGAGCTTTAGGGTTTAGGGTTCGGTTTTGGGTTTAGGGGTTTAGGGTATAGAGCTTTAGGGATGTGTGTTTGGGGATGTGAGCCGCTGGGGGTTTCGTGTTTAGGGGTTTGGGGGCTTGGGGTCTTCGGGTAATGGCATTTTGGGTTGGGGGGTCTATAGGGCCCCCAAAAGGCACATAAGCAAAAATCAGGATAGGGATATCCCATATAAACCCCCTTATAGTGAAGCCCATTAAGGTAAGGATATCCCCATAAAAAATGCTCATGCTTCTGTGCGTTTTGGGGTCCCTACGATTTGCGTTTCAAGGCTTCGGCTGAAGGGTTTGACGTTCAGCGGTTACAGTAGACCCTGAACCCTTGTAATACCCTTATAGATCCCTTATAGTAACCTTGTAGGAACCCTTTAGAAGGAACCTTACGGACCCTTAAACCCTAAACCCTACAGTAAACCCCATAAAGTTGGAAACCGGATTATATATGGCCAAATAGTGCTGGGATTCCTTACACATTACTCTTGAGGATTGAGGCTATGGGGTTTCCAACTTTTGGGCTTCTACTGTAAAGTTCGGTGAAACCATAGAGTCATAGAGGCCTGAAGCCCGAAAACCCCAACTCCTATCGACTCCACGTAGAGCCTCTTGACCCCTTCATGGCCCTAAGAAGCTATTAAGTAGAACAGGGTTCGGGGGATATCATACAACAAGATACGATAAGCAAACTCAGCAAATCTATGCGTACAAGGAATAATCTGCCTATGAAATGCCCATGTTTGAAACCCATTCTGCATGTCAAGCAAGGGCTGCACTTCATGCCCGCGCCTTTCAAAGGTTTCCTGCTCGAGTTCGAAGGTCTGAATCTCGGGCCTCCATGAAGGAAGTGGCTGGTGCACACAACTGGGCTTTAGTTGGGGTTTGGGGTTTTGGGCTCAGGAGATGTTTTGGCGCTCACCAAAACCTGGCTTGGGTTACCATTCGACAGGGTTCTACTAGGTGTTTGTATACGGTTATACAACTTATAACGTCCTCTATCCCCTACCTTTGAGAAGGACCTTTACAAAAAGCCGACTATGGCGGTTGGAAGAAGCAGTGGTAGCATTGCCTTATAACGCCCTCTGGACTACAAGGGAGTTTCCGAAAATAGGGGACCCTAATATAGCACCCTATATAATATTTAGGATCCTTACTATCAGGACTCCAAAATAAGGTACCCCAATTTTCGGAAACTCCCACAAAACCATGCAAGCCGCAAGTCCCGACCTCGGAGCATCGCATGCTAGCGCCACGCGCTCGCAGGCGACGGTTGCCAGATGTTGCAGGTCGCATCCTATCTCCCTGAGCTCACCTTGGGGCTGAGGTCTCTCTGGGGGGATTTAGGCCATTTAGGGTCAAGGGACGTTCAGGTTTATGGGCTTGGTGTTCAGGGTTTGGGGCTCCAACACGCCTTTTTCAACAAATATGTCTAAAACCATGGAGCATGAATAGGTGTATTTATCTTAAGGCTTCAGGTGTGTGTTCCTAGGTGAAGGGGTAGTGAGCTCTCTGGGAGCCAGAAGCCCTACACATGCTGAACCCTGAACCCTCGAAGCCAGCGAAGGCCCGTAGATACCTACAGGTTCCAACCCTAAACCCTAAACCCTAAAACCCTAAACTTTCTGGCTTCTGCTATACTAACTCATGGTACATGGCCCTCTCTACAGGTTGACGTATCTTCCTCATTTCAGGGTTACCGGGCTCTCTGGTTCAGGCTTTGGTCCGGTATGTTGGGGCCATAATAATTGGAAAAGGGTTTCGGGCTCCTTAATACTATAGTTAGAATAAGGAACCTCCAAAATAGTATTGGTAATTATTTAGGCCCCTATAATACAGTTTGGGAATTCGGGCTAACGGATGAAGGTTTAGAGATCAACATGGCCTGGTATTGAAACTTAGGGTTGGGGGTTTCCAACGTAGGCTCGCCCTTGAGGACTTTAGGAATCGCTTCCCAGCTAAACGCTCGACTAAATCTCTTATCGGATTTCCTTTCCTGCTTCAGGTCGACCTCCACTCCATCCTAAGAATCCGTTACAGTAGAAGCCCGAAAGTTGGAAACCCAATAGCTTCAACCCGTAAGAGTAATGCGTATAAGGACTCCCAGCACAAGCTGTCCTTCATCCGGTTTCCGCCTTTTTGGGGTTTACTGTACGTATTATGTTGAAATACTCTTATCTGAAGGGGGTGCGAGTATACGTCGTTCGAGGCAGAGCCCCATGGTAATTCGAACTTGCGGCTTCCGAAAGGGTGCTTTGTATTCAGAGGACTCAAAAACCAGGGCCCGAGAGCCCACAGTGTAGAGGGCATAGGGTTCGGGCGGGTTTCATGGTCAAGGAACACGGGTCCTGAGACTTCATATATTATGTGTTATACTTCTTTGTATTACATGGTATATACTGCTATACAGTATGTATACATATACACATGTATATGTACATATATGTATGTATATGTATATATATATATATATATTTATATATATATATATATCCTGCTACATGTCGTGTGTCAACAGTCGAACCTCAACACCCCAAGCCAAGCATTGACAAGTGGCGTCTCTCGGCCTCCCCGAGCGGGTTGTCCTGGATGACCGCCTGTCACCGGTTTGGGGTTCTGTAAGGATTGCATAAGGGTATATGGGAGTTTCCGAAATTAGGGATACCTTATTTTGGGGTCCTTATAATAAGGATCCTACTATTTAGGGTACTTTACCAGGGTCCCCTATTTTCCGAAGCTCCCAGAAAGGGATTTAACGTTCAGGGACTTTGGCTTCCAGGGCAGCAACGTAGCTCGACTGCGTCTACGAATTCAGCGTTTTGCTTCATCGTTACCCTAAGGGTCCAAAGGACCCAATAATTAGGTACTCGGCTTTAGGATAGTAGTTATGTAGGTTAGGATTTTGGAGATCATATGATAACGAGGTACTTGGACCGGTAGGGTTATCTTAAAACAAAACTCCATGCTATGAAAGCCCTGAGCCCCACAAAGCCAGGAAGCTCTGCCCCATGAAACCCCACACTTATGCAGATCCCCACCGCCTACACTGCAAGCATTAGCCCGGCAAAAACACCGCTGGTATAGATATGGGTAGTTGTCAAAACAAGGGTCCCTTTTTGGGTCCCTTACATATTAGGTGCCGTATTACAATAGGGACCCAGAAAAATTTTGACAACCACCCATATACTTCACACGACTGTTGTGCCTTGAAGGGGTTCCTTACACTAAGCGAAAATCCAACCCTACCCTAAATCCTACACCCTACAAAACTAAACCTTAGCCTGAGGAGCCCTGAATTTTAACGCGTTTCGGGTGTGGTTGCGCTTCAGCTATGGGGGCTTTGCGTCATAGCTTGGGCCTGTGACGTTCCTGTACGTGCGCCCAGACGGTCCTAAGTACCTATAAGGGGATACTTTCCCAAATCAACAATCTTTGGGGAGGAAGGCATCATCCGAAGGAGCACAACGGCTGGCTTTAAGAAATCGGGTAAAGCAATTCAGTGGGATTTTTAGGGCAACTCCAAGCTTCATCATACGATTTACTGATACAATTTTGCTGCTCCTGGAAGGTTTCGAACGGGTATGGCATAAGTAACCCGATAGAGCGCGCACTTTAGGTGTTTAGGTTTAGCACGGAGGGTCTGGAGTCTAAGGTGCACTCAACCGTTTTCTGAGCAAAATCCCCTTGCACTCACCCCAGAAAACTTTCCAAATCTACGCACGCGCCGCCCGGCAAATCCACGGCAAGAAGCCCAGCGCAAAAAGTTCTTAAAGCACCAAAACCCCAAACCCGGACCCTCAATCCCATGAATAAGCCTAAGCATTGAAGCCCCATGGCCCTCTATGTATGTATCCGTATATGTGTATATGTATATATATATATATATATGTATATATACACATGTACAGTCTTGAGTCCAGGCGCCCGCAAGTTCGAGAGCCCGAGCTGTAGGTGGGAAATGGCGGCAGCAAGCTGCATGACAGAGAAACCATGTTCTGCGAGGTTCTCAGTTCTCAAAGGGTTTTTATGTGAACCTGGAACTACAACCCGTTGTGGTAAGGGTGATTGTGGCACTTCCATTTACTTGCTGGGCATTGTTGAGGGGTTGAACCAGGCATTTGTAAGGTTCATATAGCTCTGCCAGCATTGTTCCCGACGCCAGATCCTTCGTACACCTGCGACTTGGATTATGCTTTCTTTTGCTGGGCGGCATGTAAAACTTCATCTTGTTCCTCGAGACAAGTTTTGTTTCTTAGCTGAAGACGGCTACTCCAGCTAAATGCACCGACATGCAGTCCATCTTGTAGCCCGAATCTTCGACAGCACTCTACGCGGCTAAGAGCCAGACTCAGAGCATGGAAGACTCGGCACACTCTGCTCAATGCTCAGCTGACGAATGCAGGGCTTCAAGTTTTGAAACTGTAGGGATTTTGTGTTTGATGGGGTGCATGCAAACAAGTGCTTGACGCCCGCATCTTTCCTGGTGATGGTAGTTGATCGCCGTGCTACAGATGCCGTGACCCTTTCAACCATTAATCGAAACTACCACATGTCTGAAGTCAGCAAAACAAAACACCGCTCTCCTCTGCCTCTATCCTTTGCATTTCTTCCAAAGGACAGGCAGTATGTGCTAGACCCGAGGATTATTTTTAAGGGTCTTTATCAAGCAGCTTCTACCAACAGCCGTCGCAACTTCCACGGTTTAATAAGAGCGTCGAGATTAGGATGTATGGTGACATAGGCCTTCACGAGGCTTTTTGGGGACGCGGGCCGTGGAGTATCGGAAGGTTGGGTGATGGAGCATTTTCAGCCTCTCAGTCGGTGACCCTCAAACGTGCCATGGCGGTGTGCCCAATCAGAAATACCGCTCCGTGACAATCCCTACATAAGTATCGAGAATATGACGATGCGCCATGATGTTACACCCTAACAATTACGGCCCGTATCCTGAAACCCTAAACCCTTGTCGAGCCCTTGTGCGACCCTGTTCAAATCTTCAGGCCCCTGCTGAAACCATCCCTGCGAACCGAAACAGGCGCTAGTGGGAAAGCCTCGTGTAAAGGCGCGGAGACTTTCCATGGACCACCTGAGGCTAGAATGGTTGCCTACACGGGGACATTAGTATGTAGGGCTTCGCGTGTTTACCGGGTGCTGTATGGAAGCGTGACACGGGCTTGTGAAGGATCGTTTGAACTAGGGAGTAAAGGAACAGCAGCTATCCCATGGGTCTACATCCTATAAACCTAACTAAGACACCAAGACTCTATACCTAAAAACCCTCAACCCTATAGAACCCCCACTTTATGACTGTAAAACTGTGTACCTAAACTAGACCCTCTCTCTCTCTCTCTCTCGCTCTCTCTCTGGCCGACTCAGAGCTCTGTCAGCTGCTGTACCTAAACCCTACCCTAGAAACCCCTTTAGGACTCCAAGGCTCTATATAGAAAACTTGAAGTCCTGAGCAACTCTCGGCCTCCACTCGGAGTTCTTCGAGAGAATCGTGCAAAGCCTCATGGCCCAAAGCTTCGGATGTCGCCCAAGCGGACTTAGGGTCCGATGATTTGGGGCCTAACGGTTTAGAGGGTTTAGGGATGTAAGGTTTCCCTTGCGGGGCTTGAAGCGCCGGGGCTTAAGTCTCCGAGAGGTTGAGGGCAAAAAGCTTCCTTCGGCCAGAGCCAAATCAAACTTCTGGAATTCGAAGAAGTACCGAATCACCTGCGGTTTTTTGCGGGTTTTGTTTGTGGTCAGGGGCTTTAAGGCTTACAGCGGCACTTGCCAAGGGAAATCACAGACCTGCAGTTCGTCGTGAGGGTTTGCGAAGTCCGTGTGGTCGTTTTGCGGATTTCTGGAGACATAGGAGCTTCGTCCGTGACCGAGCACCTTCCTGCATCGTCACCTCGCCACTACCTCTAACCGCGAACCAAGCCTTCAACCCTCTAGCCATTCCCAACATCATCCCTCACCCCTGGCTAGCCCGTGACACTGGGTGTTTGGCGATGTGCAAACAGGTGGGAGTCCAAGGATCGAGTCCTGAATCAGGGCAGACGCCCAGGCCCTGTAGTTACCTGGGCAATCTGGGTTCTTGTTAAGGGGTTTAAATCGCAAGTCACCATAATCAAGAAACCATATTGCTTAGTATAATAGATCTCTCTTATGGTAACTTAAACTAATATCCTTAGCAAGAACTTGCATCATCTACCCTAAAACCCCCTTGAGCATATTGAGACCCATACATTTTCCCCTACATTATAGCCGCCTGCATGGAGCCCCATTGCTTCCAAGCTGAAATGGCCAATCCCACTATCTGCCTCTGTTCGCAAGAGTTTTAGGCCCTTTCTGAGTCCTCCAGCTGCCTGGAAGCAGCGAGGAGACCCACGGCTGGTCGCCACGCGGAGGGCGGTCCCTGAGCCTTCGGCGCCGGCCCGCCCTACCGTTGCTGGTATAAATCCTGCAGTACTAGTACCTTAAGGACCCTAAGCTACAGGTGCGGGTTTGGGGTTCAGACCAGACCGGAAGCTTCTAACTACTGTTACTGGTTACTGCTGCTGGTATAAATCCTGCATTACCTGAAGGCACTTAAACTACAGGAATTATGGTATTTTCCTTATTATGGGTAATGCAGGAATTATATCATCAACCGTAGGGGTCCTTTGTGAGGGGGGGTGCTTTAAAGGGGTTCGTAATGTAGGGATTGTAGTGCTTTAAAACGGTTGAGGATTGTATAAGGCAGACATTTTCAAAAATATACTCGTGCTTTAAAGGGGCTATTTATATGCGGGTTCTCGTGCTCTAGGGGCTTTACAAGGGTGCTTTAGAGGGGTTGAGGGTTCTATAAGGCTTTCTCTAGAGCCTTTGTCTGACGTGGGTTTAGGATGGCTTTAGAAGTTTGCTTGAAAGCTTGCTTGTCCGGCATCGTAGTGGGATTAGAGGTTAACCTTTGGGATTATGTAACATAGATATTCTACGAGTAGTATCCCAAAAAGGGTAAAGGTCACGTACTATACTACTAAGAAAGGGTTGAGGGTTCTTTCAGGGTTACTTTCCAGACTTTGTGTGATTTGTGATTTGCATAAGGCTTACATAAGGTTCTCGTTGAAACCTTCGTCTGCGTGGGCTTCGGATTGCTTAGGGCTTTGGGAGTTGCGCTTTTCTGTTTCATGGTTTAGGGCTTTAGGCAGAGATTTTGAGGCCTCCATGTCACAGACACCTGGAGGTTCTACGGGCATCAGGATTACAAGACCAACCATGTTGCACTGCGTCAGTTGCACATGAAACATGTGCCCATCCAAACCCTAAACTCCCTAAGCCCTTTTTTACTAAACCGTATCCGTGCTCCTACGAGGGGCTACAGGGACTGGAGGTAGCAGGTTTAGGGTGAGGATTTGGGGTCAGGATGGTCCGTGGGATCGGGCAGTACATTGTTCAGTGAGAGCAGGGATTTTTTGGGACTGTGCGCACTGCATGTCATGTACATGTACTCTTATGTGTGCGCGCATCTCTCTCTCTGTTTGTTTCTCTCTCTCTCTCTCTCTCTTTCTTTCTTTCAAAAGGCTTGAGGGCACGCCCCCGCCCGGAGGGCTGCCCCTTGTTGGCGGCACGCACGGTATTGCGTGCTCTGGGCTACGGTTGCCGACCACACTGTCAACTTGGTACACAAGCTACATGGCTAAAGAGGCTGAGTACAGTGTGCCGGTAACGCAGAAGGATGCTCTAGTGGGTGTTCCGCCCCGACGGGTCCAGGTATCTCTCTCTCTCTCTCTCTCTCTATCTCTCTATCTCTCTCTCTCCACACACACACACAGGGCTTCTTGGACTTATAAGGCTAATTGGACCCTTAGGCTAGGCAGGGGTTTAGGCTAGGCAAGGGTTTAGGGCTCAGCACAGGTTTGGAGCATTCAGGATTTCGGCCGAATGTCGGTTCGACAGAAGCTGAGCTCCCTGCACACACGCCGATAGATGCCGCGAACGTCACGACATCCGCCTTGCTGGCATACCCTAAATGGTCAACTTTTAAACCCCGAACCGATCGCTTAAACCAGCTCGTCATAGGTAGAGGTTTCCTCCGCACTAGTACGGTCTACTCGCGATCTTCCATGAGCAAGCTTGGATAGCCCGGCATGGCAGGACTAATGCTTCTTGTGTCAGGGCCACCTGGCCCCAAGAACCTGGACACACAGCTTTGACCGCCTGTCAAGCACCTTCACAACCAGTAGATGTAAGATTATTCAATAGCCGTTTTTGATTCAGGGTTTATATAGGGGTTGCTCGGAAGTATAGTCAGTAGGATTGGCAAGCGTAGCAGTAACGAGCATTACAACAAATGGAGTAACACCACTTGCAACCACATCCTAGCAGTAATAGCAACAGCAAGTCACAACAATAACAGTAGTACTGACACTAAGTAGTATATTACTACAACGAAAAATTGTAACGAGAACTCTGCAACACTTGGGGGTTTCTGAAAACACCCCACAACAAAGTACCCATTATTGAGTTAGCAATGACCATTTCCATTTTCTAACCATGCACCACCCCCTAGCACCCAAACCATAACAACCTATACCTCAACCTTCCACCGAAAGACCCATAGGAAAGACCCACCTGAAGACCCAAAACCATAACAACCTATACCTCAACCCTAACCTCACCGAAAGACCCAACCTAAGACCCACATGATGGAACCATTAGAAGACCCATACACCACCACATAGAAAAACCCAACCTCAACTCCATACACCAACACTCCCATAGAAAAACCCGATAGTATCAACCCGAAATCCCTAACCCTTGAAAATGGAAATGGTCATCTCTAATAAAATATCTAAAATAGGAATAAGGTTTAGGGATAAGGTAAAATCATAATATAGTTATAGTCTATAACAACTTAAGGATTATTACTACATTATACTTATGACTTATCAACTGGAATTTCAATAATTATCCTATCCTATCCTTATGCTTACCAAATAACATAAAGT